CTATTACTAAAATTTTGTTACTATCACCTCCAATAATGAATCTGGTATGGAAACAGATGGTTCCATGTCCAGTCAAACACGAAAACGAAGTCTGCTCCATGTTTACAAACATGGCAATAAAAAAGGGCGCAAACATTCTACGTCAGAACCCAAAGTAACGGATTGCAGTTGTTATGATCCCATGACAGTCCAACAAGAATCAAATAGTGAAATGAAATGAAATGTCATTTATTCAGTCTAGGCTGTTACAAGCACTTGTGAAGGTCAAGCAGCTACGCCATCGGTTCGCAAAACTACGGCGGGAGACCTTGTACTGAGAAGAACCGGCAAGAAACTCAGCAAGGGCTGTTTTTTTTCTCCCTGTATTGTTATATACAGTGTCGTCAAGTTGAAAAATTACTTCAGAAATACGTCTGAAGTCACTTTCCATTACATCATCTAGAATATAAATATATATTTACAATTAATTTTATAGTTAACATTTTAAGTAGTATATAGGAAGCGGCATTAGATAAGTACAATATTACTGTTATGAAAAATGACTAATACCCATTTAATATCAAATTATAAGAAACACTATGTCCATGCATTACGATCATTTAGATAATCATCAACTTTATAATAGCCCTTATTCATAAGTGTATTTTTGATCTGAGATTTAAATTTGGTCAGTGGAAGCTCAATCAGATCTTGGGGAATTTTGTTAAACAATGCAATACTACAACCCAGAAATGATACTCTTGATTTTTGGAGTCTGAAACATGGAACGGCAAGCTTGTTCTTAAATCTCGTGTTAAAGTTATGGGTTTGACTTTTTTTTGCAAATTCATCATAGTTTTTTCTTACATATATTAAATTTTCATAAATGTATTGCGATTTGCGACGCCAGTGTTAAAATATTAATTTCTTTAAATTTTTCTCTAAGGGATTCTCTTGCCTTTAAATTGTATATGGCGCGAACAGCTCTCTTTTGCAGTATGAAAATACTTTCGATATTAGCGGCTGAGCCCCACAACAAAAGGCCATATGACATAACACTATGAAAGTAACCAAAGTAAACTAATCTTGCCGTTTCCACATCAGTTAAGAGTCTTATTTTTTTAACAGCGAAAGCTGCAGAGCTCAATCTACTTGACAAGGCATCAATATGAGGATCCCATTGCAAACGAGAGTCTAAAGTAATACCCAGAAACTTTGTAGAATCCACTAACTCTACAGGCTGGTCATTTATTTTTATACTAGTATTAACCTGCCTCACATTAGGTAGAGTAAACTTAACGCATTTTGTTTTACTGGAGTTAAGTTTAAAATTATTTACCGTAAACCAGTGAAGGACTTCAGAGAGTGCACAATTTACTTCATCATAACAATCATTTCCTCTTCTAGCTTTAAACAATAAAGAGGTGTCATCAGCAAATAGTACTGTCTCACACAAATCTCTTGTAAAGTGAGGAAGGTCATTGATATAAATAAGGAAAAGCAATGGGCCCAATATTGAACCCTGGGGCACGCCAATAGAAATGGGTGCTCCTGTAGACTCAGCTTCGTTTATAACTACTTTCTGAATCCTAGCAGAAAGATAAGACTGTATCAGACTTAGTGAAATATTTGATACACCATAATGCTTCATTTTATTTAACAATGTTTCATGGCTAACGCAGTCAAACGCCTTTGATAAGTCGCAAAAAATGCCAATAGCATCGTGCTTACTCTCCCATATATCAAAGATGTGTTTGAGAAGTGCAGTTCCAGCATCAGTAGTACTTTTGCCTCTAGTGAAACCAAACTGTTTTAAATGAAATAGCTTATTTATAGAAAAGTGTGCTAGTAATTGGTTATAAATTATTTTCTCAAATACTTTACTTAGCGCTGGTAATACAGATATAGGCCTAAAATTGCTGGGATCTGATTTGTCACCAGCCTTAAAGAGAGGGATAACTTTAGCACATTTCATTAGATCTGGAAACACTCCCTCATCAATACATTTGTTAAATATAATGGCCAGTTGTGGCCAGTTGTGAGTATAGCTTGGATTAAAACAATAAGTCATGTGTCACTAACGCAAAGATTTCTCCTGTGTCCACACCCTCCCCAGCAGTGGTTCCTATAGGTCGGAAAATCTATGACAAAACGGATGCGCCACATCAGGAGGAAACATACAAAATAATATTAATAGCGAACAAAACACGCGCCCCGCACCCCGTGTTTCCCTGAAAAAATCCTTACGCACAGGAATAAATCAAGACATTAATTCGTGCTGCGAGTTTTTAAACACCCATGTCACACTTAATGCGAAATAAAGCGCCATAGCCTGCGTTATCAGGCAACATTTTCAACCCTATCCCAAGTAGAACAAATATTACTTTTCTCTATGAAGTAGAACAAGATCTGCTATTATGTGGCTTACACGCGAGTTTAGGTCACTTAATACTAGACTAATGTTTTATATGTAGCGGTTACAAATGAAACTTGACAATATAGGATATAGGTACTGTCGTTACCATGAAGATGGATAATTTTCCATGTGAAGGTATATGTTCGTAGTCGTTACTCAACAATAAGTATGATCCGATGAAGGCCTGCGCAGACGAGAAACTATTGTGCGCGGACTTTTTTGTCAGCCAAAATAGATCGCTTACAGCTGAATCGAGGAATGCACTCGCGGGATTATAATTACCGCGTACAAGAAGTCCCGCGAATAAAGGACGACACCGAGAGACCGGACAGGACAAAACGAGGAAATACGAGGGTATCCCCGAAAAGGTGTAAAATTCGCTGTGGAAGGCACACAGCGAATTTTACTCGGTCCGCGTTGTGCCCTCGATCGGATTTAAAGAGATCGTCTGGACCCAGTTTGCACTTCTAAAACGTTACCTTTTGCTTAAACTTCATTTTAATTACAACACTACGTTATCTGAGAATATTTACTTCAATAGCGTACGTTTCTCTTTATTTTCGGGAACAAATGTTCGCATGTGTGTGTTGAGTCCGTGACAAGGCCTCAGCAATTCAGACACATTTTTCACTTCAGATCAGATTCAGGGAGTTTTGTCGTCTGCGAACAAAAATCCCTCATCTGTACAGGCTCTTACAGCTACAGCTGTTTTCGATGAGCATGTCCTTGACTGTATACTCGCATTTCACGCAACAGCTGACGTCCATGACCTAATAAAGTAATTCTATGATTACATTCAAAGTCCGATTCAAACACGCATGACCTTTTCCATTACTGTTTCCTCGTCGACACGCAATTTTGTGAATTATCTATATGAAAAGACAGATTTCTGCAATTTTTTTTTCATAAATTTTACACTTATCAAAAGACAACGCAGTAGATATAATCTGCTTTAGATATTAGCTGCTGTATTTATACATTGTACTTATAGGATGTGTAAGTTTGTTTGAAGAATTGAGAGAGATAGCGAAACATTATGAAGCAATTTTGAAAAATTTTTGAGATCGACATTCAGATTCAATTAAAATATTATTCTTGAGTACTTTATTATACTGGTGGGTGTTCGCAACTTCGTCTTTGTAGAAATTTTTTTTTCCAATACACAAAGTGGCACTTATCCTTCCATGGGATAAAAACTATCCTATATCTTTTCCCGGGACTCAATCTCTGTACCAAATTTCATCTAAATCGGTTAATTGGTTTAAGAGACAAACTGTACAACACTTTCTCATTAATAATATTAGTATGGATGTATCGCTATAAACAAATTTCAGCTAGGTATTCACAGGCATGGCAACTTGCTAGCATTACATATATTGTCTGAAGTGTCTCATAATAATAATATAATAATAATTTTATTTATTTTGCTCCAACAATCTACATGTCCAAATTAAACAATATTTGTTTATGTATAACTTATAATTTAAACAATATTTGTATATTTCATAAGATTGCGAGAGACTGGTAACTGAACAAAGCGAAAGCTTGTATCTCAGTGCACCAGTACCCTCCTCTTCGTAAGGTGACCGTTTTATCTTAACAAAGTAAGTTTCTACATATAAAAATACCTGTAGGAGAATATATACCACATATACCCAAATAATGACTTCATTGACAATGATCGGTACTAGAGCCAAGACAAATTTATATTAAGTTAATTACAAAGCTGCTGGCTCGCAGGTTTTCACGTTGTAGTAGGGCAGTCAAATTAACGCTTTTTAAAGCCTACTGCCAGTCGTTCTACACGTGCTGCCTGTGGGTGAGTTTCACGCGGCGGGCTTACAGCGACCTTCGAGTGCAGTATAACAATGCCTTGAGAGTGATGTTGGGGATGCCTTGGAGGTGCAGCGCGTCAAATATGTTTGTGGAAGCGCGAATAGATGGCTTTGCTGCGGTGATGAGGAAAAGGTGTGCCTCGGCGCTAACTCGCTTACGGAGCAGCTCCAACAGTATTCTCAGGGTGTTTGTTGATAGGTGGGATATGCCACTTATACAAAGATGGGTGAAGCTCCACACTTTATGTTAATTTTTATATGATTTATATTATTTATTGATATATTTTTTTTCGATTGTACTCTTACTAACTCTAGTTTTTATAAGAATATTGTTACTAACATCTTATATGGGCTATGCCTGAAATAAATTGAATTGAATTGAATTGAAAAAGCACATTTTTATGGAAGAAGCAAAGAGTTATAAGTTGTCACAGTTAGTATAATGGACTTTCAAATCCACTACTAGAAAAGAACACTACGCATAAACATGATTTAAACCTAAGTTACATACCATCATACATTAATTTATATGCACTTGCCCGAAGATTGTTACTTTACAGCTTCAAAATCAGACAGGTGTATTTACTTGATGAAGTGATAAAATAGAACTTACAAACGATCGTAGGATATTTTATAGGTAATATTGTGTTTTCTACCCAGACATTTACGAACCTCCAGAAACGCTCCGAATAATTTATGTATTACTTAATAAGTTTGTTGATAACAGGATTGAGATAAAGGAAGGTTTATGGAAAATAAAAAGAAACATATTTCTTTTTAAATAAAATATATTCAACTAACGTTCATAGAATCTGGCAGCATCAAAACAAACTTGTACAGATAGTAATTTATTTACGCCAAATATAAAAAGAATTTATTTACATTATGCGTCACGGTATCCAGTTTTATCATTTATGGTTATGAATACATACATGAAAGTAGATTTACATATACAATAAAAGTAGATCTTTACTCCAAAAATAACTATAACATATAAAATGATCGTTTTCATATACATATACAAGTATATAAATCACATTTATGATGATAAACATCCACTGAATAGAACATGTGTCAATTTATTTTTGTACTTAAAAATTTAAATTTAAGGAACAAAGTAATCCTTGGAAATAACATTTATACACAAGTATGCCTTTGGATACAATAAACTCGATGCTTAATTTACTAAATAAATAATAACTCACTTATTTGTGATGACGGGAAACGAACCTTCGAGCAGAACGGAATAGTCTCCTCGAGTATTAATAAAATTAAGGAATAAATTATAATATCATCAATCACTACACATAAACAGTTATGACTACCATTTGCTTCACAGAATCGTAACGTAAAACATCAAGGAAAATATTCAGTGCGTCCGAAGGCTTTCAGGTCTAAAATCACATAATAAAAAAACTCATTACAATTTGCTAACTGGAATAAGGCGACTACTATGGACTAATGTGGGCTAATAACACTCATAAGACAGACTGATCAAAAATTAAAACATACTCAAAAAATGCCACTTAAATAATCGTATTTACAAAAGTATACAGCGCTTGCACCATCGCAACATTATGTCTATAAACAATAAAAAAGTAAACAGTTATGTCAAAAAAAGATAAATAAATGTATTATATTAAAAAATGTTTTGTGTTTAGGCGAAGTACAGTTTTTCTTATATTATAATGATAACGTAGCTAATACAATCTCCGTTATTCATTTCCGTTTTAAATAAATAGGATGACTTAAAGTTGATACTAGGTATTGTTTCAATCTGCAATATCAAGATTACCAAATATTAGATTACCCTTACATAATAATAACACTGTCCTTTGTCGCGTCTGTCTGTATATATGTTGTTTTTTAAATAATAGCGAAATTTCAAAAACTACTGAACAGATTTTCATGCTGTTTTCGTCATCAATTACACAATTTCTCGCTGAAGGATTTTATGTATAAATACAAGGCCGAAAACCAAATATAGTCTACACATAAGCGAAACCAGGGCGTGTCACTAGTCATATTATATAAAAAAATACAATCCAATGCATAATTTTCCAAGTGAATATTTCTTCTATATTACAAAGAGGAAAGATTTGTTTGTTTGTAATGAGTAAATTCAAAAACTACTGGACCGATTTTAAAAATCCTTTACCATTAAAATGCTACATTATCTCCGAGTAACATAGGCTAAGTTGTAAATCGAGCAGTTTAATGTTTAAAATAATAATTTAATCTTGTTGGCTAGCAAATTTTAAGTCATCATATTTATACAATATCTATCTGTGTATGTATTAGTCCACTTAGCAAATCGCTGAGGTATTGGAGGTGATTCATAGTATGATGTTGGCGGGATCTTCTAGATTCTCCTTGAACGCTTTCATCCATTGCGCGCCCACCGCGCCGTCTATCACTCTGTGATCCGCCGACGCCGTGAATGTGATGAATTTTGCTACTCTGAAACTGAAATTATAAATAATATTGTCACAAACGCTCTCTAACCAAAACCGCGTTTATTTTTATTTTTTTTTTGAGTGTGTATGCTGTTTTGATCGCAGATGACCTTTACAGCGTCATCTGGTTCGGGGGCGGCGAGATCCTAAGGGGACCTCAAGCCGAGAATTGGTGAGTGCCTCTAGAGGTATTCCATGCGGATGGCATCTCCCCACGGGGAGTCTCCTCTCCGTCTGGAGCCTCTAGACCACTCGAGCCTGAGGGGGTCGGCTCTACTAGAGGGCGTTTCTGAGACTCGGACCTCGGCTAGTTAGCCGTTGTCGTGGGGGGCGGGGAAAAACACCCAGGTACCTGTACCTGGTAAAGCGTGTCCAAAACCGCGAACTTAATGGAAACTGATTTAACCAGAGTGCCGCGGCTTGAGACCGAATGGTCCGGTTTATTCTAATATGAGACTTATGCACTGCGGCGTAAGGGTGAAAGTGCAACGACATTTGCACTTGTTTAAAACACATGCGCGTTACCTAAATTTTCTGGTATGCGTCGATTGGCGTATACAGGGTTAATTTTAAACACCAACAACCACTTAGGGGGTGATTCTACCCATCAACAGGAACAACTTTTACTATGGGACCAAAGCTGAAATCGCGAAAAAATAATCTGCTGTTTCATACAAAAGTGCATCAGCTAATAATAGTGCTAGCTAATCTACGAAATGTATGAAACAGCTAATTTTGGTGTAAAGTGAATGTAGTATCGTGAGTTAAATAACGAACTGTCAAGCGTTAACTGGCATTCAATTTCGAACCCCATCCCGACGCGTAACAAAATTAATATTTAGGACCACTTGTAGCAATTTCGCTAAAACTCAATTTAACTAGAACTAGATTTAGCCCATTCAAAAATTTCAAGACGTCAATGTAAAATTGCGAATTGTAAAATTGTATGGGCTAAATCTAGTTCTAGTCAAATTGACATTTAGAGAGATGGCTGCAAGTGGACCTAGGAGAGGTAGTACATAACGGGTTTTCAATCTTAGTAATCTATACTATGTATTAGTATACACGCGGTAATTAGACAAACGTTTTGGCGATGTCGGATTATCAAAATCGGAGCTTAGATTACTGCCTAAGACGACCCTCGGTCTGGGTTTTTTTTAATAAGAGTATAAGTAATAGTATCTTGTAATCTAACAAATCTCGAGGAGGAGCTCGATGGCATAAGTGGTTAGTGCGTTCGGCTGCGATCGTTGCAGTTAAGCAACTTTCGCAGTGGTCGGTCATTGAATGGGTGACCAAAAATGTACTATCTCGAGCTTCTCCGTGCTTCGGAAGGCACATTAAGCCGTTGGTCCCGGCTGCATCTGCAGTCGTCAGCACCCACCAATGCGCACTGGGCCCGCGTGGTGGGTCATGGCCCAATCTCCCTATTCCATCCATAGGGTAGGCCTGTGCCCCAGCAGTGGGGACATAAATAGGCTGATGATGAATCTAACAAATCTATTTGAATAGATTTTTATAAACAATGCTGTGATAGTTTACAGGGGGCGCCACATTTAACCGGGACCGGATAACTGCAGGTCTACTATATTACAAACAGGAAATATTTGTATGTTTGTAACGAATAAAAACTCAAAAACTACTGAACTGATTTCAAAATTCTTATTCGCATACTACATTGGCATATTTTTTCGTGTTAAAATATAGTTCACCCCTGCAAAGGTTGTTTTTTTAGTAATATTATAAAAGTGAGTTTGCAATCTATGTTTTTTGTATTCATTATTTTGGAAGGAGCCTCAGTTAGTTTTGACATCCGGTAGGCGCGCTGCTTAGTATCCATAGAAAGTTTAAAGATGCGATACGATTACGAATAGGGTATTTGACATTATTAAAAATAAAGTGCCAATTGTTAGCATCTGTGTTTAGAATGAATATTGGCAGGGGTTTTTACTATTTTTACAAAAAAAATATTCATAATTTTACTAAAAACCCACGATAAAGATAAGTTTTCTTATCTATTGTCACGTGACCGAAAACGCTTGGTATTGGCGGAACCTAAAATGACGTCACACGCAAGGAAACTTCCGGTTAAAGTGACATTACATTGTATCGTTTGACGTTTTGATAACAGTCGTGTGTCGTCACACACTAGTAAGACGCCATATTGTCCAGAGAAACGTTTTCGTGGCAACTTGAAAGTGGAGTTTTTGATTTGGTTATTTTTACTGAAATACACAACAGAATAATGAATATCCACTTTTTACGGACTCCATAAACATTAGTCAATAACGTGAGATCGTTTTCTAAAACTTGTCAAATATCCTATTTGTCAAAGTTCGTGCTTGGGGTACTTACTGGCTTTGAAAGAAATAAAGTTTATAGAAAAAAAACATAAAAAACACCCAAAGTTTTGTAATGAAAACTGAAACTTTCTCCATCATTATGCACTAGTGCGAAACCAGGAGGCTCGCTAGTTTAATATAAGTAAAACACAAAAAAATAAGCTAAAACTTACCCTTGTGGTTCATTCTTGTCAGCTATAACTAATTCTTGAATACCTCCGCACGCCAAAATCAAAGACTGTGGAGGATTAATTATGGCATTGAACTCGGTAATTCCTGAAAGTTAAAATTAAGCATGATTATTATTTTATTATAATGCGTAGTTTTTACTAATTACAAACAGGGATTAGAGAAATAAGAGTCAATAGTTTAGACCCTGCCGCAGCATTTCTACTTGTTCAATGTTAAATAAAAATATACGAGATATAGATAAAAGTCGTAATGTACAATAAAATGGTTAAGACATAAATAAGCTTGAAATTATACAAGAACTACACGAGGTCGTGGAAGTGAAGCCACTTTCACAACGGCCTCTTTAGGATGGGTGACCGAAAATTTTTAATATCGAGCTTGTATAGAGACACGGGACTTATAAGATACCAAACTTAATGAAGTGTTCTTTACATGATTCGCATTAAACAGTTCGGACCATGGTTCGTATTGCCCTTTACTGCAAAACAAAGGCTTTTCTAACATTATAAGCATAACTATTACCCCATAACATTATACTATATCGAAGATGGGACTTAACCAGTGCATACAGTCTTCAGTTGATCCAGACTTATTTAATAACGAAGGCTTCTACGGGCATAACACGCTGAATAAGTTCAGCCATTTTCTATTTTATACAACTCCTCTTTCCTATTCAGACGCGAATCAATATGAATACCTAATAATTAATAATGTTTTGATCAATCCTCACTGGGGACATTAATAGACTGATGATGATAATAATGCGAGAGATAGAAAACATCCTAATCCTAATTTCTAAACTTATTGATAGTTTAGACAAAAATGAAGCTCGGTAGAATAAAGGGTCCCGTTCTCCCTATCCATCTTTAGGGAAGGCCTGCGCCCCACAGCAATAATAAAGCAATAAAATTAATAGCCTGATAATGATGAAAACAAACACACAACCTTTTGACGACCTCCGTGGCAGAGTGATTTATACGCCGGGTTTCATGATGTTGCCGACTCGAGAGGTCCCGGGTTCTAATCCCGGTGGGGGCGCAGATGTTTGTATGATGAATACGAGCATTTGTGTACTCCAGTCATGGATGTTAAATATGTATTTCTATATAAATATACTTGTATATGTACAATATATGTATACTATCCGTTACCCTAGTGTCCCATACCACAAGCCTTACAGTGCTTACTTTGGGGCTAGGCTAATTGGTGTGTGTTGGAAATATTAAAATATGTATATATACGAGTATATATATTAAAAAAAACCAGTGGGGACATTAATAAAGTAATGATGATAAAAATAAACACTCAACTTACCGAACATTCCCAAATTCGATACGGTAATTGTGCCTCCCTGGTATTCTTGTGGTTGTAGCCTTCCTTCTTTAGCTTTGGCAGCGAGTGCTTTAACATCCTTCGAAATTTCGATCACGCCTCGAGAGTCAGCGTTGAACACTATAGGCGTTATTAGGCCGGTAGGTGTCGCCACTGCTACACTCACGTCTACGTTTGAAAATCTGGGAAAATAAAATAAATAATCTATACAAATAATAAAATGGTAGGAAAGTCAAAACTGTACATTGAATATTTTTTTTAAAAGAGTGAGACTTGGGGTGTGATCTACAATCGATACCAAAGCCAAAAATATAGTTTTTAGAATTTTTGTCTGTATGTATCATCATCATCATCATCAGCCTATTAATGTCCCCACTGCTGGGGCACAGGCCTTCCCTATGGATGGAATAGGGAGATTGGGCCATGACCCACCGCGCGGGCCCAGTGCGGATTGGTGGGTGCTAACGACTGCAGATGCAGCCGGGACCAACGGCTTAACGTGCCTTCCGAAGCACGGAGGAGCTAGAGATAGTAAATTTTTGATCACCCATCCAATGACCGACCACTGCGAAAGTTGCTTAACTTCAACGATCGCAGCCGAACGCGCTAACCACTTGCGCCATCGAGCTCCTCTCTATGTATGTCTGTATGTATGTCCGGGATAAACTGAAAAAGTACTGCATGGATTTACTTCAAATATGGCACGAATATTATTAAAAAATCGCGTCAACATATAGCCTACATATTATCACGCTATCACCTACGGGGAACGAGCAGTGAACCTTTATTTCTAACCAACTCCACGCGTACGAAGTCGCTGGCGGCCGCTAGTACTTGATAAAAATTCTTCACATATGAAACTCTATAAGTATAATGGTAATAATAAGTACAATGGTACTAATATAATAAAGCTGAAGAGTTTGTTTGTTTGAACGCACTAATGTCAGGAACTTCTGAGGCACAAGCGCGAGTTTGACAGCTAAACCGCCCCTATCGGACGTAAGCATAAACTTCCATACAAAATTTGGCGATTACGTTGCTTTAAGGAGCTGTCAAAAACTCGTGCTTGGGCCTCTAGCCCCATTTGAAAAATACTTTTTGTGTTGGATAGTGTATTTATCGAGGAAGGCTATATATTTAAATAACTTCACGCTATGACCAGTAGGAGCGGATCATCGATGAATAATGCAAACAAAAACGGAAAAAAATATTACATTTGAGACTCACGACAACCTTTTTCCTCAAATTAACGCGAGTGATATCGCAGGGGACCTCTAGTATAACTTAATTCTAAGAAGGAATACCATTATTTAATATAATGTTAAATATCTTTTGTCAATGATAAATTCATCTTATAACATTTATTATTCAGCAGATATAACATGACTAGTAAAGAACAGACAAAAACCTAAACAACAGTTTTTGTTTTGAATATTTTTAAATTTTACCCAGTATCATTGCTCCTCCAATTCATAAATTCTATCTCTACTATATTATTGTTTTATCTCATTCAAAACCTGATATCTTTTTTCAGAAACAGATAAAATTCAGACATTCAGAATGATGATAATTTTTTGTCACAGTAATATCATGAACATGAAAATTTTTAAATCAGTGTTGTGTTAGTTCATATGTATGTATATATATAAGATAAGATAACATACTGTCTGATGAAAGATTCCATCCAGTGTGAGTTGACGGTGGGCACTCGTTTCGCAGCGGACGCCATCGCCTTCACTATGAAGTCGTTGACTGATATCTGCAAAGGTTATTTCAATTTTAGTTTGCTCATTAGACGAACAGTTTTAAACCCACTAATAACACGTTTTAAGTGACGTAGGGAATAGTAAATTTTCAGCATATATAATACAGTGTAACGTCACTTGATTTAACGACAAACTCTCTACAGCGTCAAAATCACTCGTCTTTGGTTGGTTTAGTTTGTTTGCCATACAATGATACACTCCATTTAGCATTACATCCACTCTCAATAAACACAACAATTAAGTAACAAAAAGTACCTATTAAGTTGCCAAAATTAGTGAAAATCGCGCAGCTGTGTACGTTCTGTTGTCGCTTTATTATCCTAGCCCGTAATAAACTCTATTGTCGGTATCATGCAAACCAAACTTTCTAAGAAATTAGTTATTTTGTTTACAAATTGGGATTGCACTTGTAAACTGTTGTTGATAAAAAATATAATACAACAAAATTACTGGTGCAGCAAAAGACGTCAGACAAAAATAACATAATACACGCAACAGCGTTCAAATAAGATTATTTTCTTATGTACATAACTACTAGCTTGAAATAAACTTTTTCTTTTCATAAATCTGATTTTTCTTCTTTCCATTTAACGACAACTCTCTATAACGCCATAAAATGTACAACCTCTTTAGTGTCGGTATATAGAGTTTACACTGTATATATACAATATATAGAAGGAGAGAAAGCATTTAGATAGAGGAGCTCGATGATGCAGGTGGTTAGCGCATTCTGCCTGCGTTCGTGAAAATTAAGCAACTTTTGCAACGGCCGATCATTGGATGGGTCGGCAAAAACTTATTATCTCAAGGGCAGGGAAGGCACGTTAAGCCGTTGGCCCCGGCTTCATGTTAACACCCACCAATCTGCATTCACGGCCCAGTTTCCCTTTTCCATCCATAGGGAAGGCCTGTGCCGCTAAAGTGGGGACATTAATAGGCTGATATTGATATAGCATTTTTATAATAAAAGACAAGTCATTTTAGTACAAATCAAGACTGCGCAAGTATAAAAAATTACAACAAATATCTGCAAAGGTTATTAATAAATAGTTTGCTCATTAGACGAACAGCTATAACTGAACGTACGCCTCGTTATTACATAACCGAGTTAACGCTTATCGCTTTAGCTCACGTGCGCAATAAAATTATATAATTTACCTATATAAATGTAAAAATAGTTGATAGCCAAAAGTTGTAAATTTCTATTTAAAGACCTAGTTAAAAATTATAATGTTACGTCCTGAACATAACTATCAACTTAATGAAAGTAAAATGGAGGTAAAAGTAATTAAGTTTAATGATCTTATTTCATATTTTTTAGGCCGCAATCAGACAAGTTAACTCATATTTTTATTTCTTAAGCATTTAACTACTAGATGTTTTAAATCTAAGGAAAATTGGTTAACTTTTGAGTTTCACTTAAGTTAAGGCTGTCACTTTCTTTTAATAACAATATAATGAGACAACAACGTGACATAATGAATGAGGCGTTAGATTAATTTGACGTTTTTGGGTATGCCTGTTCGATTACAGTTCGACAATCTTGACTAAACCTTCATTTTTATTATTTTTATTTACAGCCAAAACAGTCCGTTCTCTATCCAAAATAAGTTTTATAAAATACAGTGTTCGATAAAACAAAAAAAAATCTATGGCGGAGGAATAAACGTTTCACTTTAAAAAATATCTCACCTTGACATCCGACTTTTCCGCCGCCAATCTCTCGTTGACCGCCTTCCTCATAGCAAGGGTCTTCTCAACGTTGACAGTGACACTGAGCTGGTAGTGCGGGATGGTTTGCTTGGCAGCCGACAGTCGTTTGGCAATAGTTTCCCTCATGCCAGACAAGGGAATGTCGACATAAGAAGCCCCAGGCGCTGGTGGTGGCATAGCCATTTGTGGGGATGCTGCTGCCGATGCCGCCAAACCTGACAGATCACCACTCTTCAGTGACCCGTACAGGCCTGAACCCTGTCCTGTAGACGGTAATGTTAAGTAATATTGAAGCATCAAAATAACCAAGAGAGGGCTCCTCTTGCTATGCCCATAGCGGATTTGCCACTGAGCTTTTAGAGCATCCGGGGAAGTAACCTCCACCTTACAGTAAAATAACATAAAATTTTGGTGCTGTTGCGTTACTGTGGATGATTAAGGTATCGTAAGCAGCTATAGGCTATGGTGCCTGCTTACCAGCAGCCGGGCCAAACCTTTGCTTGCCACCCTTTTAACATAAAATAAACAATAAATTCTTAGAACAAACGAAGTGATTTAGCAGTTGAGTTCCGTTAAATATTCTAGATTAATAACAAATCCACATAAAAAATCACGACTGGGTAAATAGCTGTGATGCGCATTTCGAATTCATTGTTTATTTTATGTGCTTCAATATTACTTAACAGAATTCTAGACTACTGGACTTGTTATTTCTTTTCAGTTTTTTTTTAACTGTTTAGGCCTGTACCCTGTCCAGTAGACAGTACGTTATGATCTATTTACTCATATTCCTATTTTGAAACGGTCTATAAAACAGTTCTACTATTATTGATTTTAAAATTTCCACTAGTCTCTAAAGTATAGCCAATGTAACATTTAGCATTAGTGATGACATGCCGCAGTGGTTTATCTGCGTAACATTTTATGTTTCAACTACCTTTCCGTTTTATTTCATGAATGCAATATATGTGAGTAGATAAATTAAGTCATCATGAGGCTTTTTTTTGGCTTGGAGATGAGGGTTAAAAGAATTAAAGTTTACAATCAGCACCCTGGTTAATATTGAACATAAGAGGCCTGTGTATTTGTGGTACACTGTGGTTTTTTACGTATACTACGTTCTCTGATTTTATTTTAAAGAAAAGAATCAATGCTGAATGTGGTGTCTGTGTTGAAACATCTAGATTTCTACAAATGTGCATTGGAATATTGTATCACCACTTCCTGCAAAGCCATAAAATTAGTTTCATATCCGTGCTCTTAAGAAATATTTTTTTAATATAATGAAAAACAAATTAAATATTCGCTAACTTTTTTGACATTTATGGTGTATTGTAACTAAAGAGAAAGTTGCATATCCATCGATACTTTTCAGAACAAGTATCATAGTGCCGTTATAATAAAGTGGTAGTGGATCACTAAATAACACTAAATAGGTGATTATCACTTCCATCTGTCAAAGGCAATTAGCCAATAGGCGTAGTCCTACTGAACAACTTGAAAACAACACTTATAAAATCATAAGCAACATAACTCACCCCCAAGCCTAATGTTCCTGATCTCAGCGAGGCGTCTCGCCAGCGGACTGGCGTATACCCTATCGCCTGCGGGGGCGGCGGGTGCTGCCGCTGCGGGGGCAGCCGCGGGGGCGGGGGCTGGAGCCGCAGCGGGGGCGGGGGCGGCGGGCGATGGGGCCGCGGCCGGAGGCGGCGCCACGGCTATTGTTATTATAGTGAGAGAAAGGGAAACATTTTATTGACCAAATTACAAAAGAAACCAAACGACAATGAAGGGACCACTCTATTCGTCGTTATTAAACATGTATAGTTTCTATTCATTTATTATTGAAAATATTTGCACACGGTTATTCACGGGTTCCTTTAAAAAAATGTGTCATATTAGTTTGCTTCAATTCATTTTTTGTCCTAGTGTACGCTTATTATATTCTATTTTCATTGCTTTTACAATATCTAATATCCTTTCCATAACCAAATAAACAGTATCTTTTAAGCTTTGTTATACCTAACACATGAGTGATGTGATGACAAGGAATCTCACCTTCCTTGCAATCTTTTTCCTCCTCATTTTCCTCATCTTGCGTCCTATGTGATGGAACAACAGTTTCAACAATTTTACTATCGGACAAATCGCTAGCAGTGATAAGTTTACTGTCAATATGAACATACTAGCAAACCAGTGAACCAAATGTTCACCAAAACCTGATTTCTCGAAAACCGGAAGTGCTACGTTACTCAAATCCGGTTTGTAGTCTTATCAGACTATTCTTAACTTATAACTTAAATATTCTCTTTATCTATCTCTTACGGTTTGTCCGCTGAAACAGCACCACAGACGGACGGACTTGTCTAATAGATAAGAGATGTTTCCCAGTCCGTAACATTTGTTTCGCTTGATGATGCTGTAGTCAGTTGTGCCAATAGTATGTCCAAATCATCGGAGTCGTCGTCAATTGTTGTGATAGCCGAAGATTTACGGAACCCAGCCTGTAGAAAACACTTTTTGATCGTATCCGGAGTCACCCGAGCCCATGCTGCAGTTACCATTTCAATAGCATCTAAAATATTAACGGAAAATAGTCCTGGCCTGTTTTTAATGTTGTTAATAATTTTCTGTACTAAAATCTTCCTATAATGACTTTTGACGGTTTTAATTATCCTTTGATCAATCGGTTGAATCACTGATGTATTGTTTGGTGGTAAAAATGCCAGTTTTAAGTTGGTCAAATTTTTTATTTTAGGCTGAGCTCGGCAATTGTCAATTAATAAAATGATCTTCTTTTTGTTATTTCTTAACTGGGAGTCCCATTTGCGTAGAATTTTTTTGAAAATCTCTGAAGTCATCCAAGCCTCTCTTTTTGCTTTGTAACCAACTGGCAAAGATTTAACGTTTTTAAAGCACGTAGGTTTTTTGCCTTGCCTATGACCAATAATTTTCTTTTTTCGCCTGCCATACTTGATATGACAAGCATGGAGATTCTATTTTTTGATAATTTTCCATTAACGCACTTTTCACCTTTAAATTTAAGTGTTTTCAGGAGTTAACTTAAAAAACAAACCTGTCTCGTTAGCGTTCCATATTTGGCTATCAGTATAATCTTCAGTCAATTTTGGGAAAACTGTCTTTAGCCAGTTGTCACAGTCACTTTGCGATACACTAGCGGCTTCTCCACACACTTTGCCTACTACAATATCGTGTCGTTGACGAAATCGGTATATCCAGCTTGCTGAACACTCAAAATCCATTTTTCCACACAGTCTGGCAAAATGTTTAGCCTTTTCTTGCAACAGACGACCGCTCATAGGTACGTTTTGGCTTCTTTGGGCTTTGAACCACATTAGAAGGGCATTTTCGACATCTTGATGCGTCCGGTTGCGGATTTTCTTAATTTTTAAGGATTTGGATTCAAAGCATTGTAATATTTTATCACGATTTTTCCACATCGTACATATTGTTGAATGGGAAACTTTTTTATTCTTTGCACAAAACAGCATTGCTTTCACCGTTTTTCAATTTTGAAATGATTTCCGCCTTTCCTTTAACAGTGAATGTGCGTCTAGCAGTCATACTTATTTAAAAGTTTACTAAACCCAGTGGCTACTCGGAATATCACTTTGTAACTGAACCATAAAAACTCCGAAACATACACGCTTCCCTACCTACTTAGCTGATATCTATAAACAAAAGGTAAAGGTCTGAACACTTGCTGGCCATCTGTGTGGATGTAAACAAAAGATAAAAAACGATTGTGATAGAAAGAAATCTTTGTGTCTTTTGCGGCTGACTCCGGTCGCAATATCTGCATGGGATTTCCAGGAATTTGTTATAAATGATTCATTAAAAACAATCGCTACACCCGAGCTCAGCGTTACATCCAAAGTCGCTATAGCCACATGAATTGTACTAAAGTATGCTTTAAGTTCAAGGGACTTAGATTTAACGTTGCTATAGGTAAATGGTCGCTACAACAAAGGTCGTAATAAATTTAATCCTCTGTATTTTGAAAATTGTACGTAATAAAAAGAAGAAGAAAACAGATTAAATTATTATCCTAAGTGGTCAATCAGGACTCTGCCTCAGCATAATGCTGCCGCAACACGTCACCAAACGTGTCACAGCAGCGCTGGCTGGCTGGTTATAGCAAAACTTATCTTGACAACTTTAACTATCTTATTACAAAACGTAGAATCAAGTTAAACATGGACTAAAACTGATGATGTCACTTTTGTTTGTTAAAAAGAAGACAGAGACCACATTACCTAGGTTTAAACCTAGACTTACTGTCGTCCGCAATTTTGGAATAAGGCTGTAGAGGTTCTACCTACGACAAAAAAGTTAGATACGGTTTCAAACTTTGTTTAGGCAAATTTTGTACTGCATTTTTTAAACTCGTGTTGAACGCATGTCTAACTTGTTTGTGGTAATAAGGTAGATGATCTTTCTATTTGTTGGTTATTAATACATGCCCGCGATTTCATCAACGTGGAAATTAGTTTCCCATACAAACTGCCATCCCCTTTTCACCCCCTTGAAGGATGATTTATAAGAAAAAACTATCTATCCAAATTACAAAAAAATCAGTTCAGAGTTTAAAGGTGAAGAGGTACACACAGATAAGATACACTTTGGCATATAAAATTTTAACGTGTTCATTTTATACTCTGTCACATAAATCTGTTCAATAAAACAAAACAATTACATATTATGTTCATTTAAATCTTGACATTTCTAATTTTGCAAAAATATATATTATACATGCAATATCCATTTAGACTCACAGATGTACGGGATGCCAACTGCTTTCTCATGATTTTGAGTTATTATGTCTTAGAGAAACTACATCAGAATAATGAGTTAGTAACCTGATAACAGGTTTTTAATTACTTTTTGTATGCATGCTATTCCTAATTTTATGTAATTACTTTGATTGATTTCATATGAATATAATAAAATAATCTTACCTTGAGGCTTGGCTGGTGCACCAGAGGCTGTAGATAAAAACCAGTAGAGATTATTCATGCAACCATGGAGAATGTGATTAATATTTGTTACAAAAAATGTACTATTATAAGTGAACGAGAACAAGTGATTGTGAATGATAAATTACTAACCCATATTCAAAGGAATATTTTGAATATAGGATGAAACATGCAAAATTAATTAGCTGATTACTTAGTATCATTACAGCGCTGTCATAATTTGTTAGAAATATGTATTATAAACCCACAAATGTGTATTACCAATACTTACAGTCATCCTTGAAATCTTTAAATGCTGCAACATCATCTTTGTTGCTCACGATTATACATAGGAGTTTACCGACTGCTACACCTTTGGTGCCAGCGGGAATTAGAACCTTGGCCAAAAATCCCTCTTCTGGAGTCTCAAATCCCATAGTTGCTTTATCGGTTTCAATTTCACATAGAAGATCACCTAATTAAAATAAAATAAGTGTCACAAAACTGAAAATCCTAGAGGTCTACTTTGTAACTGCAAACATTTTAATATTGATATCTTAAGAGCCCTTTTACAAAATTGCGCCGCTGCCGTACTGATCAGCGCGTAGGTACATTTGCACTAGTATATATTGCATTTTACAGGTGATGTTTCAAGACATATGAAATAATTGTTATTGAACTAATTATTAAAATATAATATAATATATATATATATATATATACATATTTCAGTAGTTTAATGATGATAGATTAGTTTTATGAAAGTTTTTGATAGTAATTCTATTTAATTCAATATCAAAATACGAGGTAAACCTGCATTATTTTTTGGGATAACTCATGGTTGGTTAGATGTTCTTTTTGATAATTAATGAGAAGGAAAGTCAAAATTTTAATACATTATGTTACAACAAAAACATATTTCTGATGTTGTAGTAATTAATTTGATCTAATTTAGTGAACATTATTGAGAGATTGAAGCTGTGTATATATTATAGTTTTTTTCCGTAAACTAGCTGTGGCAGAACGATCAGTACAAGAAAAGGAAAATGGTATTTGCAAATATTCTACATTAATTTACAATAGGAAGAATAAATCTACTGCTTACTTCTATTGGAAATAGTCAAAATCTTATCTAACAGGCGAAGCAAACGAGGCGCTCACAAATTACGATTTTTTGCAAAAAAATTAAAAGGGCTCTTAATAAAAATGTTGGCATATTAAAAAACCTGTTTTTATTGATAAAAATGGATGTGAAACTAGCTAAACCTCATAATACTGGTAAATTATAGAATGCCAAAATAAATAATACTGCTTGTTACCAGATAAAACACACAAGTTATTAATAAAAATGGTTTTGCATTAATGTCAGAATAGATTTGTCTTAGTTATGTGTTAAGTAGGATGATGACTGTGTTCAGTGTATAGAAAAATCTTAAGAGATTACTGCATTCATTATAAAATCACTGGCATTGTAATATGAAAATGTGCAAATTATGTTTTACGTGTTATACATCAAACATTCAAATGCAAATTTAATGCTTTCTAAAACCCATACTACTGAATAGAATAGTAATATTTTATTAACTGTAAAAGAATTGAGATATGATTTCAAACAGTAGCACAGAGCACTGTTTTATATAATTCACAAATGCTTTTATCTTGATGACATCTAAATAATATTGAATGTGACTTGTTGGGACTCTTATCAGTAATGTTACAGAGCAGAAAAATTCTTTTATTTCATTAAGTATAATCTTGAAAGCAGTATATATATATATATATATGTATGTATATATATATATATATATATATATATATATAATTACATTCTGGAATGAGTGCCTTATTCACATTCATTGTCATGCGAGCCCTTTCATGGCAAGAGCACTAAACCAAAAACATAAAATATGCAAATAAATTAATAGAAAGAACTATATACAATTTAACTGTGTATGATTGATTTAACTTCCACTTTATTAAGTTAAATTACTAGACTGTTATACTGTTTCTTAACAAAAAAAAATCTAATAATTACCTTCATTCAGTTTATCTCCTTCTTTCTTTTCCCAACTGACAATTGAACCACTCTCCATAGTAGGAGAAAGAGCTGGAAGGTTCACCTTTATGTGAGATGGTAGGCTGGAGTATTGCCTGAACTGGGTGGTCCATTGTGGAGACAAACATTTATTTGTTTCACATGGAGATAATAATCTAAAAAGAAAGAATACTTTCATAAATATTGTTTTTTAACTTAGACGCTGAAGAAGTTCTACCTTGTTAAGTTTAATGCCAGTATCATAAATATTATCACAAATGAACTTCCAGATACCAGAACTGCCTATGTAAATAAAGAATTAGATATATTTAAAGGCTACAATCTGACCGGCATTCCAGCACAAGGTCACACATCACACGTGGAAGAACCGGTGTCCTTCCAAAAGTTGTGGCTGACAAATCGCAAGAATCTGACATTTTGGTTATGCAACTGACACCCCTCCATACATTAACTTAGGAATTGAATAAGCTGGGTTCATTGATAAAACTGATGTGCATTATTAACAATGTAAGCAGAGAAACATTGAAATATAACTTTGAATTTAACTTACTGATTAGAATGAATCTTCTTCCTAGTCAATTCTGTGCTCAAACATCTTGTCAAATTAGTTCGTATAGCCTTCTTTAGACCACTATTTAGAACCTGATTTCGAGTAACAATCGTTCGCAACATTTTACTTCCAAATAAAGCTAAATCTAATCCGTCCAGATGATTGGGACGGTTTATTAACCAAGTCGAAAGATCGACCTTCTTCGATTTGTAGGTCGTTGAAATCGTCACGTCAAGCCTCCGTCAAGCAGAAGACATGACAATTGACATTTGACATTTTAAGATTGACGTCTATACATATATACTTGCTCCATAGACATAGGTGTTGATTCTGACATGATTCCCTAAACTTAAACTTAAATTTGAAAATGTGTAGTGTAGTATCCTTGTCATTCGTTATACAGAATAAAAAGGAGAGAATAAAGTTAAATTTAGTTTTAAGTTTAGAGAATCATGCCAGAATCGACACCATAGTATAACTAAGGGTGCGGCCAGAGTGCACTCAGATTCAGATTCAGACTCAGAAAACAAAGCTCGAGAAAAAGCAGGCAACCTGCTTAGACTACACTGTTTATTTCTCTCGCTTGTTTTCAGAATCTGAATCTGAATCTGAGTGCACTCTGGCCGCACCCTTACTCAGTGCTTTTGACGTATGACGAGAACATATTGTTTTTTTTTGGTCTTTTTGTTTTTGTTGGGACGGATCACGGAATCTTAGTCCATACAGCCCTATCTACAATGTAGGTGTCGTTATTTAATAAACAGTGTAGTCGAAGGGTACGGCCAGAGTGCACTCCTGATTCAGATTCAGATTCAGACTCAGAAAACAAAGCGCGAGAAAAAGCAGGCAACCTGCTTAGACTACACTGTTTATTTCTCGCGCTTGTTTTCAGAATCTGAATCTGAATCTGAATCTGAGTGCACTCTGGCCGCACCCTTACTCAGTGCTTTTGACGTATGGGTGCGGCCAGAGTGCACTCAGATTCAGATTCAGATTCAGATTTCGAAAACAAGCGCGAGAAATAAACAGTGTAGTCGAAGGGTAAGGGTGCGGCCAGAGTGCACTCAGATTCAGATTCAGATTCAGATTTCGAAAACAAGCGCGAGAAATAAACAGTGTAGTCGAAGGGTAAGGGTGCGGCCAGAGTGCACTCAGATTCAGAGTCAGATTCAGATTCTGAAAACAAGCGCGAGAAATAAACAGTGTAGTCGAAGGGTACGGCCAGATTGCACTCCTGATTCAGATTCAGATTCAGACTCAGAAAACAAAGCGCGAGAAAAAGCAAGCAACCTGCTTAGACTACACTGTTTATTTCTCGCGCTTGTTTTCGAAATCTGAATCTGAGTCTGAATCTGAGTGCACTCTGGCCGCACCCTAAGGCCAGATTGCACTCCTGATTCAGATTCAGATTCAGACTCAGAAAACAAAGCGCGAGAAAAAGCAAGCAACCTTTGTTTTCTGAGTCTGAATCTGAATCTGAATCAGGAGTGCAATCTGGCCGTACCCTTCGACTACACTGTTTATTTCTCGCGCTTGTTTTCGAAATCTGAATCTGAATCTGAATCTGAGTGCACTCTGGCCGTACCCTATGACGATAACATATTGTTTTTTTTTGGTCTTTTTGTTTTTGTTGGGACGGATCACGGAATCTTAGTCCATACAGCCCTATCTACAATGTAGGTGTCGTTATTTTGTAATAGTATTCTCAAGTGGCGCGGGTTGTTTTCTTCACCAAAAGTGCTGTGTCCGTCATGCTAGCATACACCACATCGAGTTCGAAGTTGTTACTTATGCTAATAAATAGTGAGTAAATAGTGCCTAATTATGATCCCCATGTTCGAATTCCTGTTTGATAATTAAGCAACAATAAAATTTAAGGTAGGTACATATTTCCAATAAAATTATAACGCATTGTAAAAATAGTTACGTATTTGAAATTCGTAATGAACATAAGTTTTTTACATTTAGAAATGTATTTGAAATAAATCCTTTATCTGGGTACTCAAACCACTATTTGAATTTTGGTCGCTTCTCTCGACACACCCATACATGCTGATTAACGGCAACGCTTTTTTTGTGGACTGCTCCATCCATTCGATACTATGTCTATGTGCTTGGTCTTCGAGTTTTCTCGTGTAATGCGTCGTTCCTAGTTATTAATATGTGACCTACAAATATCTCTAAATATAAAGTCAGAAACTTAATGAAGTGTCGTGATGCGCCAGATTTGAGTGAAATTGGTGTGATTAGGTGTTAAGTGGCATCCACACGATACAATTTTACGTCCAATTTGATTAGATTGACAATCGAATTGTGTTGTGTGGACGGAAATATGAAATTGAAGGTCATTGGATGGTCGGTATCGCCCGATTCGGGATTGCCCAATCAAATTGGGTGGTGTGGACGCTAACTGGCCAATTTTTTAACGTAGTCACTGTGCAAGCGGCGTTCAGAGCGGGTGTGTGCGTTGACTTGTCTTTTGAGAAGAAGATGGAGCAACATGACGACAATATTATGTCTATTCGATCTGAACGGGAAGTAATGGAGGAGATTTTAGATATATGTAAAGACTTGCCATGCCTTTGGGATGTGTCTAACCCATTATATAAAAATAAACAAGCAAGGCATAATTCCTTAGAGATTTTGCGGAATAAGTGGAAAAATATTGATAAAAATATTACTGTTATTATTTTTAAAGCATGTAACTGCTTGATGTTTAAATCTAAAGAAAATATAACTATGGCAGTTATTTGTTATTGAAAATAAAAAATCATTTAATTAAATTTATATTCTACTCAATGATATGCGCGCATGCTGGGGTAAAAAAGAAGTAATATTATATATATTTTTTTATAATTTTTATTTTTTAAGCATGTAATTTTCTTGATGTTTAAATCTAATGAAAATATAACTAGAAAAAAATCCACGCGGACCAGGCAGCAGACGGGACTCGAACCCGCACAATTCGCAATCCGGGCGAATGCACTGACCAATTATGCTACCGCGGCCCTCATGGACCGCGTCGAAATTCTTCCAGCCATTCTTAAGTTGCAAGGCAGCGCCATCTCTTCTCATTATAGGTAACCCACAATGTCAAATGAATACTTTTACAAGTATTAAACATTTGAAAGAAGAAATAGCAATTATAGTTATAATTTTTATTATTTTTAAAGCATGTAACTGCTTGATGTTTAAATCTAAAGAAAATATAACTCAGTTATATTTTAAAGGGTTTTCGAAGGGTGCGGTTCGAGTCCTGTCTGCTGCCTGGTCCGCGTGGAATTTTTTCTAGTTATATTTTCTTTAAAAATATATCTCCTTAAGTATAACTATATTTAAGTTTATTAATTGAGTCACTTAAATATAATATAACTACATTTAAGTGCCTCAATTGCTTTTTTTTAATAACGATTGTTTTGTCCACAGTCTTCTTTTTCCTTTTTTTCTCATCTACATTTGTAGTTAGAGCCAAGATTAATCCAATTTTTTGCTTCTTGGTAAGAGACATCCTAATACAAACAAGTCCGTTCAGCAGAGGCAACAAATAAAACTGAAATTGGCGATCTTGTTGTGTATGTGTGGACGGACGACCAGATTGTACCCAATTCAATCGGCAATCAGATTGGCAATCAAATTGTGTCGTGTGGAAGGGGTATTATAACCGTCTGCATAACTAAAGAATTTGTGGAATCTTTGACACTTTCCCAGCGGATCACGATTAAGATACGTGGGGGCGTCTCGAATAGAATACGTGATGCATTTTCTTACGAACAAAATAAGATTCTTGTTGATATTACACACACATTGGAACAAAATTCCGCTGTGTTAAGTTCATTCAGCTACGAGATCGTTTGAGAGCGCGCGGTGGCCAGTACGCAGTTAAATATACTTGAGAGAGCTCTTCGATGTAACATTTATTATTATTATTAATCTTTATGTAACATTCCGTGCCTCAAATTATATAATACAAAAAATATTATACCATTTAAAATCCATAATATTTATCTCTAGAGATAATTTTAGCTTGTAAGTCTTATGTAAGAGTTTTTTTTTTCATGAAAAACGTACAATATTCACAAATGAATAAATAAAAATAATATTGTTATATTTCATTGTTTATATTTTAAATACAAAGTGTAATAAAGTCATAATATAATAAAAAAATCAAACAGATATCTATTATAGTTTACATTCTATGACCATTTGAAATATGTCAAAATTGCCCCGCGTACGGCGGGATCCGCGTGTGTAATTGCTTCGCTGGGAAAGTGTTAAAATACACGTTATTCCGGTCAAATGAACGTGAGAATACTACCTCACACTCCTCACAGGAGCTTAGCGAAAAAGCTTACTCGATTTATTTTGTGCCAAATACTCCAAGAAACATTAAAATTTGTCACATCGGCATTATAATGTAAAAAAAGAAGACAAATGAAACTTTAGATCAGGCTGTATGGGCATTGTTCCCTTTTCGTACCCTAAAAAGCGAGAATGTTAAAAAATCTAACGTCTGTCGGTTTGTTTTGACATTGACGACCCACTGTTTTCTCTCTTTTACTTTTCTGTCAACTGCTTGAGTGTTGATAACAAAAATGGTGAGAGTTTAATTAGAGAATATCATTGCCATCACTTTTGTTTGTAACTAAATAATATGCGGATAATAGTGCTTCTAGTGTTATATTGTTGTCATAAATTTTATTTCGTTCCAGGCATATTGCCTCAATGTTCATAGTGCCAAAGTTGACCATAACCTTATTGATATTTTCAGGCCAAGCGTACGAAAAAGGTTGGAATAACTGGCAAATATGGCACACGTTATGGTGCTTCGTTACGTAAAATGGTCAAAAAGATGGAAGTTACCCAACACGCCAAATACACCTGCTCCTTCTGTGGAAAGGTTAGTATAACATCTCATTGACTAAAAGTTTTGAAACTGCTCCTTTAGCCTGCTTTACTTCCTACTTTTAACATAGTGGGTAAGAAACTCAAATTGATTTCATACCGGGTTTTCCTATCATGATCAAAACAGTTGCTGTGCTGAGATCAGACTATTTGGATTGTCATATTGTATGTTTGATCATAATTTCTTGATTTTACTATCCATTTTCATGTAAGCACCTCTAACCTTTGTGTATACAACTATGTAACTGCAATGTCTTTATTTCAACTTAAACTTTGTATTTAAAATAGTAACGTTTTTAATTTACACAACTGTAAGCTGGTCTTAATTTTTTATTTACTTCAGAGTTCTTTCCTGACCAATTCAAGAAACATTATGCTTTTGTAATTATAAACAGTGTGATACGTGATTACAATAATGAAATATAAAGGCAGTGTTGCCAACTCGGATTTGAAAAAGGCGTAGGCCCGATGACAAAATTACGTAGAATTAGTAAAATTGGCATATGAAAAGTTCGTAGATCTACGTATTTTTTTCTGAGAGAAAAACGTTAAAATGAGTATTTTGTTATCCAATTTATTTAAATAAAGGAGATAGAACAGAATTCTTGGAGAAGACGCTACATTGGCAGCTTCATTTGTAAATAGCATTTTTTACCTGTGTTATAAAAAAAAAAGGTGTCAATATTGGCATAATTCTCTAAACTTAGCACTAAATTTAACATCAGTCTCTCCTTTTCATTCTGTATAAAGAATGACAAGAATACACTGTTATCAGATAGGGTAGTTGACACTTTTTGAAAATATGTTTTAAATGGTTAATAATTGTTATATTAGACCAAAAAAAATGTATTGTAGTAATTATCATGATTGTATTATGCGAGAATGTAGAATCACAACGTTAAAGACTCCAGAAAAGTTGTGGTTTAAATTGCCCAGAAAAATAAACATATCTACACATGAACACATGTTTAAAACTTGCTAAATCCTGTAACTTTATCGACTGAAAGTAATTTGTTTTTGCAAAGGTCACTTCAGTGTAAGTACTGATTCAATAATATTTTAAGTTTAAAAATAAAATTTTTAAGTTTATTAATAAGTACCTACTAAGTAAGAGTCGTTTCTGCTTTTACAAATTCGGTGTCCACAAAACCAATAAACGGAAACTCTTCTACAAGATATAAGATTCTTTAGATATATTTTAGTCCGACGAAAGAAACCATAGTAACACAACAATGACGTTTAGTTGTTTACAAATTTTGTGACGTCACAATCATGGCAGACAGCATTTTCAGTGTTTAAAAAGTATAGACTAAAAATATTTTTTTCAAATTAGATTACTACAGCCATCTTCTGATTTTATGAAGTGAAATCGATGTATTTCAGTTCCTCGTACCAAAAACTCTAAGAAATAAACATTTGTATAGTTTATAAGTAACGGAAAATATGCTTTTTGCAAATTTGTTCAAATTAAAAGAAAATACGTAGATTTTGGGACTGAAGGTTTGCAGAAAAGGCCTAAAATACGTAGATCTACGTACAGACGTAGAGTTGGCAACACTGTATAATAAAGGGCTGGTGCTTAATTTGAGGAATTATCTTTGCTTTATTATTGCTACAGAAATTTTGACTGATCCATATTTAGGATAGGCATCCTCGAATTTTCTATGGAACTAGCTAGGTTGTTATATGTCTTGGGGTGCTGCTTAGTTTCCATGTAAGCCTTAACTATGGCAATATGAATACAGTTCTATCAAAGTTTGTGCTTAGAGTAGGTACTGATAATTACTATACATTTTACTATATCAGTAGAAGGATACATTTTCACTTGCTTATTGTCTGTGGAATTACTGATCTTATGTATACTTTAAATTTATATTTCAGGATGCCATGAAAAGGTCCTGTGTGGGAATCTGGTCCTGCAAGCGATGCAAGAGGACTGTTGCAGGTGGCGCTTGGGTATTCTCCACAACTGCTGCTTCATCATGCCGTTCTGCTGTGAGAAGATTACGTGAAGTCAAGTAAACATCTGACTTAGTGTAAGGCAATAAACTAAAAAAATCAACACATTTGTTTTATTTTCAATTCATTTAGTTTGCCCAAGAGTGTCATAAATATTTTGCTAACCCAATCTTATCAGTCTGTTTAAATTAAGATTTTATTCTTTTGTTACATGTTTCTCTTTCACAGTAACCAAAGTTTTAAATTAGGTAAAAAAATTTTTTGCTTGGGTATTTCTGTTACTTTCAATCGACCAGGACCGATAGGATTTAAGAAATAAGTATACAAGGCACTTGCTGTTTTAGCTATAGAAAACAGTAAAAGTGGAATTTAAAATGTACATGCAAGTGTCCTAGATTATATAGACAAAATGAACTATGTGTTACTTCTTGCATGGCCAATTGAATCATAGGTAAGTATTTATGGTATGGATAATTTTATGAAGAAATTTGGAATAAATGAAAGTAGAAGTAAAATATAAAATATTGTACATTTATTCTAAGTTAAAAAATTACATTTTATTAATGTACTCTTCATCAATATGTATAATAGATAGGTACTTATCAGTTACATTAGTTCTATAGCACCAATTTTTTTGTTTTATCAAAATTATTACAGACATTGAGTAGGAAAGTGAAACAAAATACAATTTCTTTGAATGAGTATTTCTTAAAATGCTGTCTTTTATGTAAAATTTATTAACCTATGTATAGTACATTAAATAAGTACAAATAATAAATTCTTTTGGCCTCACATAAAAATAATTAAGTAAAAATTACAGTTTATAGTGTCTGTGACACATTCTGTTAACAACATTTCAATTTTAAAGACACTAAAAATTTAATAACTATTAATAAAAAAAATGGTACATTTTGATTTCATAAACCATTCTTGACTAAATTAATGTAAGTTATGGGACTAGTTCCTACTTACTGTATGTGGTGCCATTTTACTGGTTTTACATGTTTTTCTGGCAAGCCCCTAAAACTACCACATAATAATTTATAATGACTATCAGGCTGATCTTGATATATAGCTTAATGTTTTAACCCCTTGTAACATGGAAGACGTTGAAGCTGCAATAGCAAGAGATTATATTTTATCATATGACATGTCACCTTACCCCTGTGCCATTTTGGAACTAACTTAAATTTTTAGTGTTTTATGTCCTTGAAAAGTTTTTAAAGACTGCCATGTCCATTAATAAAAAATGCGTTTTTATGTTATTCTGTCTGTCTATCATGGTAGTTTTTATGATTGGCTGTCTCACAGTCTTACACAGTAATTTGTGATGGCACAGAGAACATAACATAAAATAGTATAAGACTTGACAATATTAACAATATTTCAGTACCAAGGCATTAATTACTAAATATAAAATGTGCCTCTTATTTCATAAATTTTCTATATTAAGGTAATCTCCATAGTTACATCATTCACCTAAGTCAGCATCATCATCATCCATTACATCCAAAATACGGAATGCTACTCCCAATAAGGCAGTGCCAAGTAAATCACCTAGAGCTGTTAAGTATGGTATTGCAGAGTTATCAGGGTCCATACCAAATTTCCACATCCACAATACCATATAATGACTAATTAACAATAATAAAAACACTTGCAGCATTGCAGCTGACATGTAGAAAAATATAAATGTGGGAGTCATAGATGTATGCCCAGCCCTTAGATATCCTATTGTGTATATGAATATTAGTTGGCCAGGTATAACCATAATAAGTAATAATTTTGTAGTACTACTAATGACAGGTCCTTCTTTCTGACCTGTGTGAAATGCTGTTGACAATCTGGATGCATGGACAGCTACCATATTGCCTCCTATCCCATTTATGACTAGCTGGTAGACTGCAATACCTTTGTACTTAGACACTGTATAATCCAATATTAAACCACCAGCACTGCTTATAACCATTGCAGACACAACAGGCACCCAACCCTCATCCAGAGCTTGTCTAGTAAAGTTATTTTTCCAAGCAATATAACCACAAACTGGCACAACAAATGCACCGGTGATGATAATAATAGATGGTAATATCACACTTGTGCCAATAGATTTGTACAACAGAGAAGCTATCCAAGATAACAGTGCCAAGGTTGTTAAATCACCCAAACTGGCTGCAATGGGTGTGGCAATGTTGTCTGGATTTATATTTATCTTTCTAGAAAACACAACAACACCAATCATGATTAACCCAAGTACAAAACTGGCGAATGAAGCAGTGAGAACACTCGACGCACACAACAATAACGCATGATGAATATCAAACTGTCCTTTGGGTATCCAGCCCATTGCAACTGCTGCTGATGCTGCTAGGAAGCCAACAAGGACTGCTTGACATTGTATTAAACACAAATTACCCATCACTAATGAACCTAAACTAGTTTCTAGATGACCCAAATGTGCATTGGTAGAGAGTCTTGATGCAAGGGTCATTTCCAGGTTGCCCTTCAGTCCTAATAGAGCAGGCACTAAAATGTAAACTTCTGACACCTCCTTGAAAACAACCCAATGTTGCACAACATCAAGGAGCAAACTCGCCGCCACCATACCAAAACCGGCAAGTAAAAATGATAAAAACATTTGCACACCTGCAAACCACGAATTCTCTTTTCCATAATTTATGTCCGGTGGTTTCGTGTTGTTCGCAACGAGTTTATACGCATTGGAATTAACTTCTGTTTCACTGGAGCACTCAGAGGTCCTCGACATTCTAGAATTATTGTTCTTGATTCTGTTCATGATCACAAATTAATTTTTATATTAATAACATACAAGACGAACGAAGTTAACGTTATCTTAAAATGTAACACATACTAAATTAAAACTTCAGCTGCGAGATTGTGCTGTGGTGAATAGAATTTACAATTTAATACCAGAATAGATATTTGTCTCGCACAATTCAACCAGAAGCTTTGTTGTCTTTAGTTACTAATTATCAGATACATGATTTCTTTTTATTTGGACAGCGCAGCAGGTGACGGAAATTACATGACATTGACCCACACTAGTGTTGCCGATCGATAGTCGACTATCGATGATTAATCGATAGTCTATCGATAGCCAACCAATCGTTTGACAATCGATCGGCTTATCGAGAGTATCGATACTATGAATAGTATCGATAGCACAGAAAAAGCCAATACTATCGGATGAGTTAAATACTATCGATAGTATTGTAGTTCGTTAATAACAAACTATCGATAGTATCGATACTGTCGATTTTATTTGCAACCATACTATCGATAGTTTAACAATTTGCAATAGTATTGTTTACAATTTTCAGGTATTATAGTCAATCACAAACTTTAGTCTAGAACAATCGCTAGTGTCGATACTATCGATAGTATTGTTGCAGATAAAATCAACACTATCGATAGTATCAATAGTTTGTTATTAACGAAGTACAATAGTATCGATAGTATTGCCTTGTTCTGAGCTATCGATAGTATCGATTCTATCGATAGGGTACATGATTTTCGATGTAAACTGTCGATAGTTTTAATATCGATAGTTCGGCAACACTAACCCACACCATAGATTAGATAAATAAACATAGTGGTGCGAAGATAACGATAAAAACCTCGTGATAAAGACATTGATTGGCAGGCCGCAGGCAGCATATTACATCGCTTTCGAGTTTGGTTTGATCGTCACGCCAGCGTACAAACCATGAACACCATTAATATTTCCAAAACTAATGAGATTTTTCGGACTAATTAAGCACTGCTGTCGATTCTGGCATGATGCTCTAAACCTAAACTTAAGGCAAAAGTGTATACTTATGTTGCTTTACAGAAAGAAATGGACAGCTAGAGTCCGACAAGCGAGTCGTGGCACAAGCTCGTGGCGGTAAATTTAAAAATCTCTCATATGTTAACCCTGAATATAGTGAGAAAAATCATGTTGATACTTGAATTTTTCAATATTTTTGAAAAACAAAATAATAATGAAGAGATCTATTACGAATAGCACCATATAAACAAATGATTCAATTGGTCATTTATCTGAGTCATTCACGCCTGATTCACCAGGGCTTGCAGTGTAGACATGTCGGTGATCACTAATGTGGAACAATCCGTACTCTAGCGCCGCCAACCGACAAAAAAATAATCAAAGTTTTTAAGAAATAAAAAACTAAACAAGTGATATATGTTTCTCCGAAAACACATTATCAAATTTAAAAATATTATTCTTTTTAGTGTCTCGAAAAATAAATTATAATCAAGTGGAATAGCTTTATTTTTAAGCGGCGCTAGCATGCCAGTCGTTCCACCTTATTAATACATTGAAAACGGATATACACAAAATGAATAAAAAAACATGTATTTATTCTGAAACATAATCAAAATCTGACTCTAGAAATTCAATGCCTTCAGATGATTTATCACTTTCACTTTCATCATCACAAACCCTGAAGAGAAATGGTTCAAGTTGCTCTTCTGTTATTCGGTCTTTAACTTTATATTCATTTTCAACATTAATTATCTGTAATCTGTAAATAATAATAAAACAATTTTGTTAATAGTTGTTAGTTAATAGGTTCTGACGCATGCTTACATTCATCTAAACATATTTTCAAAGAAAAAAAGCAGATTAAGTCAGAAACTTAGTATACAAAAAATGACCTTTAGAAATTTTGTCAATTACTCCACTTGTGCTCGGGACCTTGCCAAGATTTTTTTGGTCTATAATTTTGATGTACATATGTTTCATCTAAATAAATTATTGTGTTTCCCTCTTGCCGTTTCTGATCAATAGTTCTGAGGTATTTGTGTCTCTAAGCCGAAATTTCAAAATTTTCAATTAGAAGAGACCGTTCGCTTTTATTGCTCTTGAATTCAAAACAATTTTTTTGACAATATTTGTCTTAATGTTTCACGGGAAAAGCACCTGTCCTTATTTGAATGTACATATAAGTATCAAAATGTGATGGCTATACTTACTTGCAGACACAGACCTGAAAAAAAGACGGACGTAACCTCGTCTTATCTCGAGTGAAGCATACAAAAGGCCGCCCGCTTACAGCGTGTGCGTGATTTGAGGGTTGTCGGGTAAATCATCAATTTCCCTACTTTTTAAATCTCCCAAACTAAAACATTGTTAACATTATGTAATCAAATACATATTATAAAAACGGGATATTTACCACGTGTTTTACTCGTTGTGAGCTCCTGATTTTTCAGCAATTTAAACGGTCTATCAAATTAATTTTTAGGACCACCGAGATAGAAAAGAAAGCACTTGTTATGTAAAAAGAACTTTATTGTTTACATATAAATGTTAGTGTCTTAATATTATGTATGAGGTTAATAACATACATTAATATACATAAATCGCGCAGATTAATGCTTAAAATAAAAATATAATAGACTAATATTGCTATTTCTTCTTTCAAATGTAATTCATAGATTGAGTAGGTATTTAAAGACTGACAGAGTGAGAAAAAGAGATATCATGCCAATCCTATAACGTAGAAAGAGACGCAACATGATGTACCTTTCGTCTAATAATATATTTTTTGCAAGAGCCGCAGCGCCCTGTCAAGTCGTACTGAGATAAAATTTATTATGAAATTCTGTGAAACTAAGAAAACAATAATGCATATAATAATAATAATAAATAAATAAATAAATATAACACAACACAAATGTGCTTATTACAAACTGAATAAGTATGTGTTATGGTATCCTGTGTTTTAAGCATATCTTGATAAATCGACACTGTCACTCGGAATCAAACACCGATACTCACACATGCACAGATATTTTTTTGGAACAGTAGCGTTAGGTACTCTGTCTATCTTTACATCCTATATCTATGGTTTCATTTGACATCGTGGTTTACCTACAATGCGAAGAAATGGCACTACCGTGCAGCCTAAGAAATACAAGAAGAAATTCGTCACGATCATTAAGTTCTCGGTAGCATAGCAATTAGTGCATCCACCCAGACAGCAGAAAACGCAGGTTCAAGTCCTGCCTGTAATTCATTTTGTAATAATTTTGGTTATCGTAATTTAGTTTCAAAAGTTTATTTGTATAGTAGTTCTGTTAACGGGTTTCAACTGTATCTATATATATAAAACTCAAAGGTGACTGACTGACATAGTGATCTATCAACGCACAGCCCAAACCACTGGACAGACCGGGCTGACATTTGGCATGCAGGTAGATGTTATGACGTAGACATCCGCTAAGAAAGGATTTTGATCAATTCTACCCCCAAGGGGATATGCAGATAAAATAGGGAATTAAAGTTTGTATGGAACTTTGTCAATTTTAAACCGATCGGGCTGAGACTTTGCATGCAGGTATAAGAAAAATCATAGATGAATGTCATTGTGTATAATACAACAATTCAGCTCTACACCGAAGCGAAGCGAGGGCGGACCGCTAGTTTTTAATATTTCTTCTTAACAGGCTCCGGTTTGAACGAAAATCAAACAACGTGTGCACTGCACACAGGTGTTATCCCCTTTGCAGTATCGAATAATTAAAACCCAGTCATCTCTACGGTTTCTATTTCTAGGAAACCTATTAGAAAGAAGACAAGACAATAATTTATATAAAATATTCTATGAATAATATGGCTTCTTTTCTTTTCCTTTTGGGATACGGAACCCTAAAAATTTACGAAATCTTATCTTGCCTAGTTACAAATGCAAGAAATACAAATTTCCCTACTTTTAGGGAAAATTTCCCGTAAATAAAGTAGCCACACAGTTCTATTTTTGTTTACAATTTTCATCCTTGTAAATAAAATATAATATAAAAAAAATATCAAGAATCGTCAATACTTAAGCATAGTAGGTGATTCCTTGTGACTTTTCAAATTTACTCGTGTAGTTTTTAAAAGATTTCACCACACAAGACGGCATTTTTTTCAAAATATATCGGAGCAATTGAACGTGTGACTGGCGCTGTCACGCGAGTTCAAATGGCAGCAGATTGTCCGACCTGGTGCATTAGTGTGAGTGTAGGTAGTGTACAACACACGATTTTGTCTGACCTACATGTCATTGTCATGCTTCACAAGATTTGCCTTTGATATTACGTCCGTCTTTTTTTCAGGTCCGTGCTTGCAGATGAAACAATTTTGTCCAAAAGACGTATTTTTTCCTCCACACGTCGGCTTGTATCAGTTTTTCTTTGTTCATACTTGTTTATCATACTATATAACAAACTCCGAACACTGCTTTTAATAGGTTTCGACATTTTTCATACCAAAAAACGTATAAATATCACACCACAGCAAGACGTAAAGGTTATGATAATTTAAAATGACATATATTTTTTCTACCTATGACAGTTAACAGTGTTGCAATTCGTAATAATTCTTGTGCCACGACTCACTTGTCAGACTCTAATGTTACATTTAGTTTAAGTTTAGAGAATCATGCCAGTGGTGTCGATTCTAGCATGATTCTCTAAAGCTAAACTTAAATTTGACAACAGTGTATCCTGGTCATTCTCTACACAGAATGAAAAGTAGAGACTGATGTTAAATTTAGTTTTAAGTTTAGAGAATCGTGTCAGAATCGTGTCAGAATCTAGCATGATTCTCTAAAGCTAAACTTAAATTTGACAACAGTGTATCCTGGTCATTCTCTACACAGAATAAAAAGGAGAGACTGATGTTAAATTTAGTTTTAAGTTTAGAGAATCGTGTCAGAATCGATACCATTATCGACACCAGTAATTAAGCAATAAATAATATCATAAGTAATAACCTCTAATTTGATCGGATGTACGCTAGCATGACGGTTACTAATTTGATGTAATTTTTAATAGCATTTGTCAGCTTGTTTTTGGTGGACTTCCAACTTCCATTTTGTTTATGGTTCCGTTTGACATTTGACGTATACAACTTTTACGACATTTGGCGATGTCGAGTATTGAAGTGACCGCTAACAAAATTGATTTAAGAAAATAGTGCGTTATTTTAATAATTCCAAGTTATTGATAAAGCAACAACCATTCTAAAGTAGGGTAATTAAACACAATCTCAATAAAAGACCGCCCTAACGTTTGCATCTGAAATTTTTTATTTCTCTTCGTCTACATCTTAGATCCGGAAACCTACTTATTGGAACACTGTAGAAGCGTACAAGTGAGATTTGTTGATTTAATAATTTGAAATAATCCCCAAACAACTTCTGTCGGGGCATGAATCTTCTACGAAAAGCATTACGTTGTAGGTAGGTTAAAAAGTTACTTCTTTGCAGGTTGGCGAAGTGAAGTAGCTGTGCATTTACTAATCTGTCATGTGGAATTAGAAATTAGGTGATATTCAAAATGTTCAGAAGTAAAATAAGAATACACACATGTCGGATAATATTACTGACATCTCTCGTGTGGTTGCTTGTGGATGTCGCGCTATTAGCTATGTATTCGGACTGTTTTGGTGATGGATGCAACAAGAAATCTAGTGATTATGCTGTAAAGGTAAGTGTCTTGTATACACTTTTACTCATAAAACTTTATTTCATTAATAAATCATAAAGTACTAACAAAGTCTTTTATAATAATAAAACATTAGGTGTTTGATAACAATGATTAATAAAAAAGTAATGCCAAAATACTGTCAGTGGAATTTATATAATTTTATCCTGTCATGTACTAAGCAAATTCTAACTTACCAACACAGCAAAAATATTTAGTTGATTGCAGTACATTATTGCTTAAATGATTTATATGCTCTAAGCTAGCAAACACTAGTGCATTTTTATCAACTTATGACAACAAATTCAAAACAAAACGCACTGTTAGTTTTTCTCTGTACATATTAGAAATAATTACATATCTAGGTATGTAAAGGGCAATGAACTTACCACTTTATCTTAAATCACTATTGAACTAATGGGGAAATGTCTGCAGTAGTCTTCATTAATAAATAGTCTTAAAGTTCTTTTCATATACTTACCTAATCATTTATTCTGCATAAATAATAAGCAAAAGTTTTAATAAGTAATTCTTTTATGTAGTTTAATCTGTATAAAATTAATATTGATAATACAGAAAACTATATTTTTACACAACTGCAAAAGGCTGTAAATGCTTTTGTTTTAAGTTTATATTGTAATTTGAGTGTTATTATATTTTCAATTTGAGTTAGTATACTAAGAAAAGTGTTATGAGCTAAATCAACAATTTGACAGACTAAAGAAGAACTAGGAGGCAAAAAGGCTGCCATAGCAGCTGCACTGCAGCACAACATTGATGATGATGATACTAATTTAGAAGAGAATGAAATTGAACCTGATGTTGGGGAAGATGGCCTTGTTTTGAATGCATACCCTAAGTCAAGGTTAAAGAGGTGGCAGAGAGTACCCACTGTGCTACCACAGGGAGAGCTACCTGGGGAATTGGGTAAGATACTTTTTCAGTATGTTTTGTCATGTCTGTAACTGTTTCCAGTGATCTCAAAGACAGCCTTTTTATTATTATCTATTCAGAATCTACTTAAGGGGTGAAACCACAACAATGTGTATTTGATATTATACATTATTTGTTAAGATACTCATTCTTAGGTAATTTCAACATAAGATTTTCTGACGTTATGTAATATGCTACATTGTTATTTATTTGCTTGATAATATTGGTATCCTTGGTTTGCAATGCCGTAAAGCCTTAACTCTATACTAAATATTGCAGTCTTATTCAATATTTTTTATCCAGATTAGGTAAAATTCAAAAGAATAAGCCTATTACTATACCTTTACTCTTATCCTACACTTAAGGCTAATAAGGATATACATCAGATTAAATTTATCCAATTGTTTATTCATTGAGGTGTCTTTCTCAGGTTATTTGATATTTATAAAATATAACCTATTTATTAAACTATTTCATGGTTCCGTTTGTCATAGGTTAATAAGTGTATTTTATTGACCAGTGGGTCTGCAAAACTAAGAATCACATTCTTTAATTATTATTTTTCTGAACTATAGAAGTTAGGGATTTAAAGTAAAAAAGTTTTATACACAATTTTATTAGTTTTCTTAAAAACCATAGTATAAAATAAAACTCTATTTAGAGTCCTTTTTATTTTGAAATTAAAGTTTTTACTTGTGAACTTCAAAAGTAATAGCAATTTTAATAGTGTGATACTTAGTTTTGTTGGCCAGTGTAGTTATTCAACATTAATTTGATATATGTAAAATTTATCCTATAACTTTGTTAAGGTTTTAAGTGTAACACTTTTCCAGATACACATTATATATTAAAAGAACTTGCTTCAATCTTTATATATATAATTCTTCTGTGAGTGTGTATGTCACTGAACTTCTCTTAAACGACTGGACTGATTTTGATGAAATTTTTTGTGTGTATTCAAGGGGATCTGAGAATGGTTTAGATTCACAATTTTGTCCGCTGGACAACCCCTATTTTTTTAGGGCGGTACGAAGTTCGCTGGGTCAGCTAGTACTCTTATAATAACTTTCTTTTAACAACAGCAAATCCGTATTATTAACGATAATTATTATATTTTTCTCTCTTCAAAATCTTATTTAGTGTCTACAATTCATCCCACAACCTTGATTTAGATGGCAACTTCTTGCTGACACATTGCTGTCATTACAGAGCATACGTAGGTGTAATCATTTGTAAAACATAATAATTATATTCACATAAAAATATGTAATTGCAAAATATGTTAAATTCCACTAAAAACTCCTCAGAAAAATAACACACACAGGTATGAAGTTGAGTTCATACCTGTGTTGAGTTATTTCCAGTCGCCGCCGCCACGGCGATTGCCACCGGAGGCAAATGGGATTTAACTCATTGCGCCCACTTCAGTTATTTTATTTCTCTTGACTCTGGTGGTGATCCCCGCAGGGGTGACTGGGAATATACGGTTCTTCTGAACCAAAATAAGAATAGATGCATCCAATTTCATATAAAATCGGATCTCCCGTATTCGGTAACTCCCTTGAAAAAACTTTCGCCATTTGTGTTAGAAAGATCCTACTCGCCACTATTGAAAAAAATATTCAAATCTAAAGAAAAGTTTACTAGAAAAAAAATCCCCGCGGACCAGGCAGCGGACGGGACTCGAACCCGCATCCTTCGCAATCCGGGCGAATGCACTGACCATTATGCTACCACGGCCCTATTAGCCGCGTCGAAATTTTCCTAGCGTTAAGCTGCAAGGCTTCTAGTAAACTTTTCTTTAGATTTAAACATCTAGCAGTTAAATGCTTAAAAAAAAATCATAAAAATATTCAAAATACAAATACCTACTTAGGTATCAAAATCATAAGATAAAATTGTTAAAGTACTTACTTGCCACGTCGTCAATTGTGCGAAGTCTCAGACTAGAGAGATAGATCACTCACAGATCGTAATCTTAAAATGCTGTTTTGTATAAAAACAGTATCTAAAGATCGTAGTCTCAGACTTGAGAGCATCTATTAATAAGGGCCTTAGTTTATCGGTGTACTCGCAACCACGGCGGCTGCGGGACGGAACAGTATGCGGTCCCGTGGTTTTTGAAACCAAACAGCTCTTACGGCGTGTGCGGGTATAACGCCTCGGCTGTGTAGCCATCCACTTAAGTTTTTCACGGACGGAAAAATCAAAAGGATTTCCGGCCAATTTTCCTCTTATTAGAATTCTACTGTACATCCAGGCTTCACTTAGGTCTTAAATCAATCATGAATAGTTTCTCTACATATTTATTTATATATTAGATGTATAAATTAAAACCAATACTAAATATGATAAAACGCAAAATTAAAATATGTAAATAATTTTCTCAACCCCTGGCAGAAATCATCCACTTACACAGACGAGAGATAAATGGCTCCGTGAGTTCTTTAGGCTAAGAACTCACGGAGCCGAACTTAAACTTTGAGAACTAGGTATGTGGAAATTTCGGAAATGGCATAAGATGTAACAAAAATATCGATTCCTATCTACTTAGTTTAAAACTTACAGAACGCCAAGTGTCAATCGCGTTAGCATAACCGTGAAGTTATAGGTATGCACGCAATGCACTACCGTAATTCCACATTAAAAAAGATAACACGTTAATGGAACAGAGAATACCCAGTACCACCTACAACGGTTTCAGTGTCGTAATCGTGATTTTATTTGTTTAAGGATACAATTTGACATTGCAGTACCTCTATTGATTGTTCACAAGAGCAGTTTTTGTAGTTTTTAGGGTTCCCGTAACTCAAAAGGAAAAAACGGAATCCTTATAGGATCACTTTGTTGTCCGTCTGTCCGTCCTTCCGCCTGTCAAGACGGTTTTTCTCAGAAACGCGTTTAGATATCAAACTGAAATTTATATCTAATACTCATGTCTACTGTCCCTTGGAGCTGTGAAAATATCAAACTTCTAAGCCAAAGCAATCAAAAGATACAGCCGTTTATGCCGTAAATTTTCGAAACTCTCACAGTAATCAAAACCTACATGGTACTTCCCGTGAACTTAGAATCTTGAAATTTGGTACGAAGTAACGTCATAAAGTACAGATAAGGGAAAAATTGCGAAAACCGTAAAATTTTTAGTTACAGCATTTTATAAAAAATAATATATTTGAAAATTTTAAAGTTACAACCTCTTTTCTCATGAACGCGTAGAGGTAATTGGGTTTGTACGGAACCCTCGGTGCGCGAGTCCGACTCGCACTTGGCCGGTTTTTTTTTATATTAAAGAGGTGGCAAATAAGCATATGGCCCCCTGATGGTAACCAGCCAGTATAACCTATAGACGCTTGCGATACTCAAAATATCACTCGTTCAACGGTCTACCCTGACCCAATCGCTTAGCTCGTGGAGCCCTGGAACCTTACTCACCGTGGTATTGTGTTTCTGCCGCGCCTGAAACCAAAAGGTAGTCGTGTTTTAGTGTTATTAAGTTTATAGTGAATTACATTTTTAAGAATAAAATTTTTGTCATTGTTAACCCGGCGTTCGCACAGTTGGGTCTATTTGACCCGAGCAGTTTTCAAATGAGCGTGTTTCTTAAAATGTTTGTGCTACTTTGCCAAACTTCTCAGTAGCTGGAGCTAATGGTCGCCCCTCCACGTGGGATTCGCCAATCAGTCGTGTTGCGGCCGCAGCGAGTGATAGACACGGCCAAACACGAAAAAGGTAAATATGACCCAACCACACTATTCGTGTCGTAATTTTGCGCCGTTTAAAAAAATGTTTTATTGTTGTTTTATATTGTTTATTTTGTTATTTTTGGCAAATATGTCTGGAATAAATGCGTAGATATTACATAACGCCAAATAATTCGTAGATATTACATAAAGAAACTTAAGCCTTATACTGGTTCGTGAGCATTTGCGCAATCGTAAAGATGTCATTTAGTTGCCAAGACTTATGCGCAAAAGAATAAGAGAGTTTTTAGGAGTAGGTACCTGATGAGGAGCCACCTGTGAAGATACTTTATGTAAGAAAGAGATGCCAAGACTGTTCTGCCAAAAAAGATAGAAAACTAATACTTTTCGGAGCTGTATATGCAAATACATCTGCAGTGAGCATGCAATGTTGTACTGCCGAGATTGCGCAGATGATAAGGATACTATGACTGACATATGAGACTGATACAAATAGTATATTATTAGTTTACTAAAGATTTGATTAACATGTAACAAATTAGTTTATGTTATAGAAAAAAGTTTGTTTTGTTAAAATTTTATTACTTTAAGACAGAGGTTGTCCATTTTGTTAATATTTTGTGACACTTTTATGAAAATGACATTAAAAAGATAGTTTCGTATCATGTTGTGTTTTTTTCTACTCAAAACCTATAACGATAATCGTTTTATACAGATAGTACAACCACAAACCAAATTTATTTTAACCTTTTCGGGTCCGTTTTCTTATACGGGTCCTCTCGACCCAACCCTACTGTCGTTGATGCATATTTTGACTGTGCTGACGCCGGGTTAAGAATCCATTGGACCGTTTTCATGCATACTTTTACACATCCTCCCACATACATCCATTCACTCGCACATTACACACAGCGAGGTCATTGACTTTTACAATTTTTATTTTAACAGTTTTATTTAATCAAAATTAGTATTTCTTGTAATATCAGTATAACAAGAAACTTACTTCACTAGCTTAGATACAAGTAATTGTCTAAACCTGAGGATTGAGGCACTCTGTATGCTGAAATACAGGATGAAAATCCTAGTTCGGCAGCAGATGCTAAAGATTGTCTTTTATATTCTTAAGCTCATATATGGTGTCTATAGTTTACAAGACGTAATGTTACTTATATGCTGGTTTAAATAAAGGTTATTATTATTTCTGTGGGTTTCTGTAAGGAGGACCTTACTTCCCCAGACGGGCACTCCAATATGAGCGAATAATCCGGTATGCCCCCTACCTCTCTTAAAGTGAAATGTATGTCATACAAAGTCATAGCGTCGTTTGTACAATAGTTTTTTTAACCATTCATTAAACAGAAATATTTATTACTGACTCTGTAGTTTAATGGAAAGTCAGTAAAACGTTTAAGTTACACAATATTTCAATGGATTATTTTCTGTGAATCGGTATTATGTGGGTGTAAAACCGTGACCAGCTTTTATAACATATCCCAGTATCATAATTACAACAATTTACTACCTTATTTACAATTATGTACAACTAGGTCATTTTATTTATCAATGAAAAAAATCTTGGCTACAAGCATTTTTAATGAATTTCTCTTTTTGAGTTTGAAACTGAAGTCGCTGTAAATGTAAATGGATAGTTGTTACTAAAAATGCACTTTATGTAACAAGATATTTCAACGAATTCTATGAAAGGAGATCAAACAGTATAAATATTTATAATTCTGTAATTATTGCCCACGCTTTGATTTGAATATGGAACTTAAACTAACGTAATTCAATATTTTGGCAATTAAATACAATCATTTGGATCTGAGTGCAATTACTCGTACTTATTTTACCCCGTCCTTCACGACAACGTCTAACTAGGCCGAGGTCCGAGTCTCAGATACTACTATTTGTTGAGCTGACTCCCCTCTAGTTGAGCCAACGCCCCTCAGGCTCGGGTGGCTCTAGGACTGAAAGGAGACTTCCCTGAGGGAAGATGCCATCCGCCTAGAGAATACCACAGAGGCACACGCGACTTCCCGACTTGAGGAATCCTAAGGATCTCGCCGTCCGCAAACCCAAACGCTGTAAGGGTCATCTAAGTTCTATTCTTATGTTAGGTAAAAATGCGTTTTTTCCTAATATAAGAATAGGATTTTGAGTAGACATTTTGTTACAGGTAAGGCTGTCAACATTCCTATAGAACAAGAGAAGTTGATGTTGGAAAAGTTCCAAGAGAACCAATTCAACTTGTTGGCCAGTGACATGATATCCCTCAACAGGTCACTCACCGATGTAAGATTCGAAAAGTAAGTATTATTTTTACTGTTTATACCATTTATTATGCTAATAGATAGTCAAAGGTTGAAGGTGAACTTTCGGTTAAGTTTAACAACTTCGTTAGCCTTGTGTTGCAATGTTCGTGACACGACGAGACCTGGTGGCCTATTTTGAATGCCTATAAGAAATGCTTCAGATGATTTCGATATTTCTATTTTAAGTATTTATGGTACAATTAAAGGAGAATGAACAATTAGCGTATATTTAAACACACCTTAGCTAAAAAAATTGTCTGAGAAGTTTGTCTGCGGATCTTAGAATACTCTTTTTAAAACACGAATTAAAAAATTTGCAGAATCAATGTCATAAAACGATATATTTTCCTACCTTTGTAGTATTACAATTAATGACCATATTGCCTAACTTCCTCAAATTTCTTTCAGTTGTAAGGAAACATTTTTGTAAAAATTTTACCCAGCGAGGAAGTATATTTTGCAGCCTATGCGTATGAAATCTTCAAAAAATCACTAAATTAACGTTTCGAAAATATCCAAAACTCGAATTACAGTCGTTCAATCCGTAGTAGGCCCCTTGATCGGTTCAATTAAAACTAGTCCAGGGGTGGGCAAAGCAACAGACGGCCCGCGGGCCCTTGAATAGTTAAAGTCCTACTCGTGAAAATCGAAGGTTCTCACCAAAAAGTACTATTGTTTCACATGTTCCGACCGGTTATAAGCACAGTGCCTAAAATGCTAGATGCCACTGCTGCAAAAATACCTAACACGTCAATTGACTAAGAAGCAGATAGCCTAGACATTGTAATTGTCTTTTATTTCTTCTACAAATCGAAATGCCTAAAATGCAGTACCATGTCTTTGTAATGCCTAATGCGCAACTTTGGAAACTCTTGGTTTAAATGGTTGATGTAATTCTATACTAGCACTTGAAAAATCATAAGATTTTATTATTATGCTCAGTTTTATGTAAAATAATATTTGTTTAATTAAGAAGTAGAAGATTTGTTTTAAGAATACAGTTTTTTCTGTTATTTATTACTATTTAAAAATTTCAAATTGATGGTTGGCAGCAAACATTATGGTCACGTCACGACACATTGTAGGGAATCTGCTTCTTAGTTAATTACAGTTTTAGTTATTATTGCAGCAGTGGCATCTTGCATTTCAGGCAATGTGCTCATAAGCGGTTCCGACAAGGCTCACCCCGCTCTGCCGAAACTGGTAGTACCTGGTAGTTCCTATTTACTTTACAGAAAGAATCGTGTGTGGCCTGAGCAAAAACTTGGCACTCCATAGATTCTAATAGTAAATATTGGCACGATAGTCATGGCGAATGGCGTTTGCCTATTATTGCACTAAATAATGTATATTATTTTCTCTATAGATCTCTCTTACTCTCTCGATAGGTGTCAGGTGTACCTACTCGTGAAATGTTTTAGACTATGATGCAAATTGCTTCACGACACGTTTGCTTGAGTGATGTCCTAGCTAGAATGAAGACTTTTTTATCTTTCATATTATCATCATTATCGTTGAATTAAATGTAAGACTAACTTAACTATTTTTTTATTACTGATTACAATATCTGCTCTTTCCGCAACTTCTACCGTTTTGACCGTTTTCTATTGGTTTTTATTCTAATAACATATTAAGTTTATTTACTAACATTATAATGTTTGGTATTTGTATTCAAGTTAGACTTTAAGGGGTATAAATATATCAATGGGTCGACTTGCTTGATTATAAATAATAGATATAAAAATAAATAAGAATTTATACGCCATAGTACTTTTATATTTTTAAGTTTTAATTTTAGTAGATATACCTATGTATGTCCTTAAACACCACACCAGAATTCTTCGATGTTATCTAAAAAACAACGTTAATAAAGCTTTTGAAAAAGCAACCTTCACTCGACTCACTCACTATATCTTATTACTATTTTTGCAATAAGCCCGGTCACTGCCCAATAATATCCGAATCGAGACAAGTATTCGGAAATGTTGATTATTGTATCCATGATATTACATTCCGCACCCCACGCGACTGCGCGACTGGTTAGGGTAATAGATAATAAATAGAACATAATAGAAATGCTGTATTACTTAGAATGCCAAAATCGTTAGAGTGCTGGACCGCGCGTATTTTTAAGGTTTTGTTTAAGTTTTGAATCTAAACGGCCTCAACGGAAATCTCATATTCTGCTAGCCACCACTGTCCGCCCATCTGAAAGAAGGCCTTTTCTCCAGAATGATACAGGTCTGCGGCTGGTTAGGACATAGATAGAATGCCGAGTCCGTTAGGAGTGCTGGAACGTGCGTATTTTTAGGCAGTTTGTTAGCAGGCTCTGTCTCAAGAACCGTTATATGTTGACAGTGAAAATTATCACAGAATGCTTGCTACATCAAAAAAAATAAATGAAAGTAAAACAGTTGAGAGTTTTGTCCGCGGACGGTCAAAATTCTCTCAATCGTGAAAATAAGCCGAGGACTTTTTAGGGACTCAACGCACATGGCGTGCGAACATTTTGTTGCCTTGCCCGCAAAATTTAGAGAAGCGCGTTTCGGTGTGCTCGTTTGTTCGGGGGACTTTTTGTACGCGTTACTTTGAATCAGTCGTGGGCGGATGTGGTTGTAAGCGATCTGTTTTGGCGGCCTAAAACGTCCGCAGATCAAAGTCCCTCGTCTGCGCAGGTAGGTTTAGTAGGAAATATGAGGTTAAAATTCAATTTTTACTTTCTAAACGGATCCGTCAATTAGGCATCCTCAATTTTACAACCAGACAAATATTTTATCCTGAGTGATGTTGTTAGGTACTACTCTGGGGCAGTAAAGGTAGCATATTAGCATATTTGGGTCACATATTACCTCTTGCAATAATTACATAATTATGTAGATTTTTTCTGCAATTCTTCGATGGTCAACTACAGTTTTAGCCGCAAACTAAAAAAAATATGAATAAAACTTCTACATAAACTAGTACAGTGCCGGTTTACCTTTCTTTAGTGTATTGTATAGGTATTATTATTGCTTTTCGGGACAGTATTGTTTTAATATTTACCTATTCCACATGGAAGGGGTGTGCACAGCAGCAGCAAATTAAGAGAAGCGCGAATTGATTAGTTATTAAGTAACATACTTATTGTAATATTTGTTGTTTTCTCACACTACTAAAATTTCATGTTAAACTGATATTACTATAATATGGTTGACGCTTCTGTGTTTTTGTTTAGTATTTTAATCAATACAGATTTATATATGTGGTAGCTTGTCAATAGCTTTTAGTAATGTTTTTTGATGTTATTTTTATTTTCATAAGTTGTTAGCTGCCCTAAGATAATAAATAAAAAATCCTCCTGAGAATGATAGTTTGCTTAAAAGAAATAAGTCCATTCTGTACTGAATCTAAACAAAATATTAAATTTATAAAAATGAAGTTGTATAAAATCTTTTTGTCTCCGTTGATTGGATCAGGTTCTATGGTGGTACTATCATACTCAGTTATGAAGGTCGTAAATCTCTCATGTTCGTATTTAAACGGTTGAGATTTGTATTTCACTCAGTTTATTGTTCTGTATTATTTTCATTCACTGGACGCTAGACATCGATTCGTTTTGTATAAATCGCATAGAAAGTGCTTGTAAAACCGGTTATTATATGGCTTTTATTGCGCGCGGCTGCTTGCAATATGCCTATTGATTGAACTGGCGTATAATAGCTGCGTTCACGGTTAAATGCCATATTGAACCAATATTTTATATATATTTAGTATTCCCGTTAACACATCACACTAAGTCATCTATACAAAGTATAAAATAAGTCTACTTCCGGCTCTGTTTGTATAAATATTTGCTAATTCTTAAACCAGGCAACTAATTTCAGTCATCAGTTAATTCATTTTTCACGTGGGGTTTAAATATATATAAACCTCCCGTTTAATAATATTAACACTAAAGGGAAGTGTTTACTCAACGTTTTGTAACAAAGTTAGCGTGTAAGAAAATGAGACGTGTTTGAGATTATCAATTCATGACTGTTATGAATCTTTTAACTGGTATGACGAATTTTAATGAGAGCAATTGGAAAGTGACCCTAATATCATTGGTTATTTTACGGACGTTTAGCTGATAAAAATAAAACAACATCAATCAAAGTTGTGTGCATTATCTAAAAAACCATGAGTCTGCATTGCTTTATTGCAATTACCATTCTATTCTATAGGGATTAAAGATGTGTACTTCTCCATACATTTATTCAAGTGTGTAATACCTTAGTTGTGTTCGTTCATACAAGACCAAATATTTCTGCTATTACGAGCTTCCCGTCGTTGATGAGAAACGAAGCAGCGATAATTGTTTGTAATAAATACAAAAGGCCATAACTTGGTTTACCATAATGTGGTTGTATAAGATATCTTAGTTAAGAAACAACAAAGACTATAGTTGCTTGTATATTAAGTCGATGGTTACAATGGAGTTGTCCTAAATTAAATAGATAATGTATAGGCCCGACCATCATTGCAACCTTGCGATCGGTGAATTCTGAAATCGGTTGAATTAGAAGGATTTTATAACTTTATAAAATAAAGAACACATTCTTAGGAGACGATGAACAATGTACTGTGTAAATTTTTGGCAAAAGTTCAATTTAAGTTGTTGTTAAGTATACAATACTGGCAGGTCGCCCGTCAACGTCCATAATAAGTAGGGCTGCCATCCGTCCGGGTTTCCCCGGATTTGTCCTAGTTTACAGGGTGTCCCCGGAGCGTCCGGGCGGGGTTTCATTTGTAGTCCGGGTTTATAAATTTTCTGTTTTTGATCGCCAATTGATCCGTTAATGTGTCTTTGAAAATAAATAAATCTATTCTAACATTGTAACCGTAAATGCTGACTTCCTACAAAGATCAGTACCCCTAGCACGAACCAATATCGAATTCCCCTTAACTACGCAGACGGTACAACACGCACAAGGTACAACGCATACGCTTATTGACATTTTGAATTAACTATGTTAAATTTATTAATGTGACATTGAAATAATTAATGTTTTATAGATATATTATATTGCATGCCGATAAGGCAGAATATGGCTGTACTGTATTAAAATGTATCTATGTAACAACTTTGCAACCTGTATTCGCAATAAAGATGATTTGATTTGAATTTGAATTTGAAAAGGACGCAACTCCTTGTACGTGTTGTACCGTCTACATGTACATACAATGGAGAGTATTCCGAGGAATTATTCAACCGGATGCCAGTGGCCAAGCTTCTTCACAGCATCACACACCACAGAGAAGTTCACGCCCACCATTTGGGCGCCTGGCGTTCGAGCACCATGTGTTCCTTTCTTTTTCGTACCAGCAAGATCTGGAACGAACTTCCCTCAGTATTTTTTTCTTATAGCTATAATATGGTAATCTTAAAATGGCGGATGAACCTTTTCGTTCAGAGCCGGCAACGCATGATTGGCCCTTGGTGCTGCAAGTGTCCATGAGCAGCAGTGACCACTTATTATCATGTGGACAGCTAGCTCTTTTGCCTACATCAACATAAAAAAGTTGATTTGTGACATTTTTAACTGCTTTTTTATTGGCCTGTCCGGGTTTTTGGCTCCAAAATCCGGGGTTATCACGCGTCTTGTCCTGGTTGCCACATTTTAGAGATGGCAGCCCTAATTATAAGTAGTTTCCGTACAGTAGTAGGTACATAGTTTATTAAAAGAAATTTTTATGTTATGTTCGTCACCAGCTTGTAGTCCAGTCAACAAGTTCAAAAACGTGAAAAATAGAGATAAAGCTCCTAAAAATATGAGCAATAACTCATTGGATTCGGAACGACCTCTAGAAAATTGAGTTTTGAGGATTTTACTGCACGTAAAAAATTGCAATTGTTATTAACAAAATAAGATGAAAAAAAAGAGGTATTTACGTTTTTGTTAATAACTCATAAACTATTAATATTTACGATATTTGGAAAAAAGGTCCTTAAAGAGGAGGAAATTTTCGAAAAAAAAGTCCCAGCTCCCAGAATCTACCTCTATTATTTATAATTTTAATTTAACGCTGAAAATAGGGCTCCGCGCAGCCATTACGGCATGGGCGCACTGCCGTTAAAGACAGTTTCTTACATAAAATTATTTTTTTTAGTAACAAATATGAATTTAAAAATTTAAAGAAATTATGGTGTCATCCAGATACTTGAAAGAATATATTCCCGATGGAATTTTTTTTTAAATTAATTTTTCAAAAAGTTATGCAATTGTTAATTAACGAATTTTTTTCCTATCTCCGTTTTCATAAATGACGACATAAAAATTTAAATAATAAACCTATAAATTTTTGGCTCTGTGGAGCTCTTCTTATATATATACTTAACAAGATCCCGCGATAAAAGTTTATTAAGGTTAATTATTTTGTTTATAACAATTTTTTAAAGTTAACAAAAAATGAAAAGTCTAAGAAATGTTATTAAAAAAATTTTTTTAAACAAATGTTATATTATTGCTGCTTTCTTATCCAACAATGGCATTAAGTAACATCGGAAAAAAAATTTTTACATCATTTGTTAAGAAATTGTTTATAAACAAATAGACAAGTTTAATATTTAAAGATTTTTTTTTTACCATTATGTTGTCTTGGCAAAATAATGATTTAAAAAAAAAAAAAATCTTAAATATTTTTTTTTATTGTTTATAATCGTTTTTTTTTATATTTCGATTGTTTAAATAATTAGTTAAGGAATGATTTTCTCTTTAAAAATCATAATTGGCATTTCTTCATAGGTAAATAGAAAAAAAATTTTTTTATCAATAATTTCATTGTTTGTTAACTTAACAATTTGTTATAAACAAATTCTAACTACCGTTATATTTTTTTTCTAGAGCTAAGAAAAATAGCAAAAACAGCCATATATATCAAAATACTAAAAAAATATTTTTCTATTTTTTATAACGCTTTAAAATATTACACGATACCAAAGTTGCACCGGACCCTTGATTTGTCAAGTAAAAAATTAATATAACTTATAAACTATTCGAGATACGATAATGGACATTCAGGTCGTTTTTATAAAGCATTAATTAATCTTCAAAATAAGCTAAAAACCAAGTTTGTAACTATTGTTTATCAGCTAATACATGCATTTGTTTATAAAATTTTGAGATTTCTTTAACTTTTTCGTATCTCTTATGACTTACAACTTAATAAAAAATTAAAATACAGCTATAAACCTTAAAAAAATTTTGTTTAGCGATACATTATCTCCCAAATTATCAATTAATCGTACCTCCATCTCTAATTGTTTAAACAATATACGTGATTTAATTAATATTTATTTAACTCGTGTTCAATTTAACATCGAGTTAATAATTTGGGAGATAATGTATCGCTAAAAAAAAATGTTTTAAGGTTTATAGCTGTATTTTAATTATTTATTAAGTTGTAAGTCATAAGAGATACGAAAAAGTTAAAGAAATCTCAAAATTTTATAAACAAATGCATGTATTAGCTGATAAACAATAGTTACAAACTTGGTTTTTAGCTTATTTTGAAGATTAATTAATGCTTTATAAAAACGACCTGAATGTCCATTATCGTATCTCGAATAGTTTATAAGTTATATTAATTTTTTACTTGACAAATCAAGTGTCCGGTGCAACTTTGGTATCGTGTAATATTTAAAAGCGTTATAAAAAATAGAAAAATATTTTTTTTAGTATTTTGATATATATGGCTGTTTTTGCTATTTTTTTTAGCTCTAGAAAAAAAATATAACGGTAGTTAGAATTTGTTTATAACAAATTGTTAAGTTAACAAACAATGAAATTATTGATATTTTTTTTTTTTTCTATTTACCTATGAAGAAATGCCAATTATGATTTTTAAAGAGAAAATCATTCCTTAACTAATTATTTAAACAATCGAAATATAAAAAAAAACGATTATAAACAATAAAAAAAATTATTTAAGAAAAATTTTTTTTTAAAAAATCATTATTTTGCCAAGACAATATAATGGTAAAAAAAAATTCTTTAAATATTAAACTTGTCTATTTGTTTATAAACAATTTCTTAACAAATGATGTAAAAAATTTTTTTCCGATGTTACTTAATGCCATTGTTGGATAAGAAAGCAGCAATAATATAACATTTGTTTAAAAAATTTTTTTTAATAACATTTCTTAGACTTTTCATTTTTTGAAAACTTTAAAAAATTGTTATAAACAAAATAATTAATTTTAATAAACTTTTATCGCGGGATCTTGTTAAGTATATATATAAGAAGAGCTCCACAGAGCCAAAAATTTATAGGTTTATTATTTAAATTTTTATGTCGTCATTTATGAAAACGGAGATAGGAAAAAAATTCGTTAATTAACAATTGCATAACTTTTTGAAATATTAATTTAAAAATTTTTTGCCAATGGGAATATATTCTTTCAAGTATCTGGATGACACCATAATTTCTTTAAATTTTTAATATATTTATATTATTTTCATATTTGTTACTATAAAAAAATAATTTTATGTAAGAAACTGTCTTTAACGGCAGTACGCCCATGCCGTAACGTCTGCGCGGAGCCCTATTTTCAGCGTTAAATTAAAATTATAAATAATAGAGGTAGAGTTCCGGGAGCTGGGACTTTCTTTTTCGGAAATTTCCTCCTCTTTAAGGACCTTTTTTCCAAATATCGTAAATATTAATAGTTTATGAGTTATTAACAAAAACGTAAATACCTCTGTTTTTTCATCTTATTTTGTTAATAACAATTGCAATTTTTTACGTGCAGTAAAATCCTCAAAACTCATTTTTCTAGAGGTCGTTCCGAATCCAATGAGCTATTGCTCATATTTTTAGGAGCTTTATCTCTATTTTTCACGTTTTTGAACTTGTTGACTGGACTATTGGTAAATTATAGTTCTCTACAATTATTCAATAATTTTATTGTCTCTACAAAGCAGACTTGCGTGACCCTAAGGGTACAGGTACTAGCTTAGTTCTTAACCATAAAAATACAAGAGACTAGGTTGTTAACTGGCATAGTTTCACGTTATAGATTTACTCTAAGCTATGTTCTAAGCAAAGTTTCTTGTAACACGGTCTTTACTTAAATAATGTAAGAGTGGTGACTCTGGTTTCAATATATTCCTCTAAATGCTTGCGCTGGCAGACGTTCGCTCCGCGTGCAGGGACATGTCATTTCATAGAACGGCTCTGCGACGGGAGGGCCGCTTCACGCAGCGATAAAGAAATAACATGAAACTGCGCGCGGAAAGGATGTCCGCTCCGTGCTCACGCTTAAGGCAGCGCACGCCCTAATATTTTCTCAAAGGGGCTGTCCATTAATCACGTGTTACTACACCCCCCCTTCCGTGGTCCGAGGATACTGTTCATTAAATAATGTTCATGTATTAGTACAAAAAAGTTTTTTGCATTTCTTTCATTATTTTTATGTCAGTCAAAAACAACCTGCAACCTTGAAACTTTACACATGTATTTTATAAATATTAAAGAAATAGGGTGTAGGTATTAAAAAATACACGTGATATGGAGGAGGGGAGGGAGGGTAGTGTGAAACCTCACCATGTATCACCAAGGGGGAGGGGGGGTTAAAAACGCCAAAAATACATCATGTGATTAATGGACGGCCCCAAACGTCAAGCATCACGTGTACATTAAACATGCGCGTTTTTTGAGTAATTTAAAAGAGTCAGTTGAAGTGTTATTTTCTTTGTTTCCATTTAGATGTAAAGACAAACCTTACCCAGAGTTGCTTCCGACTACCAGTGTCGTGATCGTCTTCCATAATGAAGCTTGGACCACTCTAATTAGAACAATCTGGAGTACCATCAATAGATCACCGAGACCTCTACTCAAAGAGATTATTCTTGTCGACGATGCCAGTGAAAAAGGTAATCTATCAATTACAAATAATTGAAGAATTTGATAAAGTATTTTTAAAAAATATTTTTTCCATTAAGCTATTTACAGACGTGCTACATTCGGTCTTGCAGCCTGCTGCAGCTTGATTGTAATATTTTTTCGCTAATAATGTAACTGCATTGCAACTGCAAACTGCGCAGTCACATTTGCTGAAACAGCATGCAGGCATTAGTCAATGCACACTAACTACTGGCAGTCCGCGTACTCCGTACAAGTTTTGATATCGCCTACATTCAACATTTAATTTTGCAGCCGGCGATACAGCCCATCAGTCAAGATCCTTATACATTTACTTATCCATGTATTTTAGTTGGATGTGATATGTAATGTTTTTTTTTTAATATTTATGATCCTTCGTAGAACACTTAGGCAAGAAACTAGAGGACTACATAAAAACTTTGCCGGTGCCCACTCACTTATTCCGCACGGAGAATCGTTCTGGCCTTATCAGGGCGAGGCTGTTGGGAGCCAAACACGTCAAGGGTGACGTCATCACCTTCCTAGATGCCCACTGCGAATGCACTGGTAAGCAATTTATTATTATAAATTAGCCGATCGGCGTACTTTGTGCAGCATTTTTTTTGATAAATTATTCTTATATATCTTTTATACATACCTTGTCCTGGCAATAAAAAACACAAAAAAAAACAATTTGAAGCAGTCGTTCGGAACTTATGCCAGTTCATACATTTCGTATCATCTACTTTTGAGTGTAAGTTTTAAAGTTTGCCGATTGGTTTTCGTTGGTATGGTGTCGTTTAGTACCCTTATCCACTGTAGGAATACGAAGCAGCAAAATAATATTTCTCATGTACGGTCTTCTGAAAATGCAATATAATGCAGTTGCTCAAATCCAAGTGATTTATATTACAATTCAATGGTTTATTTTTCCTTGTATTATTATTAGCTTTTTCCTTTTAGTTGTAGATTTAACGCAGGCTACGACCAGTAGCAGCAAAGCATCGATGAAAAATAATGCTAAAACGCGTAAAAATATTCCATTTGTGAGATTCCGTTGCGTGCGCTAGGTAATCGGTTAAAGTTACACAAAAATCATGTATGACGGAATTGTTCTCCTTTAAAAGTTCTGTAAAACAAGTCCACGACAGCCTATGTCTATATTTTAAGTTTGACTCACTACAAACCCTTTTCTTCAAATTAACGCGGATGAAACCGCAGGGGGCCTCTAGTTGTGACATAACTGTAATAGCTAGACATATGGTATTAATCTCAAAACTTTAGTACATCACTTTGCTCTATTATCAATGACTTCCGCAGCGTGCGCGATATAAAGCTATTTTTTGGTATTTTTTACACACGTTGGGTATTACCGTTATATTATCGAAGTTTTCTTCGATAATATAACGGTAATACGGAACCCTAACTTTTTTGAAAATACACTATATAGCCTATATTAATCAGTGATAATGTAACATTCAAATGGTGAAAGAATTTTTAAAATCGGTCCAGTACTTTTTGAGCCAATTCGTTACAAACATACAAACAAATCTTTCCTCTTAATAATATTAAGTATAGATTAAAATTAACCGACGCTTTAAAGATGAAACGTATCGTAATATCCTTAAGTATTTTAAGCGTTTTATATACTTAATATTGTATTATGTTACATGTCTCTCTGATAAAGGTAGTGTGATAATCTGTTGGTTTAAATGGTGGAGACAGCAGTATGAAATACTAGAGTGCGTCAGATATTCAAAGAGGGTGTTAGCTGATTACTATTCATAAGACACAAGCTCAACGACGACTTACTCGACTTCGACTAAATTAAGAAAAAATGCATATCAGGTTGTCCTCTCTTACATTATTCAATACGCGGTTGAATTCTTATTTTATGGTGTGGAGTCATTTTAAGATGCAATATGAGTGTTTAGGGAGACAATCATAACAGACATCACAACATTACATTTAATGTTATAGGTACTGATTTTAATCATGCTGTTAGATCTTATTGTATGGAATAACATAAATTATTAATGTTTTCCTTAATTACGACAAATTTGAAGACAAATTTAATATATTGTAACTATCAGCTACATTTGTGGTAAAATATAACATTATAGATATGTTGTTACGGACGTTAATCTGGTATTAGCTACCTAAAACCATTTTGATTGAGTTTCCCCTTATTAAGAGAAAAAAGCAATAGTATTGTTTACCCTAAGCTTATAGTTATAATATTAAAATGTGTGATTATTCATCACGTTTAAGCCACTGAACTGATTTTGACTAATTTTGATATGGAGGTTGGACCTCAGATAAGAGCAAGTCGAAAGGAGATTAAAAGGGAATAAAAACTCATATTTGAAGAAAAGTAATTTTATATAGACGAATGAGGGGGGAATATTGTAACTCAAATTTACTGAAAATGCCAGTTGAGCAACTGACATTAATAAAATTCCTCAATGAAATTTAATTTCTTGTGCATCGCTGAACATACATAAAGTGAATCCTACTTCCTACTAACATTATGAAAGTTTGTGTGTTTGTTTCTTTGTTACTCTATCATGCAAAACTACTAAACGGATTTGGGTGAAATTTGGTACGCGTATAGTTTATGACCTGTCCCTTGTCCCAGTTCCGGAAACAAATTGGTTCAAATGGGATTTAAAAAATACTTAAGATAACGCGGAAGAAGTCGCGTGCGGCCGCTCATCATTATAATACTACTATTGCCTACTCTGCTTCAGTATAGACTATGGTTATTTTCTCGGGCATGTGTTATACGTAATAAATATAAACCTAACGGGGAAAATATCTAACATATCAATTGGGTAGTTCTTGTGATCATCGTGATATGTTCACTTACAGAAAGAATATACATGCGGCAATAGACTTTTTTCATTCTTACCCCACACCACACCTGTGTGACGCAGGTTTAGTACTAAAATACGCTAAAATTAGCGTTGGAACTTTGAATGTACGCTCCTTTAGTTGCACATACAAAAAGTATCTATACATATAATAAAATGGTAGGAAAGTCAAAACTGTACATTGAATATTTTTTTAAAAAGAATACTTGAGGTGTGATCTACAATCGATACCGAAGCCAAAAATATAGTTTTTAGATTTTTTGTGTGTTTGTTTGTATGTATGTCCGGGATAAACTCAAACAGTACTGCATGGATTTACTTCAAATGGCACGAATATTATTAAGAAGTCGGGTCAATATATAGGCTAATTATTGTCACGCTATTACCTACGGGGAACGAGCAGTGAACTTTTATTTCTAACTAACTCCACGCGTACGAAGTCGCGGGGGGCCGTTAGTAGTAGTAATATTCAGCTAAATAATAGGAAAATTAATGGGAAGTAGCTGTTTATTTGTCTAACATGCGACACGATAACGGATCTTATATAGTGCATGCAATTCTACTGTATAAATTTATATGCACACGACGCGATGGTGTAAAAATTTTCGCGTCTCCCGATTTCGAACTTTATTACAAGGTATCACGGTTTCAGGAAAGTAATACTATTTATTGAAAAGTCGACGCTTTAGTTATTCGATGCTAATTTCCATTCGATATTTACTAATACTGTCTTTTAGAATACGTAGCATGGCTTTCTATGTTTCTTTTAAACTCTGATTTTTCACCAATTTTTTAAATGATTAATATTGTTGTTCGCACATATCTCAGAGATGCGTGAACCGATTTTGACCACAATTTTTTTCGTTTAAATTAGTTGTTCGGCGATATAGTCCTATAATAATTTGGTGAAAATCTGATGAGTCCTTTAGGCGAAAACAAAGGACCTCCTCAATTACAAACAGTACTTGCTTATTTTACGAGATATGAAAGAGATGAATCTGTCCAGGTACCAAGTAATTTTAAACCATTTATAGTCCAGTCGGAATAAACATGAGACCTATTCTAAGACACCAGCGCTTAGCCAATTTTTTCCTAGATAGTATAGACCCCCACGAATATGCCCTCCATTTGTCCCCGCTAGAACCCGTGTTTTGTAGCCAGGAAAATTGTTTAAACAAAGAAAAACCGTTTTTTTTTAGTTTTTTTGCTTGTAAACGGGGATTTTGAAAATTTTTTTGAATCAAAGTTGTTCATTAGCTTGCCCTCTACAAAATCAGTTCTATGAAAAAATAACGTGAGATTGTTAGTTTAGCAGTAAATTGCAATTATGTCGGTTTTACGTTTGCAACAATTCAACATGTTATAATAAACATTTTGATTTCTAAAGTAGTTTATCATGTGGGTAACGCCACTCCCAAGAGAGTCATGTAAAATTTATCGACCTGTGTCGCAAACTTTAGCAACAATTCTCAATCTCCGAAAAAAAAGTACTTGCCTGTCCCGTCTTTCCCAGAAGGCGCACAGCGGGGAAAAAAATTCAGGTGATTCGATTCACCAAGAATTTTGAGGAATCGATCGTTTAGAAAAAAATCGTTAATAAAAATGTTCGTTTTTGGACGATTTAATTTTTTTTTAAAAATTGACGTAGAATAATTTTTTTTTTAAACTAATGTATTTTTCTCTCCTCAACTCGAATATACGATTGAAAATTTAAAAAATTCAGTTTATTTATGTACAGAAATTATTTACAAAACTATTAACTAAAATTCGATTACAAGACTGCGTTGTATTCTATATTTCTAATTAAATTAATTTCGTCCTTTTTTCTTCCGGTTCATAATCGGAATTCTCAGGGTATATTAGTATTATATATATATATATATATATATATACATATATATACATATATATATATATATATATATATATATTATATATATATTTATTCAGAATAGTATATTCGAGTTGAGGAGAGAAAAATACATTAGTTTCAAAAAAAAAATAATCTACGTCAATTTTTAAAAAAAAATTAAATCGTCCAAAAACGAACATTTTTAGTAACGATTTTTTTCTACTCGATCGATTCCTCAAAATTCTTGGTGAATCGAATCACCTGAATTTTTTTTCCCGCTGTGCGCCTTCTGGGAAAGACGGGACAGGCAAGTACTTTTTTTTCGGAGATTGAGAATTGTTGCTAAAGTTTGCGACACAGGTCGATAAATTTTACATGACTCTCTTGGGAGTGGCGTTACCCACATGATAAACTACTTTAGAAATCAAAATGTTTATTATAACATGTTGAATTGTTGCAAACGTAAAACCGACATAATTGCAATTTACTGCTAAACTAACAATCTCACGTTATTTTTTCATAGAACTGATTTTGTAGAGGGCAAGCTAATGAACAACTTTGATTCAAAAAAATTTTCAAAATCCCCGTTTACAAGCAAAAAAACTAAAAAAAAACGGTTTTTCTTTGTTTAAACAATTTTCCTGGCTACAAAACACGGGTTCTAGCGGGGACAAATGGAGGGCATATTCGTGGGGGTCTATACTACCTAGGAAAAAATTGGCTAAGCGCTGGTGTCTTAGAATAGAAGTCGGTCCAAATTATGGCTATTCCGACTGGACTATTATGTTTTTCTTTGCTTGTTAAAGCTATATTTTAATCCAGTAAGCTGAAATTTATAATTCTAATTAACTTTGCTGAGTTTTGAAAGTTTAGTTCTAAAATATCGTATTAATACACCGAGCTGAATACTTCCGTGCGACGAAAGGCGTTGGTTTCAAGCAGTCATCCAGTTTGAAGTGGTTTTATTTTAAGATTAATAACGACAGGTTAGCCATTTGGTACCAGAATAGTACCATCCCAAATCCACACAGAGAAAGACGTGACAATGAATATAATGTGGATGCAAAACTTTTTTTTTGTTATGTATAAAGCTAGAGCATTTAAATTTTAAATTAATGTAGGTTACTGATGTGAATAAATCAATTTTTTTATGTTGAGTTCTCTACATAGTTTTGCTACGTAGTTAGTTTTAATTATAAAAAATAAAGAAATACTGTAGAAACTAAAAACCATTACGTAACTGTAAATTGTGAATGTTTAAATAAATAGACATTAACATAACCACTAATAACAGGTGTTTTACTCATTTATATAAAGCATTAAAATGTATTTATAGACTTTTTATTTACTGTAATGGTAGCGGTACGTTCAAGATATACGGAAAATGCTACAGATTTGTAAATATCTTAAAAACATCTTAATCTTCGTTTATTGGGGTTTTTCCTTATAAATACGACGTTATCGGTGTGTCGTTGGTTTTTTTATTTATCATTACTATCGAAATTTCATAAATAATTATTACGTCTCCATAACCCCGAGACCGTTAATTGCCATTTACATCGTGCGTACAATACATCGCGAATCAACAATAAGCCTCTCGCTGGCTTAAATTGCAACTAAATACTTATCGATAAACGGTTATTGCGTGACTGTAGCGTTCGAACGTTGCATTTGTTGTACGGCGATAGTGTCGTAATTCTTCACATTAATAAATATTTGTATTTATTTTCTTTACTTCATTCATTCATAATATAAACATTATCTAATAAATAAAATTCTCGTGTCACGGTGTGCGTAATTGAACTACTCCAATACAGCTCGACCGATTTTCGTGAAATTTTATATGCATATTCAGGTCTGAGAATCGGACAACATCAATTTTTCATCCCCCTAAATGTTAAGGGTGGTCTTCCCTTAATTTTATTTTTTTTGGACAAAATTTTATGTTTATATATTTTTATGATACATCATACAAAAATACATACAACCCTAAATTTTCACCCTTTTACCACCAACCCCTATATTTTTTATGGCGGTACGAAATTCACTGGGACAGCTAGTTTTATTCTGTAATTGAATTCGTAAGCGTTGTCTTTGAATTTTCTGGGGAGCTTGTTACTTGTTACCGTGAAAAGTAGACTTGTCCCATGAATTAAATCTGGTATAACTGACTGCGCTTATTTTAAATGACTTCCTTTATTTCTCGTTACGGACTCGATCGAGCTCCCGTAGCATCACGGGTATGCCCACAGAATATGAATCTTCTATTGGGAATAGAAGCGTTGGTGTACGCAAGGCAAGGGTAGGTTTTGCTACTCACAAAAATTGCATAGAAATATTTAAGATTGTTGTAACCAACAGTCTTGGTTTTGTTTCCTATAAGTAGATTCAATTTCGTGCAAAAGTATTAAAGTGAATGTGCGGATGTTTAAACATAGCCAAAAGTACTATGGAAGGTATTAGTTCTGGTGATAATCTGTTTAAATACGAAATCCCTTCATCCGTTTTGGTGCGATTGAGTAACGAACAAGCATAAAAATGCTTACGCATTTTAATTGGATAAGAAGGATTAATAGAATTAATGTGATAAATGGTGTTATGGACGTAATGTTCAGCGGGAATGATACCATATGAACCACGGTATGGCTTTTCTGGCTGCAATATCCCTTTCAAAACACAATTTAGTGAAAGAAAGTGATTTTGTAGAACAATAGCATAAATAACGACATCAACTATCGAACGGATTTATTCCTACTAACACACTTGCCCGATAATTTAAATAATATAACTATACTTACTTTATATGGATGATACATCCTTGAAATTAGACATTTCTTTTCAATTGCATTGCTTTTGATGACATTGAAATTATAGGTAGTGGAATTTCAAAATAACTTATAAATCTGTATGGAACAGAAACTTTGAATTTATTTGAGACTTTACTTGAAATTTAGTAAATCTTGGGTTTATTTTTCCACCAGTCACCGCATATTGGCGGCTGCAATGCCGAAGTCCTTTCAAATATTTTCACATCCTGCGTCTTACCCAGTTATGCCCCTGCAGCACTTTTGATTATGTTTGTTTATTTGACAGTGTAGTATTTTTTTTTATTATAATTGTTCTGATTTGTACACATACGTACCGTACCAGTTGACTTCTCAGAATATAGTTGATTGTATCTCTTATAGAGGGCTGGCTGGAACCGCTGCTGGCGCGCATAGTGGAAGATAGAACTACAGTGGTGTGTCCAATCATCGACGTGATATCGGATACCACGTTCGAGTACATACAGGCTTCGGATATGACGTGGGGAGGGTTCAACTGGAAACTCAACTTTAGATGGTAAGCAATAAGGTTGTTGATATAGTAAACCTTGAAATTCAACACGAGCACCTCACCATGAAAATTGGGTATCATGCTTATATTATGGTGGATACAGTTTTGAGTTTAGGCATCATCATCAGTCAAAATAACAATAAAAAGGTAAATCTCAAAAGCAGTTGGGATTTGATCGCTTTTATAGCTCATACGGCAGTAACATTTATATTTTTTTGTTTCTGAAATCATAGAAGTAAAATAATGTTATACAAAATATTCAACAAAGTTAAAAAAAAAACTCCTAAATTGCATTTAAAAAAATGCCATCGTGTTACAACAAACAGTTGCAGTGCTAAATTGCAAATGTTTATCTGATATTGTTTGATTGCGTCATGATTTCGTTCTATTGTGTGGGCTTGCGACTGCCGACCAGCAATTAGCAGTTAACGTCTTTGTACCAGTTTTGATAAGATTTGAGGTAATAACTCTATTAGACTTGGTAATGTAGATATTAAAGTTATTTTAACAAATTTTTTGTTCATAGTTCCGCATTTCCGCATTGCTAGTTTCAATTTCTCGTTTTTAATCAATCTTTCATTGCATTGGTTAACTAAAGTTTGATTAAATACTATTATAAGCAAACAATTTTATTTAAATAGCTTTGATACAATTTCATTTATCTCGATACGGTAATTGCACTTTATGTTATCTTGCAGTTTGTAAACATTATGCGAACAAGTGATTCATATTGACCTTACAACACCGAATAGTCCTTTGACAAGCATTGGCAATGAATTTGAAATAAATATAGATGGAGCAACAGTTACAGATCTTGATAGATAATTGGAGACAACGATAAGATATGGGTTGTTATAAACACCTAATTTGATATAAGGCTGTAAAATCTCTCAAAATGAGATGACATTCTTTTATTTTGAAGAAATTATAAAACTTTATTAAAAAAAAAGTAGATTATTTTTTAAGCATTAACTGCAAGAAGTTTAAATCTAAAGAAATTTTTACTAAAAAAATCCACTCTGTCCAGGTTTCAGACGGGATTCGAACCCGCATCTTCCGCTATCCGATCTAATAAAAGTACACATTGAAATAATGTTTGAAAACAGCCCTTGATGAATTTCCTTTCCGTCCGTACTTCTCAATATAAGGTCAGGATTTTCATCTTTCACAGGTGCTTTTAACAGCCTAGACTTATGACGCGATTACGTTTGTTCGTTAGCCCGAATACGAGTGCCAATGGGAATCGGGTAAACGACTAAGTGTAAATTAACGAAATCTAGTATTCAGGTAGTTATCGCTTTGGTTACCCGATATCGCCTTCCTGACCTTATTCCAGTGTAAATATTACTTCGGGTGCCAGAATTCGAGTAATATCTATTGTCCACCCGAAAACGGGCTAACGACCAAGTGTAATTGGGCCATTACAACATTGAAGTCTGCGTTTCTAGTATTTTGTCATGTAAATTAATACAGTGCACGTAAGGCATATTTTTATTCCTTTACATTGAGTATGTCACCGCATCAGCAGTTACCTACTTATTCATTCATATTGTCATTATAATAATAGCTATAAAGGCATTGTCACGAGCAAGTGTAATGAGTTTATTGTACTGTATAAACATTACGCAGTAATAATTACATACTACAAGGTGTTTTTTATTTATAAATTACATTGTTTGTGTGATAAATTCAAGATGTAATCAAGTGTTTGTGTTACTAACATATTTGAAAAGTAATTGGGGTAAATTTTCATTAACACATACTGTTAGTCAGTTGAGCTAGTATTATGATTGCGAAAGTGGATGGATGTTTGTTTGGTACTAAGAAACGCCAATCATCTTTCAACTGAACAAATAAAAAATATACACTTTTTCCGGTTAAATGATCCTTATGTTTACCTGTTTCCGCTAACAAAACTAGCAGTCAGACTCCGCAATATGTAGACAAATAAACGCAACTAAAATAATTATTGTTTAACATGACGTACTTGGCGCGAAGGAAATATTTAACGCAGACAGGGATTTCTGTTTAAGAAAAATAATTTCCTTACTAATTATTCTTTTTTGTTCTAATTTGAAATCTTAAATTCAAGAAAGATTTTAATTTCGTTTAAGACTTTCGCAGATTACAGTACATAGGACTGTTTTATCATTGGCAACACATCTAAAATGTTAGAATTCCTTAGAATTAAAAATCAGACTTTAGTTTAATATACATAACGTCAGTATGCGGCAATATGTCCCAATGTCTATCTAAACAGCCAGTAATAGATATTTGTCAAAAATTTGAATTAATGAAATTAAAAGTGCAATTGCATAGTACAGAATACCTAAGCTGTACCCTTAGCACGAACCATTACCGAATTCAAATAGTTGAATTCGTTCTAGTGTACTGATTTTTAGTTCTCGTTACGTCCACAAATGTGTACTGTTTTTTACTATTCGTTACGTCCGTTTTAGCGCTGCTGTTCAAGTTTCCATACAAAATTTGACAATGACATTCGGCAATCGCAAACTATTTGATTTTGATAATGGTTCATGCTAAGGGTACTGTTCTCAAATATCACAGGTATAGAGTTCCAGAAAGAGAGATGTCTCGTCGCGGCGGCGACCGCACAGCGCCTCTCCGTACCCCTACAATGGCCGGCGGACTGTTCGCTATCGATCGCGACTACTTCTACAAGATCGGCTCCTACGACGAGGGCATGGACATCTGGGGCGGCGAGAACTTGGAGATGAGCTTCCGGGTAATGTATTACACTGTAGTCAAGCAAAAAAGTCATCATTGCCGTTGCAGTACGGTTTATAATCACACATAAAAAAATATAGGATAAGCAACTAAGATACACGTGTTAATGTAAGCGTTTTACATGTTGTACGATTTCGTGTTTGTGATCTTTGTTCTTTGTGTTCACTACTATTAGATTTATTGTAATTATCAAATTTAAAAGTATACCAAGACATTTTCACATTCACAATGCGATAGTTAATTTTCTTTTCAGTGTGTTATCAGTGAAAGATATTTACTTATATTTCACTAGATCTTGTTGTGTCACGTGTCTGGTGTGGTGTAAGTGATAATGCGGCAGGTGGCTTACGGTCGGTCAAAAAATCTTACTCTACAGTCAGCAGCAGTGGCGAGAGCGGTGGGATTTATAATGGGGGTGGCATAATTACTATTTTTAGAAATTAATCCACTACTCACGGAGCTAACATAAATTAGTATTGATTGTAGAATCAAAACCGTCCTCAAGGGTGGGGTAGGGGGAGACGATTGAGATTACTCACTATCGGCGCATTTTTTAGGGTTCCGTACCTCAAAAGGAAAAAACGAAACCCTTATAGGATTACTCTGTTGTCTGTCCGTCCGTCCGTCTCTCAAGAACGCATTTCTCAGGAATGCGTGGAGGTATCAAACTGAAATTCATATCTAATACTCATTGATCTGTCATGTCTACTGTCCCTTGGAGCTGTGAAAAAATCAAACTTCTGAGCAAAAAGCAATCAAAAGATACAGTCGTTTATGCCGCAAATTTTCGAAACTCGCCCGGGAATCAAAACCCTACAGGGTACTTCCCGTGAACTTAGAATCTTGAAATTTGATACGAAGTTACGTCTTATAGTACAGATAAAGGAAAAATTGTGAAAAAAACAGCAAATTTTTAGTAACATCATACAAATAATTAAAAATATTTTTGAAAATTTTAAAGTTACTACCTCTTTTCCCATGAACGCGTCTATACGCGTTATAGCTATGTATTAAATTGAGTTTGTACGGAACCCTCGGTGCGCGAGTTCGACTCGCACTTGGCCGGTTTTTTTTATAAATTAACCCACTACTCACGGCTAATAAAACCGTCCTCAAGGGTGGGGTAGGGGGAGACGGTTGATTGAGGCCATGTAAGTGCTAATTGTTCGCGTGGGCGCACAAGGTGTGGCAGTGCGGTGGGCGGCTGGAGATAGTGCCGTGCTCGCACGTGGGGCACGTGTTCCGGGACAAGTCGCCGTACACGTTCCCAGGCGGCGTGCAGAACGTGGTGCTGCACAACGCCGCGCGCGTCGCAGAAGTCTGGATGGACGAGTGGGGCGAGTTCTATTACGCCATGAACCCAGGTTCGGAGGGGACGGGCGACGCTGCTAGCAATTTGTTTTCTTTAGGGTCGATTCGGGCCGGCATTGCAGCGGCTGGCAGCCACGCGGCGAGAACTTTCGTACTGAAAGCAGTGTGAAATTATTAAAACTTTATTTATTTTGAATTGCATTGCACAGATGTAAAAATGGCGGATTTAATACCTTTAGGCATTCTATCCCAGTCAACCGGAGAATTGTTGCTAAGTCTTAGAAGGTGGTGCAAAAAAGAAATTTCTAGGTGATTTGTTGCAATTTTATTAACCTACATAAAATCCCTAATTATGAAATACTAAATTATCTCCATACTTAAAAGACCAGTATTGCCCGCACAGTCACGCGGCCGCGCGCGGTTTCACCTGCTCGCGACACTGCGGAATATTTTCAAGCGATATTGGTCTTTTAAGTACTTTTAATAAAGTTTAAAATTACTTCACACCGCTTTCGGTGAGAAAGTGCTCGTCGCGTTGTTGTCGGTCGCTGCCGTTTCGGTGTGAATTGGACCTAATGTTCTACTTTTTTTTATAAAAAGCTGTTGATCATCTAAGAAATAATTTAAATTTATGGCCGGGTTGAAACTGTTGCATGCTTATTGTCTTGTGTAGGCAAGGGGATGGAGTTATAATTTTGAAAGTCTGTCTGATACGTTTCAGCGCTGACTGATTTTATGAATTTTGGTAGGCAAAGAAGAAGTTGGATTAAAATTACTTTGCGAAAATAAAATTTACAAAGTAATCAAAGTTTCTCGATTGCTTTTATTGCGAATATCGATAAAAAATATAAAATTCATCGCCTAGTATACACAAGCTGTTACAGTTAAAATTGGAGTTGTATTTGCTTGGAGATCCCCGATATGAATGGAATTTTATCTACTTACCTATATTCAAAATGCTAGCAGTTTAGTCCTTATATTAAAGTTTTGTTGTGGCTTGGGTTATAACACTGTTAGCGATTTCATATGGTTTTGTATCATTAACAAAATAAATTAGACTAATTTAAAGCTTTTAACATGAACCATTGCCGCTGCATTCATCTTAATTTGCATGTTTTTCTCATCATTTCATTCATTTACGCTTCATTATTTTAAAACTTCTTTTTATGTTTTTTACTTTCGTTATTGTTCGTGTCGCTTATTTTCAACAACTCTTCAAAATGGGATTATTTTTCGTATACTCTTTTGTAGTTATATATTTTCTATTCAGCGATTTTCTTTTTTCTTTTGCTTCTTCGAAATGCAGGAGCAATGATGGAATCGACGAGATACCTATTATGATTGATACGTCGAAGAAACTTTCGTTTACTAAATAACCACAGCAATCCTTTTTAGATCAAGAGCTATGTAGGATTTATTTTGAAGACAGTTTAAAATTTATTACCTTGATAAAATGCTATGTTATTGTCCACCTATTTAGATGACCGTAACCACAGAACTCATATTTTATTAATTCATATTTTATAAGTTATTTATGTAACTTTATTCGATATATCATTACAATTTCAAAATTTAATTACCTCACCATAGCCCTTGGTCTATTATATCATGGCCTAATAGAATTTTCTAATAATATTTGTATGGACCACTTTGAAATCGAAGTTGTAACTTTGCATATGTCCGTATACTAATTAATTTAATTAACTACAATAATTATTACATAATATATTATTAATATTTAACCATACAAATGTATATGTTTTTGTGTGCTTTTAACCCGATTAATAAAACAATAGCAGTAGTAAAACTGATATCGTTAACAGTTTTTTTTATAACAAACAGTTTTACTACTGTTCAAAACTGACAATATTCACCGATTAATTTTCATTTAAGTAAATTACATTTCCACAGGATAATTGAATTTGCCAAATTTCCATTCTTTATACAACACCATAAAGAAAATCTATCAAACATCCTTAGAAATATTTTTAAAAAAGATCACTATTATTCACTGTCATGTCAAAAAAACTTTAAATATATCTTTAAAAAAAACAGTTCTCGTTTAATTAATAGCAATAAAATCTCTTTCGAGAAGTGTTCTTAAAAAAATCAAAACTTTCATCGCGCGTCCGTTGATCGGTGAATATTGTCGTTACTAACATTGGCGGGGATCAGGTGTGGATGTGCGGTGGCACACTGGAGATCGCGCCGTGCTCCCACGTGGGGCACGTGTTCCGCAAGACGACGCCTTACTCGTTCCCGGGCGGCACTGGCCGCGTCGTCAACCACAACAACGCGCGCCTCGCCGAGGTGTGGCTCGACGAATGGAAGCACTTCTACTACAATATCAACCCAGGTGCTTGTCGCGCGGTTGTAAGATGAATATAGGTGGTGCTAGGTTTCGTCCTCCTTCTTTATGACCACACAACAACGCTTGCCTCGCCGAGGTTTGGCTCGACGAATGGAAGCACTTCTATTATTATGAATTCGAGGGGCGGAAGCACTTCTGCAACAATATCAATCCAGGTACCTCGCCGAGGTGTGGCTCGACAATTGGAAGCACTTCTATTACAATATCAACTCAGGTGCTTGTCGCGCGGTTGTAAGATGAATATAGGTGGTGCTAGGTTTCGTCCTCCTTCCTTATGACGTCACAACAACGCGCGCCTCGCCGATGTGTGGCTCGACGAGCGGAAGCACTTTACTACAATATCAACTCAGGTTCTTGTCGCGCATTTGTAAGATGAATATAGGTGGTGCTAGGTTTCGTCCTCCTTCCTTATGACGTCACAACAACGCCCGCCTCGCCGATGTGTGGTTTGACGAGCGGAAGCACTTCTACTACAATATCAACCCAGGTGCTTGTCGCGCGGTTGTACGATGAATATAGTTGGTGCTAGTTTTCCTTAGGTGTTAGTATGTCATCCGTTGTCCTGGTGTCCATTCTTATTATTATGACATCAGTTTAGATAAGGCGCTTTAGATGCATGCACTTTTACTGCAATATCAAACCAGATGCTTGTAGCACTCTCTGTACGATGAAGATAGATAGACATCGGCGAGTAGTGCTAGGTGACGTTGTTATTTGTTATAACGTTAGCTTTAGCTAAGCTTAGGCTTATTTTAATAAGGCCCTTTTCGTGGGTGGACTTCTACTACAATATCTACAATATCGTAGCTAAGTGGATAGGTCTCTTTACTCATTGTTTCAAGCTTGGTTTCGGACATACTTTTCTGTGACGTCAATCTCAATAACGCGTTATTTGCCAAGGACATACGTTTGAATATATACACCCAGGGTCTGTGTTATGAAACTATCTTTCAAAATCATATCTACAACATGGTATGTGTCTTAAACTTTTATTCAAGATCCATTATATTTAAACCTTACTCTTTTTTTCTTCATTTGAACGCCACTACTGTTTTTGCCTTATTTTTCTTATGATGTTGAATTAAGCTATTCCATGTCAAGGGCGGATCCAGGGGGGGGGGGGGGGGTCATGGGGGTCATGACTCCCCCCTGGGCTGGGTACAGATGGACCAAACCCAGGGGAATTTTATTTAAGTATTTTCAATATTAAATATTCCACGACTATATGACCCCCCCCCCTGGCGCCAAAGCTGGATCCGCCCTTGCTCCATGTAACCTTTCCAGGATTAATTTACTCGATTAGTAAATTTATTGTTTCAGTAAACAGAACCTCTTGTTAACCTGTTTGTAAATTTGCTATCGTTGTTAATGTTGTAAATTTACAACAGACACCGAGCAAACACAGATGCTTATTTTGTGTAATTTACACGTTCTGAACGAATGTCTGGTTTATTTTCAACAAATTGTTTTTAAATAACATACAAAGAGGGTATAAATATGAGATTTGCAAATATTTTAGTAGTTTACGTCATCACATCTGTGTGCGTTTTTCAGTATTTTTCCGTTAAACTATCTCTTTCTGTCGCTTTTCGTTCACCAGAGCGAGACAGGTTGTGTCGGCTCGAGCTATACGTTGGTACTTGCTTACAGTTGGACATGGACCATAGTCAGTTCATTCTTTATGTCTATGGACCGTACACATTTATCATCCCCCTCCATTCTAAAAGACGATTCTTGTATTGGAACTAGTTTGAAAAAGGCGGAGTTTAAATTTGGTTACTTACTTCCTGCTTATCAATTCAGTATTTTTTAATTTGTCCATGCACGTAACTAGGGATACGATATCGAATAGAAAGTATCGATACTGTACTCATGAGTAGTATCGGAAAAAAGGTATCCTACTCGTAAAAGTATTGAAACAAAAGTATCGATACTTCAAAGTATCGAGTACATTTGAAAGTAAAACAATCTAATTTTATTATAGTACGTATAATCTGAAACAGAAAAAGGACATGTAAATTCACAAATTGCTATATTATCTAGCTACTCTTAAAAATGTGTATTGTTTATATAATCAACTACAGAACTAAAGGTGTGTAATTGAATAAATAATGAAAAGAACAGCTATGATTTCTGACACTAAAAAAGTGTTCATTAATATTACATTCATAATTAAAATGTTAATTAATAAGATAGAAATCTTAAACAATTTAAAAGTATGAAACTATTCAGATTTGTTACAAATTAAATTTACTTTTCTTGAATTTTAATCCTTAAAAAACGTTTTATGTACATAAGTTAACATAAGTATGTTAACTTGGACCTGACACGCAGTTAACGGCGGCCATTGGCATGCTTCACTCAAGATTATAATTATAGAAGAGGTTACGTCCGTCTTGTTTTCAGGTCCGTGGTTTCAAATAGGTATACACAGCACAGACAGAATAATAGTGTTACACTGGAATAAATCAAATACAGTCAAGCGAAAAGCACAATAAACCGCGAATCAATCACAGTTCCTAATAATATGGTCGCTAAATAAATAACTATGAAACAAAACAAAGCGCAAAATAAACACAGGCACAGATTGGAAAGAATTTGAATATGTCAGTTACTGACTTTACAACAACGCAATGGAACATTTTAGAAGGTTTGCTATGATTTAACAAGTTAGCGTTGCCATTAATATGAGGCGCTTATCCAAATTTTCAAAGGTATCGATACTTGCCAAAAAGTACTCATTTAGTAAAAGTATCGAATACAAAGTATCGAGTACAAAAGTATCGGTATCGAAAGGAAAAGTACTCGATACCACAAAGTATCGATACTTTTTTCGTGTCCCTACACGTAACTAACAGTGTTCTATGTGATATGAACTGTAGGTTTAAATTCTTCAGCAATTTGCTGCAATTTCTCTTACTCTAGAGCAAGTCTAGTTATTTTCATACAAAATTTTGTGCAAGACATACGATGGAGATAACTTAAGAATTAGAGTTTTCTGGAACAAAGAATGCTAGGTGACGGTATTGAGACGAGAGGTCCACACAATTGTCCAATCACTTGTAGTGTTAATTTTTCCGTTTGAATAAAGTGTTTATATGTGTATGTTGTCTATGATCAATTGTAGAATAATGTATTTACTAAATACTCACTCTGTGAATTCGCCCCAAAAAATCTATTTAAAGGATTTCATGCTACAGTGGCGCCAACTAATGGCAAATTTCCTCAGAAATCACGTAAAAATTTAACTACATCCATTTTTACTCCTGCGTCTGTTATATTTGTTTGTTTTTTTATGTTTTGTACATATTTTTTGGTAGTCCAAATACTTACTTAGATTGGCTTAGGTTTTTGTTTGACGTTGTGTATATAACAGATAATGGTAATATGTATAATTTTGGTCCTATTAAATCTTATTTTCTTTCGATCTTACTTCTATACGGTTCTATATTGTTATTGTTTACAATATAATTATTATCGATTAATACGAATTGGTTTCTTCGAATAGTACGCTATTGTAACTGCTTTAATGTGAGTCAATATTTTATTACTTCTTCGTAAACGACCTCGTATAAACCAGCTGTTTTAACAAAACCAATATCATTCACTTCATAATGTTTACACATTTTCATTGGGTTTTAATCATGCTTGTTATAATATTGACCGTAGACTAACGCTTTTAATTAATAACTCGCAATAATACCATAATCATTAGTACGTAAGGTATTAACTATTTGTTTATATTATATGCGTCAATTTACTAGAAAATATCTTGAATATGATAGCTTATTAGTATTTGTTCCTGCTGAACAAATAATTTTTAAATTAAAGACAATAGTTATTTATATTTTTTTAATTAATTTTTAATTATAGAATCATTTAGTATAAAATAAGCTTTTTGCGGTTTTAAGTGCACTTTTGTAAATACGGATACTGAGATACAAATCTCAATAAAAATAACGTCTTGAAAGCAAATTAATATTTTTTCAAAACAATTAGTTCCATTTGAGCTGTCAATATTACAATGTTATACAGTTCTATATTCTCAACTAAATTATTGAGATAATCTTTTGTTGCTTTCAAATGAATATCTTATGATGTCCAAACTTTTTTCACTTATCCTAGTATGGGTTATTATGTTGCTTTTGTATTCCGCTAGGGGCGCTGAACGTGCCAGTCGGTGACGTAACCGAGAGACGAGCGTTGCGCGACAAACTCAAGTGCAAGAGCTTCAGGTGGTATTTGGAGAACATCTACCCTGAGAGTCAGATGCCTCTAGAATATTATTACTTAGGGGAGGTGAGTACTGAGAATTAATCACCAAGTCTATGAGGTATCTAAATGTATTGTATTTCTTTTTGCGCACAAACAAAACATAACAGGGATATATTGATTTAAGGCTCTGTGCTTAGGTGGCTAAGCAAAAAACAGCCCTTGCTGAGTTTCTTGCCGGTTCTTCTCAGTACAAGGTCTCCCGCCGTAGATTTACGAACCGATGGCGTAGCTTCTAGACATTCATGAGTGCTTGTAACAGCCTAAACTGAATAAATGATTTTGATTGATTGATAAGCGACGTGACAGAAACGTGATTTTCTACCGGCATGTAGCATGACTCTGGCATGACATTCAATCGAGCCATCAGGGTGACAGAGAGATGTCAGAGTACAAAAGCACTCTAGACAATTTCGCCCTCTGATGAAAATGAAGATGCTCTTGCTTAACTACAAATTATAAATATTAAAAACGGACAAAGACGATCAAAACGGCTTCTGGGTGCATTCCAGCTGGGGAAAAAGTTAAAGACAGATGTTTTTAATGAAGTTATTTATTTATTACACATCGATCATTATTACACGGTCTTTCTTGAAACAATTCAATAAATATTAAATCGTCCTTCCTTTTTAACTGACAAGTCACTGCAAGTTTCGTGTTGCGCTTCACTTTGTTGTGTCACTGGTAGCACGCTAAGTGACACGTCAGGGCGTATCAGACTTCGTCACGCAAATGGGTGCTAGCTTAGAAACTATTGTTCCAAGAGCATAGCCGAATTGTTGGAATCTGTCCCGTTCTAGTAGTGTGCCCAAACAGTTGCAAGAGAGGGCAGATTCTACTGTCGTCGTTGTCGCGCTAGGAGTATTTTTCCCCCTTATAAAGGTAGAAAAAAATGGACTTTATGTATAACTAGTTAGAGTACATTTTTTGAATTCCCATATTGTTTCGAAAGCATTTCGCTTAGTATATAAGTTCCTTGGTGCTAGCACATACATTTACTTTGAATGTTGATGCTAGTGTCAAGTTACATGCCAGATCACTTGTCAGAGCACGTGTCACTTTGCTTAGGTGGGCACAGCGTCTTTATTGTCGTATGACGTCATGTATTTGTACAATTTTTACTCAGAAGTGACGTCACTAGCCTACTCTTCCAAACTTTGTCATGCTTTTTCTTTGTGATTTATTTGGTGACTGACATAAGAAAAAATATATGTCCATTGGTTTTTAATAATCTAATTGACGAACTAAATAGAATCTCGTTTATTTTATCCCGCCATCATCACTATTTTAAAGACGTTTTCGTGTCAATATTTTAAATTAACGTTACGAAACACATAATTATTACTTTGATTTAAATATTCGTTTTTGAAACTAAGGATGCTCTTGTTTAGTGGTATTTTATTATATATGGTTCTCTCACGATAAATGCTTTCATATTTTCGAAGAGGTAGTTGATATTGTTCTTAAACAATAAGAGAAATGCTCCTGAACCATTCCAACTGAAGACTAAACGTACAATACTGAACTCGCTTACTAAAAAAATGCATGTCGAATATTTTTGTTTGTAGATCCGTAATGCCGAAACGTCCAATTGTCTGGATACTCTCGGCGGCAAGGCTGGCCAACCTCTAGGGATGGGTTACTGCCACGGGCTGGGTGGTAACCAAGTAAGTGAACATTTTTGCTTGAATAGGGTATTAAAACCATAGAGGTATAACAATAGAGTGGGGAAGGCGGCTCTAAAAGTGTCCGTCTAATAGAAAGAGAAAGAAGATGAGAGACCGCTAGCTATCTCTCTCTCTTGTGACGCATGGCATCCAATGGCATCACATCGAAATAGTAAGATGCTTACGGTTGCCAAATCGCATGCGCGATTAGAGAGTGAAAGCTAGAGGTCTCATCTTCTTTCTCTTTCTATTAGAGGGACACTTCCACTTGTAGTAGAGTCTATGTCTCCCCTACTCTATTCTTATACCTCTATGATTAAAACAATATGAGTTGACTGATGACACTTTGTCATGGAGCAGCTGTGTGACGTAATAACGTGGCGGCTACTACGGATACCATATCATGTTGTAAAAACAGATTAAAAAAACTGAAAAAAAATTGAATTGAATTTTAAAATGTATCTCTTGTTATTTTATGAACTAAAATTAACATTTTCCGACTGCTTTTTGCCTAAGCTATCGCGATGACATATTTGTAGTTTTTTACTCAAGTAGAGTGAAGTACCCTATTGTAATGTCAGAAAACACAACATTTTGACTGGTACATTCATAACGTAATGCACACAGTTCCATCGATATACAGGGTGTTTCTTCTAGGGTGTCAAGCCAGTGCGAGCTGATAGCGGAGTACCATACCTATCAATTGAACCCCCATGTATGTTCTATGATATTGCGTAGTTTTCGAGTTAGATTTTTTTTCGTTATTTTTTAAGTTCAACGACTTATCGTCGTCTTAACAACTTTAAAAAAGTATAACTTCTTTTTGGGTCGATATTTCTTCGAAATTCTTTTTTTAACAGAATGTCTAGTGCTTGTAGTTTTATAAGAAAAATAATCTCCTTCCTAACTTTAACCTAAGATATAAAAAAAATGATCGATACTAAATTAAAATGAATTAAGTAAAACAGAATGGATTATCAATTGAAATAAAAAAAATGAAAATAGATGTTCCATAACATCTGACTAATTTTAAAAACTGCCCCACTACATAAGCTTTAATTAAAATACAAAAAAAGATGTACTAAATACGGCATTATTTGCTGAAATCTGTTGTTGAAGGTGTTGCATCGGAAATCGAGTAATTCTAATATTTTATAATTTCGTAGTATCTCTTATCTATTAGACAAGTCCGTCCGTCCGTCTGTGGTGCTGTTTCAGCGGCCAAACCGTAAGAGATAGATAAAGAGAATATTTAAGTTATAAGTTAAGAATAGTCTGATAAGACTACAAACCGGATTTGAGTAACGTAGCACTTCCGGTTTTCGAGAAATCACGAATTTCAAACGAAACCACACAAAATCTCCGAAGTTTTCAATTAATTAAATACATTTTTTTTAATCAGGTTTTGGTGAACATTTGGTTCACTGGTTTGCTAGTCTTTGCATATTTTGTCAATCTTAAGTTTTTATTATCCCTTTTAGTTTAAGTGGAGCTCATTCGAAAATAAAAATAATCATTTTATGATAACTAATCACTCGAAACTCCTGTTATCCTCCTCCTCAGGTATTTTTATTTTAAGCCTAAATAAGGCAGTGTCTACGCATACGTTGAGGACTTTGATAGTAGGCTTATAATAGGTACATTATTAATTTACATGCTATTATATATGAGGTAAATAATGCAATCTTGGTAGAAAGTGCCTGCCTGCGCCAAATAGAATCTAAGTTCAGCATTGTGTCAGCTCAAAGAACTAACGCTGGTTTTCAACTAGACCGCGAATTATAAAATAAATATTATAAAATAATGTCCAAAATACGTTTCCACCTTACAAATGAGATAAAAATAAAATACGTGCGATTTATACAGAAGAAAGTTAAAAGTATATTATTTTTCCCCTTAGAGTTTATCAATACATACATACTAATAAATTTACCCAACTTTTTGATACAACTGTTTATGTTAACATAAATATATACACATAAAAATACTAATAAAGAAGGCTAAAAGTTTTCTAATTCATATTGTGTACCCGGTAGATATTTCTTTACATTTTTTTCTGAAAGCATAAATGGATTTGGAATTTCCAGTTTATATGGAAAAAAGAAAATGTTGTTTTTACTGTCTTCCACGAGATTTTGCCATATTTTCTCACCGTTTAAACCTTCCCTGAACTACGACAAACATTTCACCACCATAATCTGCTAAATCGGCCCAGCCGTTCTCAAGTTTTAGTGAGACAAACGAACAGCATTTGATTTTTATATATATACTAGTGGCCCGGCCTCGCTTTGCTTCGGTGTAGAGCTGTAGTGTAGAATTCGAATTTTTCTCACCTTTTTAACCTTCCCTAGCCCTCTACGAACATTTCAAGACAAAGTTAAGATAAATCCGTTTAGCCGTTCTAGAGTTTTCGCGAGACTAACAAACAGCAATTAATTTTTATATAAATAGATAGATATAGATTATACGCCCATTAAATTCTCTGTTTTCCTGTTATTAGGTGTTCGCATACACGAAACGCAAGCAAATAATGTCTGACGACAACTGCTTAGACGCGGCTCACCCGCGAGGTCCCATTAAGCTGATCCGCTGTCACGGGATGCGCGGCAACCAGGAGTGGACATACGACTCTAAGGTACGTTCACTTTTTAAAGGGAATGGGGGGCAGTCCTCGATTTACGACGTTTCAAGTAACGTCAAACAATGTTTTGACACTATTCCTCAAGCATACGTTAATTGTTTCGATTTCCGGCATAAGAGAATCTATTTGTCGCGAGGTCAATGTCCGTGGGCCCGGTGTCCGTGGGGATGTCTCGACTTAAATCTAAATATATGTTAAGGGTGGTCCACCCTTAACATTTTTTTTGACAAAATTCTCAAAAGTTTTTTTCATCACACAAAAATACATACATCCCAAAATTTTCATCCTTCTACCATCAACCCCTATTTTTTTATGGCGGTACGAAGTTTGCTGGGACAGCTAGTATCCTTATAAATTCTGTTCTGTGCCTAGACGCGGACGATAAAGCACACGAACACGGGCATGTGCCTAGACAAGCCCGAGTCTTCGGACGTGTGGAAGCCTGTCCTGCGCGCCTGCAACAGGTCGCGCGGACAACAGTGGCTCATGCAGCTCGACTTCAAGTGGCAGGCGCGCCGACAACACAGCTAGTGTACGAACTGTAGGTATGTAGCCTTCTATCTCGGCCGCTTTGGACATAGGTCTCCTCCATTTCAGTGTCTAGCCAATAGGATATTTTTCAAATATTTGAAAAATGATTATATTTAAAGATTGGGACAAACGATTTAACAGAAATAGAAACGATTTAAAAAAATTAAATAATTAATGTCTTTGTTTCTCCAATAAGCCAATTAAAGTTGAATTTATTTTTGAAGCACAGAAATCAGGATAAGTAGCGAAGAAATTTTGCAACCTTAAAACATCTACTACAGGAAGATTTGCACTGTCGGCTTTCGGAAACCCGGCTTCCTTTGTGGAAAATAAGTAAAATCGAAATACTCTAACAAAGAAATCGTCAAATAATTAATCCGTAATCACAGATCGTCCACAGACTACATAGGTGTTAAAATTCTTTACACAAAGTTGACGTTACATAGTAAACGTCATCGAATCGCGTTTTGGCGGTAAATTCAAAACCATTAAAAATAAATTCAACTTTAATTGGTTTAATGGAGAAAAAAACTGCTAAATCGTTTGTCCCTTATCCCTTATCTTTAAATATAAGCAGTTTTCAAAAATTTGGAAAATACCCTATTGCCTACGTAATGCCTGGGCCCTATTTCACCAAATTGACATACGTCATAAAAATAGCAGGCATTCTGTTACTTCAACGACCATAATTTGTTCAACACAATTAAGTGTTCTGTTGTGAAAAAAGGGTAATTTTTTCAAGTTGACGTAATTTGTCAAACTATCAATATTCTTGACATGAAATCGGGGCTGTGTATGATTTGCGTTGTAATTGTAGTGTTTTCGTTGTTAGTTACAAAATGTCTGCTAAAGCTTGAAAAGTTGATTCTTATACAGGATAATTTAAAGAAGAACGAATAAATTTCTCCCTTGATATCACTGATTTTGCGTGTAAAGAAAAATTAGATACCAAGCCGACATGTACTTAAATCGGGCGGTCCTAATGTTTATTATATTTATTTTGTTTCAGGAATGACAACGACAGACCATAACAGTCTTCCCCTCATGTTAGATATCAGATTTATTCCTTATTCTTATGTATATTTAAAGTTTTTATATCTATTAGATTTAAACGTATGACACGTATGAGGTCTTGTGAATTGTTGACAATACATTTAAAAAAATGCTGTAATATGTTGTATTCCCTGTAAAGGTTGCTCAAACTTAGTATTGCGTTGGATAGAGTGTGTTTAATTGCAATTATTTTAGACGTGTGGAAGTAAAAGAGATTATATTTATCTGTATATTGAAGTATTTTTTGTGTTTGTGCTGAGACGGCGTTTTCTATTGATATATATTTGATTGTGCATTTATCTACAATGACAATGTATTTTCTGTGTCCGTCTGATAATTTTATTGGATTTATATGCCCTTTTAAAAGAATTAACGATCGAAATTTCGCACGTTTCTTACTCTGTTTCTTTTCATTTTGAAAATTCGATCGCCCGAAAATAGTTCGACAATTAAATTCTCGAAGCCTACTCTAATTCACAATACTTTCGAAGGAAAAGTTGAATTTGACACATAATTATTCGAAATTTTAACCTCGAATTGAAGAAATGAAGAGTGTTACATTTTCGTTTTGGAATTTTTGATTAAATTAAGCCTAAAATGTCTGCTACAGTATTTTTAAACAAGGCTGCTTAGCGTGAGGAACATTTTTTAGCATCTAAAATTAACAAAGAAACAAATTTTTAATGAATTATTATATTTCCAATACTTCAAAATATTACACGACAAATTAAGGTTGACATACAATCGATTACATCAACTCTACAAATTAGTCGGCTAACACTGCCAAAGAAGTTTTTTTTTATGTCATCAAAATTTTTGTCGTAAAGTAATATTGTTTCCAAGTAAAAAACGTTATCTAATAAGTGGAGATAAAAAGAACTTACAATCTTAACTCATTCCATTCGTTTACGGAAATAGTTTGTGGTTCTAGCTTTATGTGCGTGTTCGAAAATGAAATAGAGCAGAGTCACTGGCGAAATTTAGTTTAAAATTCGTTCGTTGCCGACATTTCGTTTCGGAGAAAAATAGTAGAGCTCCTGATTCCATGTGTGTTGTTCTGTGTATAGGAAATTAAAATGACAATATTTTCAATTTATGTATTGATTGATACTCAATATTATTTAGGTAAAAAAAAATATTTGAACATTTTATTTTGTTATATTATTATAGCAATTCTTCAGCATTAGCAAGATTAAGTTTCAACAGATTTACTATAATTTCTTTTCAATTATTCTAATAGTAGATAGAGCATTTCAAATAAGCCTTTTTATTAATAAATATAAATAATATAAACTTGAAGTCGCTATCGTCTGAGCGCAGTTAATTTAAAATATAGTTTATTTCAGATTTACATTCACATAGAGATTCCTCGGTAGTTATCGGTTCCCTTTATAGAAAGATGATTTAAATTTCCCAATCGAAAGTTATAGTATTCTAGGGATGTCGTTTGGTTTCCTTCCCTTCAATGCGACATTCGCGGTGCTAATTCTTCGCCACTAGTTTTGCATATCTAATGTTGTTTTAATGTACCGATTCCTCTGATAGTGTGCTAGCGGCACGTACGTGCCATAACTGTTTGCTAGACTGCCTTCGATTTTGCCACTCCTCTATGTTAATTATGAAAAGGAATCACGACGAAAACTTTAGGGCAGCTAAATTAAAGATAATTTCGATTAAGTTTTTTGTATGGTTTTGTAAGTTTGTCGTGATAAAGATACCCTGAGAAATTTCGATTAGCAAATAGGGTTAAGACGTTCACTTTTCATTATTCTGCTAGTGACATCATTCATATTATAGAACTGCCATTATAGTGAGTGTGTTATATTATAAACATTTGAACTGTATGTAGTGCTGTTGAATTATGGAAACTTGATTCGCATTGTTTTGATAACGACTGTACTGAATGGTTGAATACTACGCTACACCAGAAATTTCGAAAGTGAGATTATTGAATAATTAATAAAGACTCTGTTTTGTGTGTGATATTGCGTTGTCTCTTGACACTATCTGCAGTGGCCAATGAGATCATTCTCTGTGTTGCAATATGGCAGTAACATATACTCCCTCTAAGCTCGTTAAAAACTGTTGCCTTAATTTTATGATGAGCGTGTTATATTGATAAGGAAATATTATATTTTAGCGTACTATGACGTTCTTGATGGGGCTCAAGAGAATTGCCTTTAATACGTTCACAAATAGCTTAGCGTTGTAGTTTCTGATGAAAATGTTTTGGGATTTAAAACAGATAAAACGTATTTCTATGTTTCATCATCCACGTTTGTCTGTAAAATTGATAATGCGTTATTTAAGCGTCGATGAGACTCGGACGAATATTGAAATGTTACTCAATTTTTTAAGCTTAATAAGTCTAAGTAGCGAGAAGCAAGTGTTTATGTAGTTTCGAACATACATTGCAGATGACTTAATTTGTTGTTGGTAACTTGTGTTAAAATCAATACTTTTAAACTACTATTATAAATAAATTACTCATAAAAATAAGTCATTCACTGTGATAAGTCAGCTAATAGTTAAGCAGTTTATAAATATTGAGTGATGTTTTAGTATTTGGTCTTTTTAGTATGATGGAATTGAGATTCTTAGAACTCTGATAGTTATATATTTTCAATATGCACTGGGAGTAATTTTTAGTTTTTGACTTGCTGAGATTTATGTATATGCAACTGGTTTTGTAATAATGTAGGATGGTGTTATATTTATTTTATGCTTCGTTTCAAGTCGATATGTAATATTCGAATGAATTACAATTTGAATTTAAGACGTAATCTATAAAATTGATTGAAACGGAATATAAAAAACTTCTATTTGTCAAACACCCCAAAACAACGAAAGTAAATTAATCTGAGAAACCCTTTTTTTTTTAATTCAGGTTGTGTACTGCTTCTGCTTAATTATATTATGTAAAATTAATGGTAGGGTAGGACTTTTGTTTTTACTCAATTTGGGGATGATTCCTCTCGCAATTCCGAATTATTGTTTGTTCTATTTAATATTTTGTGAATTAAAATTATTAATTTTCGTGAGTGTATTAAATGCAAAATTATTTATTTTCAATTTTTAAGATGATCATATCAATAAATAAATAAACAAATGTATAATATGTAAAATTTGTCTTAGATCTAGAAATTTGGCATAATCATTTTTCGTGTAAATTATACTACATCACAAAAATAGGTTAAAATTTTCATAGAAATTATTCAACAGAGATTTTAAAAGTATGACTAATGGTGCTCCATTTTTCTCTGGCAATCATCATTCGTAACACGATTTCTATCAACAGCAGTTACCGTAAGATTCGAGATTTCTTTTCACTCTGAGCATCTTCAGTTCAATTTTTCTTCTATCATAGTGTGTACTACACATAAATTCACATCTCCTATTTTTGCATTCATTAAATCATATGTCGTAAATATTTATTTATTTAGTGGCACGTGTTATTATGAAGCTTTTCTTTAGGGTTAGTAGTCATTTCGTTCGGACACATGATGATAATTATTAAGAGAAAGTAGAGAACCATTATAATACACGTAAAAACATTTTTATAAAATCCTTGAATGGTAAATGTCCTCAATTTTCATAAATAATAAACTGTGTAATACAACTACAATATGTTAGTATAATGTCTTGTGTAGGAAGACAATCTAAGTCTCGAGATTCTTAGGCGTTGACTAATTATATTATTTGACACGTTTAAACAAGGCCTATAAATTGTGTACACAAGAATGTAATTATTGTAAATAGTTACTATGTGATGATTCGTCCAACTGTTTTAAATGTAAGCCAATTGTAAAAGGTCGAGCCTTTTACAATTGATGATGGCATTTATTTTGATCTATAATCTCAGAAGAATTCATTTGATAGACTTTTAAAGCAATGGTGCCAAATTTATTTTTCCAACGGCACACATCATCATTCCAATAAAACTTGTCAACTTGAAAATTAAATTGTTTGGACTGAATTTTATCGATGTGTTTTATTTTGTTTAATTTAGTTATCCTACAATTAATGTAAAAGATTGTATGTATAAATGTTTCTTACATAATCACGCAAACACCGTTCTGTACCCTTAGCACGAACCAAAATCGAATTCGTAACGTTTGCGAGTCCGAAATGTCATTGTCAAATGTGTACTGATTTTTAGTTCTCGTTACGTACTTTGTGTCGCTGCTGTTCAAGTTTCCATACAAAATTTTGCATTGACATTTCGATTTGCAATTCGAATAGTTTGCAAACCCAAATTCGATAATGGTTCGTGCTAAGGGTACTGAACGGATTTGCATGAAATTTGGTACACTATACTATAGTGTCCCAGAAGTGCCACGTTCCTGAAGGATTATCAAAAAAAATATTAGTTAACGCGGACTAGATAAATGATAAGCAGTGCAAAGTTTTTTTAAAATATTTATTAAACTTAACATAATTTAATCTTACAGATAATATTGTATACTATATATCTATCTTACATTTGTACAATCAAAAATCCAAATCATACACACATAATAAACTGATAAAGTTAACTACCAAATAATTGGCACATAATAAAATCATTAAATACACATCATTGAGCACTAAAACGTGCTCATTATTATCAAAATAATGAATCTCAAGGAATAAGTCACTTTATACAATGTGTAATAGAAATAACGCAAAACGGTTTCTATCTATGATTATTGTCGAGTATTGATACATCAATAGTTTTTTTAAACCTCATAAAAATGATATCTACAAGTTCTGCGTTATAACAATTTCACATAAGTCAATGAAATAGAATGCATCGACATGAGTTTCAATATAACACATTAAATGGTATTCTCTAAAATTATAAAATTTTTGGTATGATACTAAATCATATGAATGAGAACAAAAAATGGAAATCATAAAAACGACATATTATGTGAATGGATATACATTTTGACGTTAATGAAAAACATTAATATAGTTAAAGCGCTACAAAAAAACTTTCGCATGTCAACTAACAATAGAACTGTTACGAAATAGAAGATATAATTTCATGACCTTTTACTCTCCGGGTTTTCTACCTAGAGAGGTATACTTTGTCCTTATGCCATTTCTATAAGACAGGTTTTTTTTAAATAATTAAGAAATCCGCACTAACAGTCGTACTCAGAAATATTTCATTACACGTGTTGTCTCATTCTATTATTATTGGAAAGAAAGCGACAGCATCCACTTTAGTCTAATTTAAATGTTAATTCACTTTTCTGAGTCCGGAAGTAAGATGTCGGTTTAATGTTTGTCAATTTGTAATATACTATTGCAGATAATGTGAGAGCGTCAGCTTCAATCAAACTCCAAAAAACAAACGTAGTGTTATTTGTAAAATTGACATCAGTCTGTCCTTATCACTCCTTATAAAGCGATCTATTTGATATTCTGCGAGGGCCAGAATTTCTTTGGTCGCCATTTTTATTTGTTTCTTTATTAGCGCGGGTTTTACCAAAAAAATATTTTACCACAGTTCTATTCTTGGTAGATATGCCGTCATCTTTTACAACTAAAAGGATTCCCGTGTTCGATGGCTCATTTGGTTTGTAGAGATCAATGGTGGAAGGTGACATTGTAGCTTCCTTTGACGAGTCTCTGCACTGTACCATACAGTAGACAAAATAATATTGGCTATCCTCGATTTAATCGAATACGTGTAATATTCGAATATCAATTCCATTCCAAGCCCCCACTCCTAAAGTTTGAGGCGCTTTGACTTTGTAATTTTTGTTTAATTGACAAAAGAAAATAATAAGTGTCCATTAAATTTAAATAGTCTAACTGTGGGACTAAATAGAATTTCGTTGACTTTGACCCCGTCATCATCCCTATTACACACAATTCGAATTTATATTCAATACAATCATCTGTATTCTCAGTAAGAATAAATTCAAAAATATAATTATCGTCTTGTATGCGCTTATTCGACAGCGTTAAGTTTCCCCTAGAGACCATACAAATATCAGAATACTTCCAAAATACTTGATAATCTGATGGAATTAATACGTGAATATTATATATTTAGGAACAAGGAAGTCACACAGATACTCTTCTGCTCATTAAAACCATAACTGCAACAGCATAGGATTCATTTATATAGCGAGTTCTTTGATGCCAAAGCCGGTCGGTGGGATAGTTGATTTAAAACAATTCAAATTTTTAAACACACAAATAGTCAAAAACTTCTATATATGCTGTCTATGTGCTCTGGAGCATTTTCACGGTCTTCTGTAATGAGGGCTTCCAAATATTTTTATTTCTGTTTCCTTTTTTTAGATACTCTGGAAATTCCTTACTTTGTTTCATAAAAGTAATAGTGTACTGTAACTGACTAACTGTAACTTATCAGAAACTTATAATTTTGATATTATGAAAAGCATGACAATCGTATGACTTGTTCGATGGCAAATGGCCACCATGGCTTAGTACAGCTGGGACTATCATTACTGCGTTGCCTTATCTTAAACTCCATTCTTGAAGTTCTACGGGTTTTACTCACAGCAGATTCTTAAATTATAGAAGTATTGATTCTTCTACGATCATCTGTGTAGTGGAGAAACTTCTCGACTTCATTGTAGCCAATAACCATCGTGTTCAATGGTCTGGTGCAGAGTATTCGCATGGAAGTAAAATCTACAGTCACTCGTGCCTCATGTCTTCTGGTAGCCAACAATCGTTCTCCGCTCGAGCTAACTGATTCTTCAAACTGAAGTATAGTTTTATCAACGAGTCCTGTAAAGATAGAGATCCGATTAGGAGAATTTGTCAAGCTGTATTGCTAAATGAGATAAATAAAACATATTATTCTATATGTAAACCGGAAAAACTTATAGAGGTTGCATATGCGCACGGGAAATAGAAGCTTATGTACGCGCGATAACGTTGAAAGATTGTCAGAATATCGGGCGCCAAGATTAATGCCGCAATTAAATTGGGTAGTTAGCCCGTATTCGGGTGCACGAAAGACGTTACTCGAATTCGGGCACCCGAAGCAATATTAAGACTGGAATACGGGCTGGAAGACGGTGTTGGGTAAACAAAAGAAAATCAACAAGAATACGGGCGTACTCGACTCCATTAATTTACACTTAGTCGTTTACCCGAATTCCGTTGGCACTTATATCCGACCAAGTGTAATCGCGCCATAAACGCGTCAGTTTTTGCTATATGTCTTCTAAACGTATTCATTAAGTAGTGTAGTTATCAAAGTACCCTATTGTATTCCGGAGATGGCGTTGCGTAATGAAATCTGATGGATACATAGACGCGATACGATACAAAATCCCCTTTGGTCCTTTTGTATGGAAAAAGCTAGCTAGTTTTTTCTTACGTCCGCTGTTCAATTTTCATAGAAAATTTGATGATGCGGTATGTTATGGAATATAATTCGTGCTAGGGATCTATGTACATTACGCTCCCGTCGCTGTAGTAGAACATAAAGAGCTACGAGTTAACATTTTGCTCGACGCGGCGCTGGTCAGTAAGTATTGCACGGAAGATGTATTCTTATAATCGATTGATGATAATCGAAGTTCGTCATGATGTGTCCTACTCTACGACATTATTGAACTATGTAAATAAGAGAGAGATCGACAACGATAAAGATTGGTGGGTGCTGACGACTGCTGATGCAGCCGTGACCAACGGCTTAAGAGCCCTTTTACAAAATTGCGCCGTACTGATCGGCGCGTAGGTAGATTTGCACTAGTATATTTTGCATTTTACGGGTGTTACCGACAAAGGAGGTCAAAGTATACTATCAATTACTCGTTGATGTTAATATATTTTTAAAAAGAAAATAAATGTCATTCTATCAATTCATGTCACTGCAGAGCTGGTTTTTATTTATATTATTTTTCCGTTTTATTTCTTTCGTTTACAAAATTGGTCCTTCTCGCTGGAAATAATGATTACCAGGGCGAAATCAGCTCATGCGGAGGCAATCGCTACTGAGAATTCTGGTTTAGGTGTTAGTGCGCCCAACGCGGAAGCTCACGACCAGGCTTCGTGCCACATTTCCGTCGAAGCAGCCGCTGCGCCCAACCTAGCACCATGTTCTATAAACCCGAACTCTCAGCAGCCAGTAGAATCTTTTTCTCACAGCGTTGCTTCCAGGTCGTCGTCGGCTACAGTTCGAGCCCTTCGGGCGACGGCCGAGGCTAAATTCGCACGGCAACAGTTCGAACGCCAGGTGCAGTTGGAAAACGAGCGACGGCGCATTGAGGAATTGGAGCTTGCGGCCGAATTAGCAAGCTTGGAAGTCGGTGCCAGCCTCAAGTCTCATAAAGTAAAGTCTACGTCTCGGACAGAGGCTTGGGTAGCCGACCAGGTACAATCCAATAAACTTTTATTAGGCAAACCAGGCGGTCTTGTGCAGGAAAAATGTCCATCTGAGGCATCCATTGTCACAAACGAATGTAAACATCAGTGTTCAGATATAAACAAATTAGCCAAAGCGATTACATCCGCCGCGAGTTCAAAGAAAATAGAGAACTTGACTCCTTTTAGTGGCGGTCATTTAGAATGGCTAATTTTCAAAAAGAATTACAATTTCTCTAAAGATTATTTTTCCAATTTAGAAAACCTGAACCGCCTACGTCATGTGCTCCAAGGTAAAGCACGTGATTGTGTAGCCACGTTATTATTGACCACCGACGACCCCAACGAAGTGATGAGTATACTGGAGCAAACTTTCGAACGCCCGGAGGCAATCGTCATGCGTGAGGTTGCGGAGGTACGTGGTTTACCTAGACTCTCACATGATCTTAGAGACATTAACAACTTTAGCTGTAAATTAAAAAATTGCATTTCAGTGCTAAATCTTTTAAACCAAAGCGAATATTTGTACTCTCCAGAGCTTACGCATAGTGTCTTAAGTAAATTAACTCCCCTTTTGCGGAATAAATGGCTTGATTTTGCCTTTACCAATGTTTCACTAGGAAAACCAAAATTTGTTATGTTATCCGATTTTTTAAGTCTAGAGACACACAAGTACAATAAATTTGGCATTACTGAGCAAATGTTCGTAAATTCTTCCTTTACTCGTCGTGAAAGTGTTAACATAATATCGACAAATTCACCTGTTATCAAAAGTACAAATGAAAATTGTGCTTTTTGTAACCAGAATCATACTATAAAAAAATGCACTAAATTTCAAAAACTTACCCCAGAACAAAGATGGTCATGGTTGTATGAGGTGAAATTTTGTTATCGGTGCCTTAGGGGAGGTTCACACCGATGGAAAACGTGCAAAGCGAAGCGGTGTGGTGTTGACGGCTGCCTTCGTTTTCATCATCCGTTGTTGCATGGGTGTGAGCCTCCACCATCCAAAAATTTTACGGTTCCTTCAAAATCATCCGACCAGAATATTACACCATCCGACAATACCATTGATGAAAAAGTCACGATAACGAATACGACCACTTCCTACTCTTGCTTACAAAGTGTCTATCTACGTATCGTCCCAGTAACAGTGTCCGGTCCTTTGGCAAGCGTCAACACTTACGCGCTCCTTGACGATGGATCCACAGCCACCCTTGTTGATTCTGATTTAGCGCAAACTATTGGGGCAGTGGGTCCAATGCGTCAGTTGCGTCTAGAGGGCGTTAGTGGAATGACGATCGCCACCGAAGTACAGCTTGTAAATTTCGCTATTAAAGGGGCTAAAGAAAATATAATCTATGATGTTCGAAATGCCAAAACTGTAAAATCTTTATCCCTTTTTACACAAAATATCAACAGAGATTACATAACCAAATATCCACACCTGTCGGACTTAGCAGAAAGTTTAATTTTAGACCATGCTACTCCGAAAATTCTACTTGGAGCTGATAATTGGCATTTAACTATTCCCAGGGAAGTGCGTGAGGGCTCCAAATCTCAGCCGGTTGCTACACGCACTCTTCTAGGATGGACTCTACATGGGCAGTCGAATAGCTGGACCCGTCCAGTACATTTTATTAATCACGCAACCGTCCAACATTTTGACAGTGTGGACACACCCTTAGACATTCTAATCAATGATTATTTTAAACTTGACAGTATCGGAATTTCTAAGGGTGATGTCAAAGATAATAAGCTAAATGAGCGTGCTTTAGTAATTTTAAACTCAACTTCGAAGCGTTTACCTTCTGGTAGATTTGAAGTAGGATTATTATGGCGAGATAACATAGTAAACGTCCCAGATAGTTATCCACACGCCCTCTCGAGGTTTCTTTCTTTAGAGAGACGTATGCAGAAAGATCCTCAGTTTATGTCTGGGTACAAAAGTTTTATTCAGGGAATGCTCGACAAAGGTTATTCCGAGCAATGTCTCGACACTTATGACTCTAGAAAACAACCTTCCTGTCCAAACGACAACAAAATTTATTGGTATTTGCCTCATTTCGGTGTCGTACACCCACAAAAGAAGAAATTACGTGTCGTACATGACGCTGCCGCGAAAAGTCTGGGAGTAAATTTAAACTCGCTTTTGCTCACTGGTCCCGACCTATTACAATCATTATTAGACATTTTATGTCGATTTAGGGAAGGCCGCGTAGCTATGAACGCCGACATAAGGGAGATGTTCCCTCAAGTGAGGATCAGGGAGCAGGACCGCGATGCTCTTCGTTTTTTGTGGCGTGATAACCCCAAATCTCCAATCATAGAATATAGGATGACATCTGTTATTTTTGGGGCAGCTTGTAGTCCATGCACCGCACTCTACATTAAAAACAGAAACGCTTTAGAGTTCCACGATAAGTTTCCATCGGCCGTAGAAAAGATCATCAAAGATCATTATATGGACGATTACATTGGAAGCGTGGATTCCGAGGAAGAAGCCTCGCAGCTCGTTGCAGACATCGTTCATATCCACAAAGCTGCAGGTTTCGAAATGCGAGGCTGGGTATCCAACCACCCTTCTGTGTTATCGACCATTAGTGAAGACTTACATGGTGCTCCACAGATTTCAGATGTCGGTCTAGGGCCAGAACCCTTTGTTCGGACCTTAGGCTTAATCTGGCATCCGCAAAGTGACAAACTTTGTTTTAAATATTCGACAGTAGAGATTGAACCATGTCTAACAAAAAGAAAAGTACTATCTTACTTGATGAAGGTATACGATCCACTAGGTTTTTTACTTCCGTACACTATTGAAGGAAGAATATTGTTTCAGTCAACATGGAAATCCAATATAGATTGGGACGATGAACTTAGCTCAAGCCATTCTATCGAGTGGATTTCCTGGATTTCCAAGTTGACAGATGTTCAAAAAATTAAGGTGCCACGTTGGTATAGTGATGGTAATGATAGTATCATCGAACGGGAGCTACACGTTCTTTGTGACGCCAGCGAATTAGCTTACGCTTGCGTAGCCTATTGGCGTTTTATTTATGATGATGGTCGTGTTAAACTTTCACTAGTAGGCGGCAAAGCTCGTGTTGCTCCCGTCAAGCCCGTGACTATACCACGTTTAGAGTTGCAAGGTGCGTTAATTGCTTCCCGGTTTGCAAAAACCATTTGTGAGGCTCACAGAAATAAACCAAATCGCATATTTTTCTGGACCGATTCTACTACGGTTCTTAGTTGGCTTAGAAATGACAGTCGTATATTCAAACCCTTCGTTATGCACAGAGTAGCTGAGATTTCTGAGTTAACCGAAATCTCAAGTTGGAGATACGTTCCAGGTAGTCTAAACGTCGCTGATGCTGCTACTCGTTCTGGTAATTCCCTAGAGCAGTGGCTAAGTGGCCCGCCCTTTCTTTTGCTCAACCCAAGCGAGTGGCCATCAGAGCCTCATATTAATGTTAAGACATTTGAAGAGGTTAGATCGAACTACAAAGATACCGTTCTTTTTATCGGTGCTACATCGCATTTAGAGCCTCTATCGGTTACTACGGATCCATCCAGACACAGCTCCTGGTTACGGCTTGTTCGATCGACTGCAACCGTATTTCAGGCCTGTGACATTTTCCGGTCCTTATTGTGTAATAAAAAACATAAATTACTTCGTCGTGTCCAATCTCCCCCCGTTCATCTTCATCCCCCATTATTAGCATCTCATATCATTAAATCTGAGGATATGCTTCTCCGACGTTCGCAAGTGGAATCGTTCGAAGAAGAAATCTCTTGTCTTTTGATGTCCAAACCTATTCCTAAGCATAGTAAATTGTATCGCTTATCTATAATTTACCAAGATGGTTTGCTGAAACTTGACGGAAGAATAGGTTTAGTAGAAAAGGCGGATCAATTAAGTAATAACCCGATTCTGCTAGATGGAAAGCACCACATCACTCAGCTGCTAGTGAACTATTTTCATATAAAGGCAGCTCATGGTAATAGTGAAACCGTCGTCAACATGCTTCGGGAGCGATTTTGGATTTTAAAATGTCGTGGCGTGGTCCGCAAGATGTCATCGCTGTGTCAATACTGCAGAAACAAAAAAGCCAAAAGCGAGATTCCAAGACTGGGAAATTTGCCCGCTGTACGTTTGGCGCACCACAGCCGACCATTTATGTTTGTTGGACTGGACTACTTTGGCCCATTAGAAGTGGCGATTGGTCGGCGACGTGAAAAAAGGTATGGTGCAATCTACACATGCATGACGTCCCGTGCCCTACACCTAGAAATTGTGGCATCACTTTCCGCGGACTCTGCAATTTTATCTTTGAGGCGCTTCATCGCTCGACGGGGTTGTCCTTCTAAAATTCTCAGTGACAACGGCACATGTTTCGTCGGGGCAAACAAACAATTGAAAAGCTTCTTTTGCTCCGAAATTGAACAATTTGCAGCAAACAACCGCATCACATGGGAGTTTATTCCACCCGCTTCTCCTTTCATGGGTGGCTGCTGGGAGCGAATGGTTCGCAGTGTCAAAACAGCGCTGAGCGTAACATTAAAGCAGAGAGCCCCGAAAGAAGAAACGCTGCAGACTATTTTCGCAGAAGTTGAGGCCATTATCAACTCCCGACCACTCGTGCATGTTCCCATGGATCCAGATGAACCAATTGCATTAACGCCATTTCACTTTTTACTAGGCACTCCCTCGACGCAAAAATTACCTAATACTGCAGACCTTTCCGATAGTGACTTATCTGGCAGAACAGAGTGGAGAAAGGCAATTCGTTTAGCCGACCACTTTTGGAACCGATGGGTTAAAGAATATTTGCCCACAATAATTCCTAGACGTCAACCACATACAAATTCCCCGCAAGTACCCCTTCAAAATGGAGACGTAGTCCTTATCGTAGACGAGACCTTACCGAGGGGCCTTTGGCCAATAGGTCGAATTACTGCACTACACCCTGGGCCAGATGGTACAGTGCGCGTAGTGGAAGTGTCCACAAAAGCTGGGGTTTTCAAAAGACCAGTTAGAAAAATTGTTCGTCTGCCGGTCATGTAATTTTACTATTCCCATTGTAATTAGTTCATTCATTTAATTTTTATTTTAATATTGTTGAACTTGGTCCTTCTTTGTCGGTACTGATAGCAGTGTTGCCACACGGGGGGTGCTGTGTTACCGACAAAGGAGGTCAAAGTATACTATCAATTACTCGTTGATGTTAATATATTTTTAAAAAGAAAATAAATGTCATTCTATCAATTCATGTCACTGCAGAGCTGGTTTTTATTTATATTATTTTTCCGTTTTATTTCTTTCGTTTACAACGGGTGATGTTTCGAGTCTTATAAAATAATTATTAACGAACTAATTATTAAAATATATACATATTTCAGTAGTTCAATGATGGTAGATTAGTTTTATGAAAGTTTTTGATAGTAATTCTAGTTAATTCAATATCAAAATACGAGGTAAACCTGCATTATTTATTGGGAAAACTCACGGAGGTTAGATGTTTTTTTTTGATAATGAGATGAAAAATCGTAATTCTAATACTGTTTAAACAAAAAAAATGGTTGCCTGTAAAGTCGGTTTTACGGGCGAAGATTTTACGTGACAACGTCTTTTTCTCGGTAGAATATTTATTGATATGAATATAATTAAATTGCACAATAGGAACAAGGAATTGAATGAAAATAAGAATTGCACAAATTTTAACTATAGAAACATATTTTGTTTACTAAAACATTGTACATGTAAACTTAAACTTAACACGAGAGACTCATCGTAACGTTACCGAGCGTTACACTTTTTCATAAGTGACTCCCAGCCGCAACCTAATTTAAGACGTTGTCACGTCAAAAATATTTCTGATGTCGTAGTAATTAATTTGATCTAATTTATTGAACATTATTGAGAGATTGAGGCGTTTGAAGTTGTGTATATTATCGTTTTTTCCGTAAACTAGCTACAATAGAATGATCAGTACAAAAAAAGGAAAATAGTATTTGCAAATATTCTACATTAACTTACATTAGGAAGAATAAATCTACTGTTAACTGCTATTGGAAATAGTCAAAATCTTTTCTAAGGGGGTAAACGAAGCGCTCAAAAATTACGTTTTTTTTGCAAAAAATGTGAAAGGGCTCTTAACGTGCCACTCGAAACACGGAGGAGGTCGTAATATTAAATTTTTCGTCACCCATCCTATGACATTTGCCGTTGCCGTTGCGAAAGTTGGTTACTTCTACGAACACAGACCAGTCTCGAAATATAAATACTATCTTTGATTCTTCGATGCACCGCCAAGCTTGCAAAGCTTAAGCTTAGTACTCTTTAATGGTAGGATTTTATTTTTTTATTTACTCCTCAGTATTATTCAACAAATGGCGGACTTAATGCCATAAGGCATTCACTATCAGTCAAACATCGGGCTAAGCGAAGATTTATTTTTTAAATTTATAAATACTCTTACCTTCTCTTTTTCTAATTGTATAATTTCTCTTTTCTGCCGTAATTCTTCTTCATCCATTTGATCTTCTAATTCTGATTTGTGTTTACTTAGGTATGCTGTTTCCGTCTGAACCTGGAAATAATAATAAATAGTCATTATATTATACATTTATACAAATTGCTAGGTCTTTGTTGTCAGAAATTCCTAAATAATTTTGAGACAAAAATACATACAGTATATTTTGAAGTTTTTCATAGTTAAGTAAAATATTCCCTAACATTGTACTAATATTAAATGGTGCTATTTAGATACAGCCAAAGGTCAAGCTTACAAAAAATTGACAAATTTCTTTAACTTTTTGAAAAAATTTACTATTTTTGGAAACTATATGTGTGACAACAACCTAACCTAGAGACAATATAGAAAATATTTTATACGTGTTTTGTACATTTGACATAACAATAAAACGAACTCAGGACAAATGATTGTAATTACAAATTGATGTTTAAAGCTAAGGAAATAAAATGAAAAAAAATAAAAATAGTTGTATTCGCTAGATCACCTGATAAAATGAATGCGTCATTCACGCAGCAGCGAGTTCTAAGAAAAATGGGACCACGAGGTATCGATATCGCGGTCCCCGATGACGCATTTGAAATACAAAACAAACAGTGCTTATACAAAATTCTTGGCTCCGCGTCTCAGATACTTTTAGAAAACACAATGAAATGTTTTTCTATTTCTGCTTTATACTGCATTTATATCTATTTGCATCCATTATTTTCACTTAAAGTAAAAGAAACTTCCAGAGAAAGAACACATCGTAGGAAGTACCATTTTACAGAAGATCGTAATAAAATGACTAGCTTTGGTATTGTTGAGTTTTTGTTGGTAAGATTTATAAGTTATAAAATTCAGTTTAAACTTCAGAGAAACATGCAAAAGGTGCACATTGACGTATTTCTTTTCTAATTAAGAAAGGAAATCGCCTTCTTTTTCTAGATAGCGATAAATTTCATGCACGTTTTTTAATCCATTCTCGACGTCTGATCGTAAGATGTCTGACCTTTGGGTACAGGCACTGACTACGGAGCCAGATTTGTATTTAATAATGGGCTGCTGTAATTACAAGTTGGGCACTTCCTCATAATAAACAATTACAAAACAAAACTATAGTTATCTCTTGTATTTTTTTAACTAGCTCTTGGTCTTCCTAATGAATAAATAAATTAATAATGCCCACTCATAGTAACGGCCTGGTAGCTTATGTTCCTCGTAGATGCGTTTGGACTCGTCGCTATTCGGGTCCGGCGATATGGGCCTCAAGAACGGGTCCAGCATTATGTGCACTGAGTCCATCAACCACTACAACCGACTACCGATATGCAAAGTCTACCGCAATCTTGGTCTAAGGTTAGTCCCCAGGTCTTACCTTAAGGTACTCCGGCGCTAACTGTTTATGTTCCTCGTAGATGCGTTTGGACTCGTCGCTGTTTGGGTCCGGCGATATGGGCCTCAAGTGTGGGTCCAGCATCAAGTGCATCGAGTCCAGAGCCGGGTCGGGCTCGGCCGGCGGCGGCGCGGGGCCCTCGCCCGCGGTCGAACCGCTACTGTTACCTGTTCAACAAGAACAAGTTTATCATTGTTGTTTTAAACTTTCATGGTAATTTATGTTAAGGCTAACTTCATATGACCGCGCGGTACAAGATCAAAACAAACAGCTAATATCGTCCACATAACTAGATAGATCTTGAACCGCGAATCACCGCGCGGTTCCATTTCTACGAATCTGTAACGGCCTGTTGATTTGATCCGCGCGGGTTGAGACGGAGAGACGCATAAATGCAGGATGCCGATGCAAGATGCAGATGCCAGACTGAAGCACCTACATGCGCCGTCATGTGAATGCTTCACACGCGCGGTCGTATGAACTTAGCCTTACAATTATTATTATTGGTAGGATTGCTTCCTTGTTTTTTGGAGGTAAGTAGTCAGTTTCAGGGAATCGCATGAAATGTACACAGAAAGCGATCCCGCTAATTAAGTATTGTTTATCACATCATTATGGTTAAACGAAAAACAGATGTACTTGTGAGTTAGAGATACGGATATATTAACGATACTTCGTATAGAAGAGGCAAGAGTGCCAGGAAGTATCGTGATCACAGTTTCTAAGGTATTGGATTAGTTTTGCTGATAGGTCTATGTAGAAAACTTAATATTCTATACCTATTATTTGGAATTCTTTCTGTACATTATTGTCTTTTCCTAACTAAAGTATTTAAGCGACCAATATTATTTTTTTAAACCTAAGGTAGTCAGATATCAGAAACAACAATATCTTACCCAGCAACTCATGTACTAATAAAAAGCCAAGACCGAACCATAATACAAGGTTAAACATTAAAAATACAACAACTGTTAAGGTCGAGAAAAAAATGATGGAAATCTTGTTTCCTGTTTAATATCTATAATATATTTTTACTCATTTTTTGTGTTATTATTAATTCTTGCCAAAGCAGTGTCACAGATACTTTGTGAATTTTTCTGTTTACCTATTCTGGATCATATAAGCTGCAGTGCGCTGATAAGTTAGGCTCTGACAGTAGGGTTTCATATAATAAAAAAAAACTTTTAAATTGGGTAGCAAGGATTCTATTGGTAACTCTTTGAGTACCGAATCTTAAAGAATGCTGGTTTACAAACATGTTTCATGTAGGATTAGGTACAGAACAAAACTAAGCTAACTTTCCGAGTCTAAAGTAAAATTGAGTATTTTAAACTGAGTTGATTGAGAGCAATTCAAAGGTAATATTTCTAAATATCAACTTAGGTCGAAATACGACAAATTGAAATCGTTGAGATGAAACTAAGCTATATGCTTTGAACCAACCATAATGATGTCAGAAATTCAGTGATCACCCAAAACAGTGCCCATTAGGAAAATGTTATAAACTAGGTGTACATAACGATACATAAAAATGAGATATTATAAAAGCTCTATCCTATTTAATAGATGCAAGCAATATATTTTATTAGTATTAAGTAAGAAATTCAGTATCGACATGATGAAATAGCGAAATGAGTTGAGAACATCTTAACATCGAACTTGTAATATTTTATATAAACATGAAAAAAACATATTTTTTTGATGATGAGATGAAAGGCAACTGTAAAAAAAACTTACTAAAATAGTTCAACACGGCCTTATTTTTGTGGGTAAGGTAGTAGATAAAAATCCTTTTGTTGCTTAAATTTTAACAAACACTACTTTAATATAAATAATGTTCTTGTTGATGAGTGCCTAATTAGTTGAAAATATGTCAATAGAATGTTAGCGGTTTTAAAAGAAAAACAACAATGAACGAATCATTTCAAAAACAAAAGACATTCATCTATCTCATTTAATATAATGAGCATTTAAAATAGCGTAAAATTTATTACAATGCCCCCATACAAAGAGCAGCGCAGGAGCAATTTGAGCGTTTAGAGTAATCATGCGCAGTCTCACAGCAGGGTTATATACGTCAGAAGTTAAATTTACATCGGCTTGGTGATGTCAGACGCTTCACCTAGATTTCAGCTTCGACCAACCAATGATTCTTTCACCCACAAATAGATGGCAGCAGTGAATCTAAACAAGGAAATCATAACTTCTTTCCGGCAATTTAAATCCATGGAGCACAGAATTTGGAAAATTATTTGCGAGTGTGACATAAAACACGACGAGCACTTCGTCTAGACAATCGAATAGAGATCTGATTAGGAAAAAAAATCAAACACACACAACTCTTTCACGAAAACCCAAAAACCGAACACTGAAAGATTTTCCGATTAAAAAACTTTTCTAACAATCTCTTAGAAGCATGACGTCTGTAATAATTGATGATCGTTTACGCTTAGTTAACACACGTAAGAAGCAACTGGCGGTAGTAGGAAGTGCCGAGAGGTATGGAGTTGACGCAAAATGCTGCTACGAAGGGCGGGCGAGGTTACCGCTCGAGTAGGCCGCGACACTCGGAAGCATCGCGATATCGGCAGACACTCACTATAGAATATCCAACTACATGTGCTGACTGTGTCTCTGATGGTGGTGACGATGCCGGCGGAGGCGTCACACGCGTCGAGGCGGCGCAAGCGCGCGGGCGGCGCGGGCAGAGGGGTCATGGCGCGTCCTCTCACGGAGACAGTGCGCCGAGCACTGCCCGCTCGAAATAATCGACGGGAGAGCCAGGAGCGGGCGTTGCAACAAACAAACCGCCGCTATTCGCGTTGCGGTGACTCACGCGTCAGGCAAGCTAAATGCGGACGCCGTGTGCTGCCGCCCTTCGTGAGGTTTTCTGCCGTTTTCGCTGGGAGGGCGCGCGCGCTCTCTCTCTCTCTGCAGCCGGTCGACGACCCGCACCCACGCCGCTGTTGTCTCTTGCACCCGGCACCGCTACACTAACCCGGCGCATCCGTGCACTCATCCACCATACAACGTAATCGCAAATCATACTCGATTGCCTTTACTCGATTACTGGTGTGCTGATTAATAGGTTACAGACGAGAACTACTCATTCTCTTAATGAGAAGTTTTATCTCTGCCGATACGTTGCTCAAATCCAAGAGGCAACTGTTCTAGATTTGTTTTCAACCGGCGATGCTACAGTAACCCGAGTTGATTTATTGTCAAGTGTGTTGCGTCGGTGAACGGCGTTGACGGCCCTGTGTTACGCCACGTTACAGCATATTGGACGACCGCCGGCTGGTGGCGCGCGTTTGTAATATTTGAGTGTCCGTTGTAGGGATAAATTAGGGCCTGATTGCAGCATCACTAGGTCTTAATCTTAATCATACACCTATTGGGTCGTGCATTGCCAAAGTGCAGTGCGCAAAACCCACGTAGTGCAGACGTAAAACCACACGATTATCAGCATATGACACGTCAAAGCAAGAAACGTGAGTTGTTGCCGAGCTATTTATTTGAGAACATGAAAAGATCAACATCTATGATAATACAGTGGCTAAACGTCATGATTTTCATATTAGACAATATGTCATCCGCAGGTTTTGATACGAGTGAGAGTCCTGAATTAACTCAAGAACAAGTATTCCGGTAAAGTTATATATAGAAACGAATAAGAATAAAGTGGACTGTTGCGATCTAAATATAAAGAGAGAGGAGAAAAAATGTCAACAAGAAATAAACAGCACGTGCCCTTATGAAATTATTTTGATATCGCTCTGTGCCAACTTCGTCGTTTAATAGCTCATTATACGAGTATTATAAGATTATAACTTGCGTTGTCTTGTGGTGGCAATAAAATCAGCACCGTATAAATCTTATTATATAAACGGAAGAGGAAAAACTTGCCAGTGTTTGAGATTTAATGATTAGTATTTAATATCTAATCTTTGATGCAGTGTTCAAATGTTTTAATGTCAATTTATCTTCAAGCGGTGATGTTATAATAAATGTTGACCGTTATAGACAGCACAATATAAATTTCGGGCGTGGAAGCAGCTATCGATAAAGTGTGCGGACTCTTCTCCGAAAGATATCGTCAATCTCCTGGCTTCTCTATCTCTATGGTTTGGACCAAAGGACAGGTCAATTATTGTTTTTTTTTAATGTTTTCTCTGCCATCCGTCGTCGATTTTGATATGAATGTAATTGAAATCAAAGTCTTAACAATAACAGCAGACCAAATCCAAGATAGAGTACTATTTAAACTTCACAAGTTGCAACCTTTTAGCCAACCAAGGCCTGGGTTAGATACATATGTGATTAGTATTTAATATCTAATCTTTGATGCAGTGTTCAAACGTTTTAATGTCAATTTATCTTCAAGCGGTGATGTTATAATAAATGTTGACCGTTATAGACAGCACAATATAAATTTCGGGCGTGGAAGCAGCTATCGATAAAGTGTGCGGACTCTTCTCCGAAAGATATCGTCAATCTCCTGGCTTCTCTATCTCTATGGTTTGGACCAAAGGACAGGTCAATTATTGTTTTTTTTTAATGTTTTCTCTGCCATCCGTCGTCGATTTTGATATGAATGTAATTGAAATCAAAGTCTTAACAATAACAGCAGACCAAATCCAAGATAGAGTACTATTTAAACTTCACAAGTTGCAACCTTTTAGCCAACCAAGGCCTGGGTTAGATACATATGTACTCTGTTTAGGGGTTATTCGAATCGAGCGATGACTAACCGTTCAACACTCTAGAGAACCACATGTGGCAAATAAAACTGTAGGCATAAGTGGCTAATTGCGTTAGGGAAGTGATAATTAACGTGCCCGAAAGTGAAGACAGGGCAGGGGCGCGCGGATTCTAACCGGGGCGATGACGGATACCCACCGGACGAGCGGTCAGCCGCAGTGTGAGTTAAAAGAGCACGTAAATTTTTACGAGCACAATAATGTAAACATAATAATAGTTATGGACGTGGAAATGCCATGCAGTAACGTGCTATGGCTTCGGCAAACGGTGATGAGAATATTTAAGTCCTTAATATTCGTAGTGTGTCATCTAATATATACTCCCGGATGCATCTTTCGGCCCACCTAGCATTTTAAGTTTTGACGGTCCCTGGCTTAATATAAATGCTACATTGAGCAAAAAGTAT